AACCCTAAACCCTAAACCCTAAACCCTAAACCCTAAACCCTAAACCCTAAACCCTAAACCCTAAACCCTAAACCCTAAACCCTAAACCCTAAACCCTAAACCCTAAACCCTAAACCCTAAACCCTAGCATGTTCTGCATAAAACAGCTACCTTCATCGATGGCGTTGCCTGAAATAATGCTAATTATGATTGCTGGGGCAAATCTACACTGTCGCGCAATCGCGATCACGCTGCATGCACCGCACCTGCAAGCACATACATATTTAGATCCCCTTAACAAATGTCACCTGTGTTCTGTTTTCTTGTGGGACGAGACACAGCTCTTTAGTCCTCTAACGACAGCATTGCGTCCCGCCGCCATAGAGAGGGCTTGGTGTCGCCTTCATTTTTAGCTCGTTTGCGTTCTTCACGCTCTCGAGTTCGCTTGAGCGGTAGGTGCACACTTTGCGTTTTCCTTTCAAACTTTTCTGGCCTTTCTACCTGCCTGGAAAGCTGTGACAGGGCCGCAAAGCTCTCTTTGATGATCATGCACTTGCTCTAGTACAACACGTACGGGGCATGTGGGCTGCGCTTGAAATTAATGGATTAAGTAACAGGCTTTGGAACTTTCCGCTGCATCAGTTATTCGATTTTGAATAATTCAAGCGTTTACGCGTTTTTTCAATATTCTTTACAATAAAAATATCCTTGTGTACTAGATCCTTCACATTTTAGACAGCTTGTGATGTGTGGAGTTCCACCGGTTTCGACTCCCAGCGTTGCTCTCTCCTTTTAAATCTGATTCGGTGTGCGTTTCCCGGTAAGTGAAAGGTGCCTTGCACAATACACATGACCGGGATGTCATGTTCGTTAAAGATACTGATATGTTTCAGATAACGATTCACTAATATAGCACTAAAACGCAAGACGAAGCTCGCTCTTCCTCATGATTCCCGGGTCAACAGGTGTGGAGGTTAAGCCTTCATAGAAGGTCAAAAAAAGCATTTTTTCCTGGTACCTTTTACCAAAAACAAAGTCACATTGTGTGTCTGCGCTCTAGATGCTACACGCAATTTCGTGAAAATGCTGGGAATGCTTGGAAGGTGCTGCTACGCGCACCCTAGCTGTCTCTTAGCCCTCATGTTGTAAACCTTCTGCTAGCAAGCAGCGGAGGGAGAGAGGATTTTTAATGAAAAACCATTCATTTCCTGCGAAGTTTGTGTCGAGTCCTGTTTTAAGTGTATCGCTGCCCGTCCTTAGCTGCAGCGCTACATGTACCGTATTCCTCTAGCATGCAGAGGTACGACATACCAGCAAATAAACCCACAAAATGCCTGGGATATGTGGATTAAGCTTTTCTGCTTGTCAGCAACCTTGGAAGCACGCATACAGACGTTCTAGCCTGAGCATCTAGCTACTCTTTTGCAGGTTGCCATGACCATCGCCAAAACTCAGAATTAAGAGAAGCCCAACAGAGCACTAAGAGCCTTACGTAAGACGGAGAGTGAGCAACGCTGTGACCAAGGCAAATCGGATTCGAAAAATGAAATGTGTGAGTAAGAAACAAACGAAGATCAAGGATATAGGCAGCGAAACTGTGTATCTGTCTGCCACTGTACACTACTGTAGCGGCATAAACAGTGTGCATTACAAGTGAATTAATAGTAAGGAAGCTTTAAGCGCCATAATGGGGAAGGCCTTGTTACTTGTCCACATTTTCCTCGTCCGAAAGCTCCTCTTTAAGGAGAACCCTGGGGTGAGTTTCGAAGACCCTCCAGTCCGCCGACGCCTGATTGAGTGCGCACCTGGGGAGGGGAACGGCGACAACATCAACGCACATAGCAACAACAGCTCTAGCATTCAGACATACTATAATTAAATAACGCTACAAGGAATTTGTAGGCAATCCAGACTATAGCGACCGGAAGAACGAAGTAGTCTGGTGTTTTCACCATTCCCATCTTACTCGTCATGCCTAAGCACGCGCAAGCATTTTTATTCAGGTATGCATGTGCAATGAACTTTCGAATACACAGAGCAACACATAGATATACAGAGGAAGACGCTAAACCCGCCCTACGCCTAGGAAGCGCATGCTGCAAAGTTGAAAACTTGGTCTTACTGTGTCCTTAAGTCTCTCAGCTGCGTCCTACATTCCATCAGCTTGTCCACTGTCTGTGACACACCGAAGACAGCTTACACACAGCCTTCTTGACGAAAGAAAGCGCAAACAAGCGTCCTGACCACCCTGTTCCATTGGCTCACCCCTATTGGAAGCATTCTAAATATATAGTTTGTGTGTATTTACGATCGCATATGCTGTACGTCAGAATACGGACACTGGGAAAGTCCAGATAGTTTTTCACAAAGGTGGGCATCAGTGCACCCTACCAACGGGCACAAGCATGAACCAAATACCACCAAAGGCAGTGTACCGAACCACACTCAGGGAGCCCTTGCCTGTTGATGAACCTCCTTGAGCTCGGAAAAATCAAGCTGCAGCAGAGCGTGAATATTCTTTAGCTTTAGGTACTCTCCAGCAGGCACCAGTTTCTCCACAGAACGCAACACACAAACGTCTGGAACCAGACTCAGCTGGGGACCTCCCTCAAGGCCTGCATCAATCAGCGCATACATAATGAGATGCACAGCAAAGTAAGAGGCTCCTACGTGCCTAGAGGTGCGCATATACATGCGTGTTAGCTTGCATAGTAGCAACCGTATATCCAAACGCGAATGCAAAGCCGAATACTGGCAGTAAAACGTACACTTAAACCCGTGCGCCAATTCATAGAAACTGCATCCTTGCACATACATAAGTAGTTCTAATGCACATGTGTCATATACACAATGACAGCTTTCCTTTTTTTTCGAAGCGTCCGAGCCAAACAAACCCCATCTTGCTTGTTTGGCTTTGTCGGGCCTAAGGGAGGAAACTACCATTCACGTTTACAACATGATTCCTGTTGTGAAGCTACTCTTTCGCTTACCTCCAAAGGGGTATAATTGCTCCCGCAGAGGAATGGGCGCCAACAAGTCCCCAGCGTCTCTCCAAAAAGGCACCACCTGGTCATCCGCCCCCTTAGGCAGGTACGGTTCCACTTCCCCAAAAAGCCATCCGAAACGGTCAAGGGTCTGAGCATAACGAAAGTTGAGCAACACACTGAGATTATCAGCATTAGACGTGGAGAAGCACCTAAAGTACACAAATACATGTATAGGAAAAGCTGCCCGCACATATACAAACAGCTTTTCGCCCAGAAACAAACAAATAGAATACTTTTGCTGGTTGGCTAGAGGAGAATTCTCAATTGAAAAAATTGCTCACGACAGAATCTTCTAGGGTGATCCCTAAAACCACCCAGGCCCCTCAGAACGCCGTTCTGGCTGGTGCCCCACAGTGAAGGCTTCCATTCCAAAAACACCCCCCCTAGAGAATATAAAGCGAAGTTTTCCCTGACTGAAATAAAATGCGTGAGTTTCGCCACTCTCATTACAGGCTTAATCCAAAGGAAGCAGAAAAAACGCAGTGGTACTTCTTACCTCCTTCAAAAATGCATAGATGTCACCCTGAGAAGCGTTAAGCGTGCACGCCTTGAGCTGTTCCCCCAAAAGGAAAGCGCGGTGAGATATGTAGCTGGATCGAGCTGCTGCCTCCGCCACCCGGATGGCCCTCTGTAGCTCTTCGATTCTGCATGCGAAGTGAATCGCAAAAGCAAAGCGCCCGCAAACCTCAAAATGCTAACAAGCACATAATTCCCCGTGTCTCTTTGGCCCTGTAGCAAATGGCAACTATACTGGGATTCACAGCAAAGCCGAATCGTTGAGAACACGTTGGAAATGTGCAACGTTGCTAAAGGCTACAACTGCCAGCATAAAACATAGTTTGGACGCCATAGTTCTTGCATTTGTACTATTGGGACTTCGCGTACTTTTCAAGTGCATCCTCTTCCTGCTGAGGAGACCATTTATATCCCTGTTCATAAAAACGAACCTTCAGAAAGCCACAGCACACCAGCGGGCACCACATCGTCCAGCAAAAAAGCAAGTGCCAGACGCGCGGTTTTCGCCGCCACCATTCCCCCTTACCCAACCTCGTAAAAGAGAAAAGTGAAGGAAGGTCATCTTTTTGATCCAAACCCTGTGGAGCACCGCTCAGCAGCCTTTCCAACGTGGCAAGACGTCTGAATACGGAAGGCTGCACGCAGGAGCCCTAAAGGCCGGCCAACTGATGGAAGCAAAAGAGTGAAGGGGTGAGGGATACGAGGGCCGAAGGTGCTCACTTTGTGCTCACTGCAAATCAGCCACTTCCGCAGCAAGTCAAAGACGTCTCCGCGTTCAGCTATCTGACGCATGATACGGGCCTGAATCGCAAGAGCTATCGGCAAAATCTCCAAGATCATGTAGGATAAGGGGAATGTGGAAATAATAAGCAGATTTCCATGGGCATTTGTTCTAAAACCTGCCCAGTGCCCTTTAGCCTGAGATACCAACAAGTGTTTGGCCCCATAGAGGAACAATTATTAAAATTCTGGATACAAGGTCTCACCTTCTGCCTGAATTTTTCATCAAGCTGGTGGAAATTTTGTGTTAGAGAGATATTTTCCTCCCTGAGATAGACAAACCAACAGAAACGGCGAAATAGATATTCCTTAAATGCCACCTTATGAGTCCTCCTGCCCAAATTAAGCGCTATTTACACTTAAACTAAAATTTAGTTTATGCTATTTTTTGAGCGTAGTGAATGGCAAGAGCTGTGCAGCTGTGAGTGAGCCCAACGAGCAAACGCCCAATGCCCTCGGTAGGTGTATCGCATGGATGCCAGGCTCAAAGAGCGGCTGTATACAGACAACAGCGCTGCAGATCTCACCTGATGCGCTTGTTCTCAATGGCCACCTTCTGGTTCGCAGCGCGAAGACGGGACATCAGGAGGGCAAATCGAGACGGGTTGTCTCTGGCGTCTTCGAGGTCCTTCAGGAAATCAGAGACTTTACAGTTCAGCTGACTGTTTTCTGCAGCCAGCATCTGCGCCTTTTGCTGCGAAGAGCTTAAAACCTCTCTTAAATGCACTACCTCCTCCTCCAGTCGTTTGCTTCCTGAGACACGCCACGGCAAGAGGGGATACACCTAGAAAATGCTACAAAAGTTGATTTTCTCATGCGCCTCTGTTACCCTTGCATTATCAAATGCACATTGAGTCCAGAGAGATGCAAATTATGTATTTGTATCCGCAGATGAGACATACATCGATATGCACCCATGCACTTCAACGTGACAGACAGTTAGTACATGATTGGGCTCTCCACTGCGTAAAAAATGATTGAGCTCTACAGCTTTTGGAACCGTCCATCAACCTTATGCGGTACCAGCAAGTTGCGCTGCCAGCTCGTTTTGAAGGAAAGAGATTTCATGAGCCTTCTGATCAACAAACTCTGCCGCTGCCTTTTCAGTGACCTCTCCAGAAGCCTGCAGCCTCTGATTTCTTTGTTCTAGACGTTCAATCTCCAGCTGTAGTCAACCCACGCAGAAAGAACTATCAGAACGGTTGCCCAAGAAACTTGCCTAGAAACCCTATTCTTGCTCGGTGAACTTACACACAGCTCCAGTCCAATCGGGACAGCCACACAATAATTTTTCTGATTTTTGAGGGCTGCTCTAGGAACCGGCAGTAAGAGTTCAGCGGCCAGATTAGGGTCCTGCGGTTCTTGCTTTGGCCCACCAACAGCGTTCTCTTGGATCCCTCTGATTCCATGAGCGCGAGTTCTTGTTGCTTAGTAATTACCGCCGTGGCCTCTCTTTCTCGTGCGACTGCAGCCCTTTCTCTTTCGAGCAAAGCCTCTAATTCCTTGATTTTCTGCTGCATCTTAGAGGCGCTACAGCTGTCCATCTGTAGCTTCCATGCCGCTGCAGCCCTCTGCGTATCCAGCATCATTACTAGAGGCTTCAGAAATTTGCCGTACACGCCATCATGCCGAGATGTTCCTACGAGAACTGTGCTGTCTCGTGTGTGTTCGCCCTCTGTGTCTTCAGCTGGTAGCCTCGGGATCAGCTGCAGGCACAAAGGTGCAGCCGGCATGGTTGAACTAATAAAATATTTGAAAAAGGAGGGCCAGCATAAGCGAACCGCTTCTCATGGAAGTGGGGGCGCGCTGTCTGCCGGACCCCATGGACATTCACCAGATGAATAATGCGAAATATGTTTAAACGTCACACCGGACAAATGCGTAGGGCAAAATTATTCCAGAGACAAAGGCTGCTGAGTGCAAATGAAGGAAGCGCCACGTACTCCCATGGCGAGGGCTCGCGACGGAGGGAATAGCTTGAATACAAAATCTTCGAGCATAAAGGCCCCTTCAAACGCAGCGTCTGAATGCGGTGCATATAGCAAGAGGTTTCCCTTGAGTTCACAGTATCTCTTAAGCCACTGCTGCTCCGATAGTAAAGGAGTTACATGTTTCTTCTCGACTGCAGAGGACTGGCGAGGGTCCAATAGGAGCATTACAGTCCCGCTTCGTACGGCAGATGTTTCCACCTGCCGTCCGAATACAATGAATGCATGGTCATCAAGCCAAAAGCCCTCATCCCCACTGTCCCGACCCTCCCTCAGTGTGGCCCCGGCAGGTCCAGACCCGTCGTGAGCACTCATCCTCTTGCTTCACCCATGGAAGTCGACACGCTGGATGAGCGTTGCTGAAGATGGGAGGGCTGGCGCACCACTCTAAGGACTGTTTGCATCCCAATGAGCTACATTCCAGGGCCAAAGACACTCCCAGTCGCAAGCCGGAAGCCTTGCACGAACATAAACATGAAAGCTACCAAGCAGGGCAATAACTTACCAAGTCTCCACCCAGGAAACGCAAAAACTAATCAAACTCGGGCAGACGGGAATGAAATATTGGATGTGCATGCGTTGCCGTCGAGCTGGCTCGGTCCCGTAGTTTGAATGTCTACCATAAAAGCTACAGGGACAGACACTAGATATATTTGTTCTATCAAAGGCAATTTTAAAAAAAGAGCCAGCAAGCGCATCTACAACTAAAAGAGAACCTTGAACAGCAATTCGCTAGGCGCCTTAAGGCCAGATGTGTCGCGGTTCCTGTTAATCGCTGCTCCATTGGACGCCGGTTGCGTCAGTGGTCACCTGCAAGCGCGGCTTGTACAGAGCAAACTATAGAGACCTAATTCTTCGAGAACTTAATTGGTCTTATTCATTTTAATCAACCAGTTGTTTCTGGAGCACGTGTCTGGATCCGTTTAACAGGCTGCACAACTACCCAACCTTGGGCACTACCGCCGGGGGCGACTGGAACACGAACTACCGCTGCAACGCCACTAGCTTGCGGAGCTGCAGGTAATCCATATCGCACCTTGCCTTTAAATATACCCGGGTGTAGTGCACAGGAGAGCCATAAACGAGCCACTTACACCCAAATGCGATGTAGTGGAACCTAAACGCACCGTCCCTGGGCTTACATCTAATGCTAGTTCGACGATGTTATTAAACGTTGTGGCTCTGATCTCGCCTATGGAGGATGAGGTTCAGCAAATACCCCCAAGCAGTGCAAGTTGCGTGGAACAACAGAAAGTCCTCACCAATTTCCTCAGAATGTATATACTCAACAGATACTCATCACAAAGGACCACTGGGGGAGGGCTGTCCCCAAAAGATGGTTTTTTCCCCCCACACCATATTAGGATTGCGCTTGTAACAATCTGCTGTGTGACACTGTACGCGTTCCAGCAAATTCAAGCTTTGTAGATACGAGAATGCCGGTATTCCAGCAACGCGACCTCCATTTCCACTTCGTCAAGCCACTCATATGATTCAACTAAGCCACAACTTTAGCAGCTCACCAACATCGTCCTTCAATCAGAAGCGTCGCCCAATAATGAGCCAATTTAAGCCTAAGGATACCCTGTCTCCCAACAACCCTCCGTCCAAACACTACGAAGGCCCAGCCTGACCTCATTGTGGGTCCATCGTTTAAGTGTCTCTAAGGGTCCTCAGTGCTTGAGCCTTGGCGCCCCAGCAGTACTCAACCATGCGTATAGTAACAGTCTGGGGGAGCTACTAGACTTCTAAGCTGCTGCTTCTGCAGCGCGCTGTACACTACTCTGGAATGGCCAAACCCTACACGACAATGAGTGCAGGCCCAGAGAGGGGAAAGCGCCTGGCTGCGGTTTTCCATCAACCGCCCCAAGCTGAACCGCCCCAATTAATCTTTGCATTGGAAAAATCAAGCTCCGGATGAGACTGTTTGAATTTTTCAAGCATCTCCGCCTGACGTTGTTGATCGCTCGTGGGCAGTCCTCGTTGTTTTTGATGCTGATCGAACATCATCTTTTCGACGGTTGCGCGCGTCTCTGGATCTAAATCAGAAAGCTTCGAGTTCTGCAGATCGCAGGAGAAAACAGCCCACGTCTGCGTGCACCCGTGAGTTTGGAGTCCACAGGCTTGCTACAAAAGTGCTCTTCTGTGCATGCCAACAAATATGCATACAGCATACATATGTGCATACACGAAAAGGCTTCGCTAATTGGCGCATAAAAGTTTGTCTATCTGTTAATGCGTGTGGAGAAGTATCCCAAGCAATTGCCCTGACTACTACTGCCGCTCCTCTGCAGTTTGTGGCGAACTCTAATACAGCCTATCGCATTCTCAGACAGCGCTGCATCCAGTATATGTATGTATACATATGCTGACAGCAGAGCTATGTAGACACAAAGGGAACATATCAATGAGGCATACAGATATCCTGCACAACACACCCTTCAATTAAACATGACCGGCTTGATACTGATCGAAAACCTAATAAGTTTCAGAAATATATGCCTTGCGAAGGCCCAGATAAGCATTGTGCATACAGGCAAAGGTATAGGAGGATCAATTACGAAATGTTCTGTGCCTCCTTACAACTGACCTCTGGGACAATAGTCTTGGTGTCGATTTCAGGGTCTCCCTTTAGCACGCAGCTCCACCAGCGCATTCTGTCAACTTTTTCAAGACTCAAGTGAATTGTATTTTGATCCTCCAACGTCCACATGCAGTCCTCCGCGTGCACTTTTTGCGAAAACACTCCGTCTGAAACCCAGCAGAAAACAGAAAAGAAGGATCACAAGATTTTACGCACCTTAAGTGAACGACACAAGCAGTGCAAACCGCTAAATTGTGCTGTTGCAACAAATGCCAGTGTATTGGCGTTACAAAGACAAGATCAAGCTACAAAACAGCCAACATACAAGTCTCCGACTTTCGCAATGCGAGCTTTCCTTGTCGTGCCCTGTCCTGGGGCTACCTACCCAAAATGGGATTCTGCCCCTTCAGGCCTACAATCAGTCGCGTCGCTGTGATCTTCACGTTGCACTGGGCAGCTCTCACGCCGGAGCCCACGGGGACGTACACATCTACCGCCTCCAGAGTTTGAGTCCACCGGTACCTTCACAAAATCGATAGCAAACTTTACATTATAGATCGAAACGAACGCGAGCGTGAACATATGCTACTGACATATGTACGTTACAAAGAGAGCCTCGGTTAAAATCTGAATACTGTACAAACACAACCGTGTATTTGCTTTGGTGTTTACCAATATCAACCACAACGTAAAGTGTAATTTGTCACTATGTGCAGCTAAGAGCTTCGTCCTTTGATGTGCGCCCTCTGCTAGAGGATCCGGAAGGCGCAACTTAAGCTCTCAATGCTGAGCGATACTTTTCGGTGGAGCCTCCGTTCCCCTCAGGGCGGCTGCTGCTTGCTTCGTCGTCTGACATCTCTGCTGCATCGTGCGAGGTGCCGTGAGGGCTCTCCGATTTAGAGTCTTGGTGCTTGGACGTGATATTCGGGTTTTCGTTTAACGAATGAGTGAAAAGAGCCTCCTCCTCCGCAGTCAACTCCTCAACTTTTGGCCGACTATCTAGGTCCTTTGGCGGCTGCTTTTGCTGAGCTTGCTGCCTTTGTTGCTTCTCCCTGTGAAGCCTCTCCCTCTCCGCCTTTTCTGTCGCCTTGATGGTCCAGTTTTGAAATGATTTGTCGAGCATTTCTTTGCAGGCCACGCGTCCTACCGTAAAGAAATCTGTTTTCCGGCATAGAAAGCCGAAGAAGAAGTCAAAGAGAGGTTCAATGCCCCCTGCTTGTTCTGCAACTGTGGCGAACAAACCGTCGAAACGGCAGTCAGCAGACATCTCCTCCCCCGCACCCATTGCTGCTTGTTTGTGTGGCACAGAACAGGAGCGATTCTATATCTTCGCCTTCGATTCCCCCTACCGTATGCTAAAGAAAGGCGCCACTGTTTAAGAGGACATATGATTAGTCTTTACACTGAAACAGAATCTACCAGCCATAACCGCACCTGCACTGAAATGCAGCCACTTCTCCCTTGGCCGGGGCCCCCATCGGATGCCGCAGGAGGGCCCCACAAGAGTCACGAGGTGCAGCCTCTCGATACTTCGCATATTCCAATGTTTCGCCATATAACTTAATTCATGCTCTCTTTTAGATGTGAAGTTCACATAATTCATGAATGCAGGCCAGGAACTTGATGTTTGCACTCACCATATGCCTCGTAAGACCACTTCTACTCCACTTCGGGCCATTAATCAGAGAATATTCACAACAGACGGAACAAGAAGATGACACATTTAGCCCCTCCAGACTCATTCGAGTAGCTTAGCTTCGCAATACCTTCCTCTGTATATTGGATTGCGTCTGGCACCAATGAAGGGGCGTACCAAAGCGACCAAGCTACACACAACGAAATAGCACTGCATTGCTTATCGCCCAAAAAACATCAAGTTCTAGCGCACCAGCGCGGCGTTAAACTGAAATGGGCTTTCCTCTGGATCAGGGTAAGCTCCATACTGGTGGAGCACATTCTATGTGCTGTCGTACGATTTGTCTGTAGGACAACGTGACGTTTGAATTGAGGTACCGTTGGCCGAAGCTTAGCTCAGTAATCAAGACAAATACGTTTACAGATTTGTGTACGAGAAGAACTCCTTTATTAAATGCCCGTGACCCTCAGGCATCCAACATGAGGCAGAGTTGCATCTAGGGTGTTCGTTGCTAGACCCTCGAAACGCTACGAGCATCTAGAGTTTGTTACGCATAGCATCTAGCCTACATGTGCACAGCACGGTACCTCTTTGTATGAAGCTAACAGTACTCAGCAATAAATGAGCTATGATAATACACAAACCCACCATTACTTCCTTTGTTAATGTACAATCAAATGCATCTAGTGTGGAGCAAAGTGAATCAATGTATCTTGCCCTGCTAAAAGTCACTTCCCCATTTAGAATTTTGCACCTCAGCTTTCCCCACTTGTACGCCCAGGTCACGTGTGTGCAGAACAGCGGAAGAGTCCCAACGTACCGGCACACGCCAAGAAGGTAGAATCCCAAAAAAATGTGAAGAGCGTAAAAATAGATGTATGCACCAGGCGGCAAGCAGAAGTAGGAGATAAGAAAGACACGCAAATTAGCTAACAGCTTACGAGGGTTTTTCGAAAAAGTCCGAGGCAGCCTTGTGGCTTGCTACCGACGGACCTTAAATGTGCGAGCAGCATCTGATAAACCAGCAGACAACTAAAATGTGTGAAGCTGATCAGAAGACACTATAGTTGTGCACTGCGTTCAAGCCTCACAGAGTAATGTGGGCGTGGCAGTACAACCGGTGCATACAGCATAGTCGCTTTCAAAGTCACAGAAAGCCCTATAGATTAGTGTAGAGGCAAAATACTTCAGAGAGCCTATGCAAATATCAAAGTGTGGCAAAAGCCGTAACAGAAGTTAGCAGGAACCTTTCAAGCAATACCCACAGTTAATGGTAGCTGTTTCTGGCAGCGCATGCATTGATGAAGGACAAATTCCAAGGAAACCAAGTAATACCGTCCATTGTGACCAGTGCTTTTGACCCAATGGGGCTCCTGCCCCATATTCTCTCACAGTCAATATAGCCAACAACTGCATTTTCACCAACCGTCGTATTTCGGCACTGCTGGATGGAGCCAGTATAGAACGCCTTGTGGCACCCTTAATGCTGAGGGGAAAGACAAGAAAAGAACGAGAATTGAATAGCGAGGGAAAGGCGAATGGTCCTTATCATCTGGCCGCAATGTCTTCGTCTGGTCGCCTGCTAATGCACCTGGCATAGGCTGCCGATCCACGCGGACCAGTTCTTCGGTATCGAGCCACTGGAAGACTGTCGATTATTATGATTCAGTGCTTGACTCCCTTGATCTTGTGCATGGGGTCGCGTGCGCTGCGGCATCTCTCGGTGAACCCCTCCGCTTCCAATGTGGTCCTTGTCCCCTGGTCAGCAAATCCAGTCCTAAATCGGCGAGGGCCTCCTCGCGGTAGACCAGAGGGAACAACGGGTACACAAGTGTATTGTCACACGATGGACCCACTCGGTGCAATGAAGAAAATAATATTAAGCAACTGCATTTGTTTGAAAATGGTATCGCAGACACTGGAGAGGAGTGTTGTTCGTGCTTTCCACATGCCCATCTACCTTAACGTGGTTGGCAGTGGTCATATTATGGCCAATGCATAGGTGGATCACAAAGGCACGCTAAGACGCACTAACCGACGTCATGTTCCCTATCGATGATGATAATCCTGCGGCAACCGTATATTTCCAGTCATGAATTAAGAATGGCTCGGAAACTCCCGAACAGTCACTGGGCTGTAACAAAAAATGGCACGGTCATTATATCCTGATTCTGTTCAACAATATTTAATTGCTATCCTGATCCTTGACTTTCTGTGATTGAACGGCACTGCATATCTCTCTATGGCGAAGCGCATTCCAGGACACCAGGAGGCTCCCCATAAAAAGTCCACTGCAGCGTGAAACCGATTATGGCCCGACAAAGCATGATTGTGCATTTTGTGTAAAACGGTGCAAACCAAACGTAAAAACTGCAAACGACTGAGTCCCCTGCTTTGTGTAGAAGTACAGCAGCTCATCCTCGGCGTATTCATGTTTCATCACCCTGTGCAACTCCGGATACTGAAAATAATAGCAGAGACTTGGTTGTCAAAGGCGCAAGACCCAATTGATTCGAAAGAACCCATATGTCATTACAGCCAAGAGGGGTTCCGGCGCACAAGTTTAATCGCTGAATTATTGTGGGGGACCGTCAACAACATAGTGACGCCCATGTTACCCTTTTCTCTACAGTTGTGCTGCCGGCAAGCCAGCAAACAACTCTAGGTTTCTTAAAGTCTTGAAACCTTTTCGGAGGTTTATTTTAAGTTGGCTGTCAGTATAAAAAATAATATAATCGCATAGAAATTATGCTGAGTCACCTTCGTACCCATCATACTGAATACAGTTCGCTTTTCGAGACTCCTGACCTGTACTCGGTCATTGAGAACCGATGAGACTTACAAACCATTGCTTGGCATTTAAGAGAATCCGAAAACGTTTCGGGAACATGGCTTCCAGAGCATTGTCCGTGGAATTGATTATCAAAACGAAATGACATTCATAATAGGGAAACGATAATACCGGAGTAAAGAGGCGGATGACAAGTGGTCTTGCTCCAGCATCCGACTCCTTCCTTCAGGACACAGACCGCATCTTCTGGAGTCCATCGGTCGAACTACGATGCCCCACACAATTCCAAGAACGAAATCCCGTTAATTTAATACAGAGATCCAACACACTAGTGGCTGCTTGAATCATACAACTGCGCATTGATTCCTCTAAGGCGTGGGTGCATTGCCTGATCTGCGTCACTTCATACATCCAGAATACACAAATCCAAATACTAAATGAAATCTCATGAAAGACGAACACAGGCCCCGCCAAATGAAGCGTACGCCGGTGATGCAGTAGGCGCTGTGGAGTGTTTCAATTGACTACCGAGATGTCTACAGAGTAGTTGACCCCCCAATTGCCTTTGACAGGCTAATGGAAATATCGATTGGCTCGAAGGGGCAGGAGTCAAGGTGTAGGTTTATAGGTGCCACCCGCGTTGAGGCATCCTTAATTTGCAAGTGTGAGCGCAAATTGCCGTTTCATGTCTGTCATCTGCTTGGAAGGAAATTTCACAAGGCGTCTGTCAAATCAAATATCGAGTAGCTTGTTGGTCCACTGAGTTCGGGCAATTCTCCAAACTAAGGCATAGGAAATATCTGTTTTACAGTGCTCTTCTACACAGGCTTCACATTGCTGCATATCAGCCACCTTCCGTTTTCTGTGGCACTGGCGCCGGCTAATGCCCAGAGGCACTGGACAAATCCTGCACTTTGCCCTTTTCAACAAATCGTAACCTTGCCGCTCAAACACCTCTCCTTTCTGTGCGGTCACCCGATATCATGAAGCAAAATTTACGCCTGACCGATGGATAAGCTCCGTAGGGTGAGCTGGGCGACGAGCAGTTGGCCAGCCTGCGAGGAACTTGTCTATCATTTGCACACTAACCAAGCCCCCCGTACAATGCGTCTATTGCTTCTCTTCTGAGTGCGCAATCAAATTACCTAGTGTAGAGCAAATTGCAGCTCCAGTGGCACTGGGTGCATGCCTAGAACAAACATCTCTTTCTGCTATGCTTTTGCCGGCCATATGAAGACTCTGCCTTACCTTATGAAGTTACCAACTCTACCCCGCTCAACAGCAATACAATGAAATTTGGTAAGAAGATTATAATTCGGTTTTCCTCAGCGCTCTCTGGCAAACTAGCGTTTACAGTGCGCAGCTGTGGCTGCATATCCGCCTTCCATCGGGTCAGCCATAGCATACCTAAGATTACATCATAGTGTATAAGTCCAATATAAATGTTTCAGGCCATAATAATACATCCTTGTCAAATCCAAAGTGACAGCTGGCCCTTTCACTCTTTGTCAGTTTCGGGGATCTGCAATTTGTCAGCAAACTCGAATCTTAGGAACTACACTAACGAGAGAATATGTAGAGTGCACTAATGCTCCATTTACTAAGATAACAGATCCTATTCGTATCCAGTGGCAAGCTATAGTAATTACAATTCTTCATAACTATAGGCTTCCATCACTTCAGAATTAACCATTTGTGGGTTTGCGAGTGCCACTCTGTCCTCGGGTCCCTTCACTCCGACCCACCTTGCGTTGCTGAACTTCCTCGCCAAGCATCTCGATTCCTCTGAGCACAATAATTTTCTTCAGTTCATGGCCGTTTGCATGTGATTTAAGCTAACTCTATGACTTTATTCGCCTCAAAGGTAGCTGGTGCGGTTTCGAGGGTTGTTTGGTGCTAACTAGAGCTCGGGTTCCACCAGACTTTTGATTTCCTCTGACTTAGACTTGTAGGCTCGGGGTGGCTGGCAGATCCATGGCATCCATTCGTTTAGAACCTTAATATCGAGCTTCTCTTATCAGCCAGAGACACGGGAGTTCAGCGCATTTGCTCCTGAAACCTCAAGCACTTCATGATGTGTGAAAGCTGCACCGGCTAATCGCTGCTCACCCTGCGACAAGCTGATATGAAGCTTCTGGTACACCTGAGAAGTCCACTAATAAAGCAACGGTTCGTTTTTGACGTTTGCAAACTACAGTATCCTATTGCACGATACACGTATCTATTGTTAAAATCGCCTGCTTAAGCATTCTTAGCCCTCCCGAAGCCTGCTGTTCGCGACTGAAAACAAGAAGTCAGCGCCAGTATGACGGCTTAAGCGATAGTAATCATTCCCTTTATTCGACCTACTTTGCATGATTAGAGCCACCAATGAAGCTCTTTTTTAACAAAAATCGCCCCTGGAACACGTTTTTCTCTTCTTTTGAAAAATAAAAGGCAAGGAACGTCATCGCAATCAACTAACGGAATCCCCTACTATCTGCTCCTCCGTGAAGCCGTCGTACTCATCTGGGGGGCACAGCCTCACGGATACATTTATGCACTTTTTAGCGGCTGAAAAGATGTCTTTTTGCCAGCTGTGTAGCTCCCCTGTACACATCAGTTTTGGGGCCGGACTTCGCCAGCACAATAGGGCTGTTCCACTGTCAATTTTCATCGCCAAAAGGCTTCATTATGTTCCCGGAAAAAAACGAATAGTTAGATTACCACATGGCTTCATCAGAACCAGACAATCGCTATAGGGAAAATTGACATCCCAGAGCATCCAGAGCAGCACATTCAGTTGAAAACACCTGCGTCGAATAATGCAGTGGTACTGACTGCAATATTTAACCTAGGATTCCTAGGGGGGCACCTGAGACCGCATTCAATATAAACTTCATTGAGCTTTCTTAAAGGGTTTGCCAGAAGAATTCACTTTTTCTCTTGTGCCGATTCCTCCTGGTAGTCGACACGAGGAGGGAAACACAACTAGGGTGGAGGCTGCTGAATCTTTTTAGCGCTCCTGAGCATTCACAGCTGGTTGGGTGTAGCAGCTAGCGCAGGGGCCTCCGACATTGCGTCTTTCTGTATCGCGCGTAGTAGTACTCTGCAGAAAAGGGCTATACAAACATAAAAATCCATAAGTCAATTCTTCCACATGCTTAGTGAGTATAATTTGTTTATTGGAAAGCTTATAAGTGTAACCTAGAATGCTACACATGTCAAATCCAGTCAGTAATGCGAAGATATCATCTGACTAGTCGTATGCGTTGCAAGGAATACAGCTGTTGGGAATCGCCGAATCGGCTGAGATCACGCCGATTTGCGGCAAACGGAGCTGTCAAACTCCGTTGAAGGCCCTCATGGGCGACATCCACCGCTGAGCCATAGAACGACTATCTGTGAACATAAACACCTATAGGAGAGCGAAATCAAGAAACTGTGGGTGCGAATATTCTGATCAGTTGGGCAACAAATTTTATTTAAAGACGCCCTTGATACATCATATGCACCTCGCAACAATCTTGTGAATGAGCACACCTTAATCCCCGGGTTCCTGGGTCGGGTTGTCGCGCCCGCAGGAAGAAATAGAAGAAGTAATAGGAATCAGCTACTTGCAGCATTTTGTATCTTGCATTAGATTTGCATTTGGCTTTTCTTTATGGTTCCTGCTGCGTGATAATTCCGATCTTTCCCTGGAGGGCTTCCTGAGCTTCGCGCCGCATGCAGGAGCCATGGGATTGATTGTGAAGCCCCTTTACTCGCTCCCTCTCTTGGTGTTACTTTTTGCTTTATTGATATCCTTTTATCCTAGTAATACTAATAGCCACTCCTTGTTGTCCAGTCTGTTCCCGGGGATTCCAACTGTCACGACTTCCCCTGCAGCTGAGCAGCATTTTAGCTATGCGCAAGAACAAATTACGTATGTCGCCGAATCTCCCCCGCACGTTTATTCATGCAGCAGCTTGTTTGCATCGTCAACATCGCTGCTACCATACTCAGGGAATCCCCAGGTCTGCGAGAGTTCAAGGATAAGCAGCAACGGCGGATGTCGCTAAACTGTAATAGTTGCCGCTCCTTTTCTGTGTTTTAGGCTTCTTGAAGCTTATTTTTGCCTCTGAAGTATCCACCTGATTCTGTTGAATAACTGTGGGGCTGCGGGCCCCCCTCCATGCCTAAGTACTCATGCCCATGGGCTCGTGATTTTGTCTACTGGCCCGTACAGCCAGTGTCTTCCCCCCAGCCCGATGCCGTCGGAGAACAAGAATGCCTCCTCATGTACCGAGGCTAGGAGTTCCTCGACAGTTACTGGGGGCCGCACAAAGGCTCCAGTACCTGCTCAAGATGGCTCGGCGGCTTCCCCAGCAGCAGCCGTTGTTTCAGCGGAAGGTGATGAGCTCCTGAAACGTATACAGTCTGCCCTAGAGGAAGATGACAGCGTGGATCTGCTGCTTCCATCTTTGACGGCACTGCAAGTAATCCCCAACACGGGTGGAAGTGGAGCAGTGCAACAGAAAGCCGGTGCAGCACAGGCCCGCGATAGCAACGGTTCCTTCTCGAATATGCTGCAGACTGGAGGCTCACAGAGCAGCACAAGCAGCAGGAGCAGTAGGGAGGCAACTGTGGCTCTTGATGATCACAGTACGAGGTCACGTAACTTGGGGTTAGGTCTTGCTGCTTTGCACAAGATGCAGCAGCGCATGGTGCAGGAGCAACAGCAGCAGAAGCAGGATACGACAACAGGAATAGTCCAACCGAATGATTATTTAGAAGGCAAGCAAGAGGATGAGCATCCTCTGGCTTTTCACAACGTGCAGTCGCCACCAGAGCAGCATCTGGGGGAAGCCAAGGCGTCTTGGGTTCATGATGAGGAGCACAAGCAACAACTGCAGCAACTAGAGCAGCAGCAGCAGCCACAGCCAGAGCTGCCAGCTGAGGAGCACAAGCAACAAACTGAACAACAGCTGGAGGCTCAACGAGAGCATATGACGGCTCAGCAGCGACAGTACGTAGCACAAAAGCTCCAGCCCCAAGAGCGTAGTGTGCCTCGCATAACAGGCTGTTGGCCTCATTCCCCGAATGCCCCCATCACTGCTACAGGCGTAGCCAGCAGTGGTGGACCGTTGGGAAACGCCGTTTCTTCTGGAAGCATCGAAGCTGAAGTCTCTGCACCCGTGAATGTCGATGCGGAGGGTGCAGCAGCCTCAGCGAAAACAGCGAAAGCAGCGATTTCGGGACAAACACAAACGGGAGATCATGCGTCTTGCGTGCTCGAAGCAACGATTGTCAGGCCTAATGGAAGTGCTTATGCGGAGCGACAAACGATGATGGCCCTGCACGTTAGTGAGTGCCAAAGGCTTTCAAGTACAACTACGGCGACAGCGGAAACTGGAGCGGCTCAGAGTGTTGCAGCAGAGGGTTTAGATGCATTACCGGTAGCTACGGAATCCGCGGAGGCTGGAATTCTGGCTGGATCTTTGGGCTCTTTAGACGTGGCTGCTATCCCAGTTTGCGTTCCCAGGTGCACGGCAGATGAGGCGTTGGCACAGGGTGCTGGACGCGCTGTGGATCCTGAGGAGGCAGCAATGCGTGCTGAAGCAGCAGCAATGAGTGACTTGGTCGGCAGTCTGAAGCAGCAGCTGCAGCAGGTGCTGCAGCAACAGCAGGAGCCTGAGGGACGTCATTCAGCTATAGATGCACTGGGGAAGATGGAGCAGCGCCTTCGCCTGGCCCTTGAGGCTGTCGACTATGACGTTGCTGTGTTGCATCGGGAAGCAGAAGCAACAGCAGCAGCAGCAGTTCCTCCCGTGGGCTCTTCAACAGCAGCACGCTCGAGTCACCAGTCGGACGATTTCTCGTCGCAGCCGCAGCTGAACCGCGACACGGAGGCCTCTCAGGGGGACGATGGAGAAATGGAGGATGAGGAGGGCTTTAAGAGCATGGAGTCTATGGAAGACAGCAGTGCAGCAGCAGCTGCTGCTGCTGTTGCTGCTGCTGCAGCCGCCGCTACTGCAGGTGGAGCTGCAGCAGCGGGTCTGTGGTCTAACCCCTGTAGGGCCCTGCTGCGGGCTGCGCTACAGTCGGCCGGGAGGCATTTGCCTAAGGGGAGGCGAAGAGGCGCGCGGGGGGGGCCTAGAGAATGGGGTGAAGCTGCAAGGTACCGTCCCCCTCTGGATGTCCTATGCCTTGCTGCGTCTCAGACAAAAGCTGAGTGCAGCCTTACGCCCGATGAGGCAACAGCAGCAGCCGCTGCCGCCGCTGTTGCAGCTACGGCTGCTGTCGCCAGCGGATCTGATGCAGCAGCAGCGGCTGCAGCAGCCGAGGTGCTGCTGCCCCTGAGTGCGGCGGCAGCAGCAGGCGATGGTGTAAGGAATATCCCGTGGCTGCCAGCTGAGGGCCCCATGGTGGACAGTTTAGCTGCCTCAAACCATTCTCAGGCATTCACAGCTGGCCTGCCGTTGCTTCGGGAGATATGTCGCATTGCCACAGTGGAATTGCGAGTGCCTACGTATCCCGCAGTCGCTGCTGCTATATCTGCGGCTGCAACGGGGTCGAGCTCCACTGCAGCAGCGGCTGCTGCCACAACCGCTGCTGCTAGCGCCATTGGGATTGCAGGACTCAGGAGGCTAGGCCTCCCAGGAGATCAGCAACAGCTTCGAAGGGGCCCCTTATGGGTGGAACCCCCTCCACCAGACGAAGAGGACGAGGGGCCTCGAGGGCCACCACCAACTCTGGTGTCACCATCTTGTAATGAGCAGCTTATGCTATTTTTAAGGCGTGAACTCTTTTCTCCAGATTTGCTGCAGCAGCTAGAGCAACAACCGCTTGGCTGCAGAGCCGAGCTGCTGCTGCCCAGCGGGTACGAGGAAGGAGCACATGACGGGGGTTCTTCGCCTGCTGCAGCAGCGGCCTTCCAGCGGCCCGAAGATCATTTTCAGCCGGTATTGAGGCTGAGACGACTTCGTACGACCCCCTCGAGGGGCGCCGAGGGGGCAGCAGGGAATGAGGCGGCAACAGACGCAGCGCATCACTTAGAAGAAAATACTGGGAGGCACTGCCAGGGACCTTTGGTGGTGGATGACGCTTTGGTCTTGATTAACAAGCAGCAGCAAAAGCAGCAGCAGGCTTTGGAGCAGCTCCTGCAGCAGTTGCGGGAATTGAGTCATGGCATCTCAATGCAGCAACTCGTTTTACTGGCAGCTATCGTCGATTCCATGAATCCTGCGGAAGCAGCAGCAGCTGCCGCTGCTGTTGGAGATTCTGATGCTGTGGTATTTTCTGACCAGAACAGGAAGTCGGATGCACCCGAAGCAGCAGCGGAAGGCACTGCATGCGAGAAGGACCAGCAGCAACAGCTTCAAAAGCTGCATGAGTGGCTCTCACTGTTTCCGCAATTGGGAGTTTCTGCAGGGCGTGCTGTTGCGCTGATGGCAGCAGCAGGGGAGCAGCAGCACCAACACCAGCAAACAGAAGGAGAGCCAATAGACATCCGGCTTACCTTCAGCAGCCTCATGCCCTTCCCAGACGAGGACCCTGGAGTTGTTGTCTCCTTCTTCCTTCCTCAGAAACGCGTGCCCCAGCAGCCGTGGAAGTGGGACCTGCGAATTTTGGAGGGTCCATTTCGCAAGAATCAGCCGGGCCACCCTTACAGGGGCCCCTTGAGCATCCAGAATGTGCGTCGGCGCATCTCCGAGAGGCAGCAGCGGCTCAGCTTCCTCTTGAGTCAGCAAAAGGTCGTCTGCAAGGCTTTTTATAAAGCTTGGAGGTGGTAAGCTCTTGTGGGGCGCCTTACGTCTTACGTCCTCTCGGCTCTTCTGTGCCTCCTTCGAATGGGCAGTCTCTTAATTTGCCTGTTGCTGCGCGTTCCATCTCTGTCCGTTTTGACCGCCTGTGATCCTCGTCCCCTGCCACATATTGAGCCATAACAGCATTGGGTTTGTGCGCCTGGCTTGTGCCGTACTGCATGGTGCGTTCTTGCCCGTTTGACTACTTGCGAACGTTTATTTTTCCTTCGCATATCTGTTCATCTCGTTTCTCGCAGCCATCGCCGCCAACTGGAGCGTCACCGTCTGGCCGCAGGCGATCTCTTCGGGTGGGGTGTTCTTCCCGTAAGAGCGGTGGACCATCCATCTCTCTTGATGGCTTTACCAGCGGGTTTCAGACAAGGAAATCCAAAGGAGCCATACGAGAAACAGCACAGCAGAGACACAGCAGAAGAAGTAGGCCTGCACGACCGAAACGGGGCGAGGAGACCGGCAGATGCCACTGGTAAAAAAGCACTCAAAGCCCTAGTGGGTTCTTGTAGAGTAATTGTTCAATAACAAGAACGTTTTCTGTGGGTCCTTGGCTCTTCCCTTAGATGATATTGTGATGGCCCAACTTTGGCTTTTGGCTCTAAAGGTTCGTTAGTGGGGGGAGGGGTTGCGAGTCCTTGGAGGACCCCATTAGCGAATTTTGTGGTTTCAAGTGAAAGGTTCGGACACGGCCCCATACAGAACACGCTCATAGCTCATGCCATATGTAAGATGACATGAGCGGTTTTGATGTCTCTCTCACAAAGAATCTACGACGCATTGTCTGATTTGAGCTGACAGACGCTACAAGGTGTTTCAACTGCGTCTTTAGCACCGTTCTAGGCTTGGCCACGAGTTTACGCGTAGAACCATTTTCGTGAACGGGTACCTGAAAGAGCCGTATGAAGTTCATATGGGGTCTTTTCTAAAAGGCGCGGGCACACTAAGGGCCCGGCATGATTGACATATATGTATATGAATGTGTCTATACATATCATGCCGGGCCGTGGGTCATGTACATATTTTGTGCAGAGGAAATTAGGCAGGTGTGTTTGTTCTGTTGCCGTTTTTTCGTATGGGCAAAACAGGCCGTAGGACCCTTCGTGGCGAGGCATGTAATGATCGTCAGCGGGCTAAGGAGGAGGCCGCAAGTCGTGAGAGCAAACGAGAGTGGATGCAAGCGAACTTCTCAAATTTGACGGGGCCGGGAGTCTTCTGGCGAGACTCGTGTCTCTTTTCCCAGGGGCAGAGCCTTCGACAAAGATTCCAACGGCAGCAAGAGAGCAGCGGCGTGCACCCTGTGGAGCTTCTACAGACAGACCCGGATTGGGCTATCTTTGATTGGGAGAGAGAATGTGGATACACCTGCAATAGTACCAGAGTCCGTCAACCCTTTATGCGCAGAGGTCTGGGGTTCTATATGTCCTTGCTCTTCAACGAGGTTATTATGGGGCTCATCGCACGCGTGGACCTGTCGGGCTTCTGTTTGCCACTGATGACATTGCTGGACTCTTCCTGTTAATATGCTGTTTTGTGATACTCAGGTGTTCGAACCAGTGGAGCAGGAAGCCGAGAGGAAAGCGGTGACGGTTTGGGCGGAATCTGAGGCGCGTACGTTTGTTGAGAAGTTTCTGATGTATCCAAAAAACTTCGAAAAGATCGCCGCTTGTCTTGATGGCAAGACTACCAGGGACTGCGTAGTAAGTGCTGTGTGGCTGTTGAGAAATGCTTGAGAGGAAGCTACTGCAGCAATCCGAGGAAGCATTGACGAGTGACGCGGTAGCTTGTATTATTGCTGCATTGCTCTGGGCCATCTGAAGCTGTTTGAGGTCCAGTGGCAGTTGTAACAGCAGGCGCTACAAGAGATTGCACGGAGGCGGTGTTCTGTTTGTCTCAGGATTTCTATTACCGATTCAAGTTTAAGTTCGGGCTTAAGCGACGTCTGCAAGAGCTGGAGGACGGAACACGGGTCAAAAAGAAGAACAGACACATTGGCTCCAAGCAAATACGGAGGGAAGAGCTCGTCGCAGAGGTGAGTCTATAACGGGTGTTCTCCCTTGCCTCAGCTCTAAGTTTAAACGAAGGACGTATTGCTTCTGGCGAGCACCACATCCTAAAGGGCTAAGCTGATGGCTCTCCATTCGTGGTTTTTCCATACCGACGCTTTTGGCTATGGGCAGATGTCAGGGAGCTGGGACGGTATGCAGTGTGTGCGTTGGCCTTTTGTCGGGCTTTGCGTACTGTTCTCAAAGCCTTGCCTGCTCATGCATGAAGTAATGTTTATTGATGTCTAGTGTGCTTGTTCAGCGGTGGGTCTCAATTTCTCCCTTGTTGGCACTAAATAGTTCTTGCATTTCTCTATTTCTCTGCAGGCTGTAGCTGGCCTGTCGTCGGACTGTGGGACGAGCATGATGCGACGTTTCAACGGTCGCAACTTCCTTCCATTTGACGTCTTCAGCGACCATTTGCTGCATCGCGACGCCTTGCAGACCACTCTCAAGGTAATGCACCTCGGTTTGTAGCACTAAAGTTACCGTGTCTCGCTCACCGGCAGCACATGAACACAGCAAAGTAGCTTTTGCTTCAACTGAGGACATGCCCTGCGCCTCTTCGTACTGTCTTTATGGGGTGTGTACACATAGTCTTTCTGCTAATACTCTGCAGTTCGCTTTCCCTGTGTTTTTTCTTTTCAAAGGACCCTCTGAGTTGTCGTGGAGAGGAGTGGGCAGATGGAGATAGCGATGGCCCCGAGATATTTGTGGAGAATATGAGTGATGGATATTTCTTGCCCGCAACCACAAAGGGCTTTGTAGGGCCAGGGAGAGTCGTTAGCCTTCCGGCGGATGCGGGGCTGTGGGGGCCAGGGCATCGGTGTTATGTACCATCTTGTTTTCTCATAGACCAGCCCCAGCAGACCCAACCTGAGGGAGCAGATACAGATGCCTCTCCTCCAGCCGCTGGCCCTCCTCCCTCGTTGAAGTTTTCGCAGCTGGATACACTGCTGACCTGTATACAAGCGGCCTCTCGGAAGCACTCTCAACAGGATGACGAGGGTCCTTCGTACATGACGCGGTCGAGGGCTGCCCGTTCGCGGCCAGGGGCCCCAGTGGCAACGGCTGGTGGTCAGGCACCCCAACAGATGGGATCGAGCAGTGTGCGACTAGTGGGGGCTGGCGGAGGCCACAGCGGTGCGGGGGCACCCATGGGACCCGGTCAGTTGTCTCCGAGGGCGAGGGCAATAGATTTACTACTCCAAAGGCTAAAAGGAATTGTGCGGGCGATGCAGCACAACGCTAGGCTGGCATCCAGGGAGCGGCGGCGGAGCCAGGCGGATGAGCCAGCGAATGCAGTGGGTGACCCTGGCATGCCGAGCAGCCCCATCACCCCCTTAAAGCTCACTTCAGATGAGGGCTTGCCACCGACCCCAGATTGAACAGGAATGCGTTCTGCCATTGTTGATTCAACACTGCATCAGGCCCTTCGTGCGGACGCAAGTTGACTAAACGGGTTGCAATAGTGCCCATTGGTCGTCGCGTCGGCTCCAGGCGCCATTTTGACATTACCGCTTGTTTTGTTGCTTTGTGTATTTCAATATCTAGAAAAATGCGAAAATGACCACGAAGCGATGTGTCTTGCATCGCTTGTCACATGCACTTACCCCTCTACAGGCCCATCTGCAGGGCCAGACAGCACGGCCTGCTTTCGGCTAACCATTCGTCCCTATGCAATGCAAAGACGGAGTCGTAGGGCAAAGGGACGGCTATGCGAAAGTTTCTTTGGATTTTACATTATCTATGAAAGCGGATTGCAACAAGTAGCAAGGCGTATGGATTTCTGCAGAGTAATGGCAGTACCATACATAGGTGGTTCTTCAGGCACTTGCTGCTCTTCCCAGGCTGAATGAACTGTTTGAATCCCAAAGTGCAGGTGAGCGTACGTGGAATGGGTCATTGCTACAGCGCGCTGTATTAACTCTTGGCTGATGCCTGTTTATCAGTTTGGGCCAATGGATATCTCATTGAAATGGCTCATCCTCTTTGGCACTGAGAAGGTAACTCCCTTGTTGCGTTGCCTTGGATCCACTGTCGGAGGCATAGAGAATCTGTTACGGTATGAAAACCAGTGGGTTCTATAGGAACTGCACCAGAGCTGCCGTCACATGAAACAATCCGCCGCTCAACTTGCTGAAAGCTTTCTCCCATGTGTTTGCACACGGGGATCAAAAATTATTTTGCCGATGGACGTGCGATTGTGGATGATAGAGTATTCAGGATTCGTCCCTTATGTAGATGGATATGCAGCAGGTTCATCTACAGAAGGGGATCTTAATTGTTTGATTACGAATTTGAAATGAATTAACCAGTTGTGTTTGCTCTTTAAGTATAATTTTTTGCTTTCAAGTAGAGCTACCTTGAGACTGAAAAATGAATGTCGCGTGCTTGCGAGCGGTATTGCTCTGTACAGCTGGCTATGAATGCCCGAAGTGGTCACAGGGTACGGAAAGGCGCATCCTAGCTCGTTTTCTACACGATAAAATCTTGCAGACTGAGTGCAAGGAGTCAAGCTAGCTAACCCAATTAGCGCTCAACTATTCCCTTCAATATTTTGGGATGAGACTTCACATGGAGACCACAAAAGTGGCATTGCTGGATACGCACGCGCTGAGCATATCCTAATCTCCTAGTTTGTATTCAGTAGGGTTCAGCTGTGGTAACAACAGGGAACCATTATCTGCATCCCCGATACAAGCTCAATATAATGTTTTCAAGTGTCTCTAAAAGGTCCGCTGTTGAGGGCTAAGCTAAATTTCAGCGCATTGTACTGCTCTGGCATTAGTTAATAAGGAATCAGTGAAGAATCGACGAATTTGTTTGTTAGTCAATCTTATTGATTCCAGGGTGCTGTTGGTTCAATATCGGAGGATGCATTGATTTTGGGGAGCACTTGCAGGTCTTCACTACCTCTGCTCGCCCCACAGCGGAAGCGAACGCCGTAGCTGCTATAGGTGCTCTTGAATAGCTCGGCTGCAGAGTAAGACGCATTTCACGTGATCAACCATGCAGTCGTCTTGAACAGGCTTATAAAACTAGAATGTCTTGCCTTTGCAGTACAGGTGGAAACTTACAAGTCCAAACGGCACGTAGATATGCTCGAGTTTGCGGGTGCGACTGTCTGTCTCCGTTTTGCGCCAGTTTCAGGGTGAGTAAAGGGTATGTGGGAAAGCGTCTGTGAAGTCAAATGCCACGCCGACTGCTGGTCTGTATAGCTCGTAAAGCAATTGACCAGTGTGCAGTACAGGAAATTTCTGCTTCACAGTGATCTTGTCCACCGATTTGAAGTAAATGTACGTAATCCAGCGTCCGTCCTTTCGGCACCAACACCATATATTACTCAGAAGCGGCGATAAAGTCCTGCATTTTACCTTTCTTCACTAGGTCATCCGACTGCCGCACACTCTCCCCTTCTTCCTACGAAGGCGCCGGCTTCCACGAAAACTGATTTGGGCTCGCTTTGTAGATTGGCTTAATACGGTGCCCTGGAAGATCAGCTGATGGCCAGTCTGCCAGCAGCTCGTGGTAGTTTTGCACGTTCGCAAATTCCGACTTGGTATCCGCCTATTCTTGATGTTCTTCGGCCAACGTTTTGGCTAGAGATCGAACTGCTTAATAAAGAGTCAATTCCAAAGCAACTAAGATGGGATGCATGCTCAGAACTAGCTTTTCTTACGGCAATGCTGAGCCGTCCGCAAGAAAGCTCCTGCCTCACCTTGCCATGGCTCCAACTCTACCTTGCTCAACATTGACTGTACATGCATTGTTAAGGGAACCAGGGGTTGCTTCTTTTCAGCGCTTCCTAGCCTACTAAACTCTGCAAGGCACAGCTGTGGCAGCGTTTGTACCTTCCGTTGAATCACTTATGGCATACCAACGATTACAGCATGTTGCAGAAGTCCGACATTGACGTCTCTGACTGTGCGCAGAGAAACCACATCCTATTGGAATTTAGCAATTGATTGTCCTATGCTTGCCAATCCGTGCGTCCTGCAACCCGTTTGCAAATTCGAGGCTCAGGGACTGCGCTAAAAACGGGGACTGAGCGACTGCTTTCATGCGCTGTCCCCTCTGATAAGAAATCCAATGTTAACCCAGTGTCAAGCAACGGTTGCGACTTTTGTCTACTGACATGAGCTAACACCAGTGCAGGATTGGCCCGCAGTTAAGCCCCGACTAAAACTCTGTCCACCGTGGCCCGCTTCACCGCAATCGACCTGTGTAGCCTTCCGCTTCACTAATGCACTTTCTCTCCTCGTCAAGCAGCCTGCCTCCGCTGAAACCAGCACTGTTCTTCAGTTCGTGGCCTTTTGCAGATGCGTTTTGGGGAGGCTGTTAGGGGTTGCACAGAGCTTGGAGTCCATCAGTCTTTCTTCCACAGATCCCGTCCTAGTTTTTGTCCGCTCTAGGGTGTGGGCTAGGGGTGGCTCGCTGGAGCGACATCCATTGGTTTTGGACCTTGATTCGGCTCCTCCTTTCCAGCCAGAGACATAGGATTTGAGCTTATTCGTTCCTGATTTCTAAAGAAGTCTATGATATGTTGAAGCCCAACGGGGCGGTTGTTTAGTGTCTGAGCTTCTACCCGTCATTGGACCACCACGTACACCTCAGATATACAACCTTAAAGCCACTGCAGCCGTTGCCCGTGTAATTTGTGGCGCGTGCGATTGATACTTCAATATCTAGCGAAATAAGTGTTTATTCAACGATTCTTCTGCTTCGGCTGTCGCAGCCTCCCAAAGCTTGCTGTCGTCAGCAGAGACCGACGACTCAGGGCTTGTATGAAGAGTTGAGTGGTAGTACTCTTTGCATTAGATGACCTCTGCATGAATAGAGCCATCATTGAAGTGCTTTTTTCCAATGATCACGCCTTAAGGAGCAGTAGTTTCTCTATATCAATAGAGTAAAAAGCAAGCTCAGTCTCAAACTGGCTGATGATAACTTCGGACACTCGCCAATCCTTACTGCCGTTATGCTTTGCTGCTTGGCCTAGCCTCATGGATGCATGCATTCACATTGCAGCGACTGATAAAACATGCCTTTCTGCCAGCGGTGGAGACAGCGCGTTTACATTAGCTTGCAGGGCGGCCTCTGTCGCCCCAAGAGGCGTTTCTCCACCTTAAGTACCCATTGCCACACACTTTTATGTTAGCCTGTTGTTAAAGATAGTAGAATATCGACTGGTCAAAAGTTGTAGAGTAAATTTTTAAAATGTTGAACGGTGGCCCGGCATTCCACTACATCCACAATGGGTGGATGAGCGTAGCACAGGTGCATCAGGCCATGCAGTCCTACGAACTGGAACGTTTTAGTAATGGTCACCCTGCGGAGACAAATGTCTTTTAGACGGGTGTAGAGATAAGGCAAGTGTTTTGTAAAGTTGTTTGAAGACATCAAATTGCCAATACAGAACCCCTTGGAGCCATAGGCATAACGGAATTAGGGACAGCTAGGGTGGTGGATGCTGCAGACATTAAGCAGTCCAAGAAATCACTGCTAACTGCATATAGCATCCAGCGCCTACTCACACAGCATTGTATTTTCATGCTTTTAATTAATGCTCGAATAAAGTAAGAGTAAGAACTACAAAAAACCAAGTGCTCAAGCCATCACTAAATCTAGAATCAAACATAACTGACGTAGTAGAAAATGCCTTTGTGTGGTTCAGCTCGCTACAAGGGGTAAGGAACTCTCGTGCATAGCACTCCAGACCTCTCTATTCAAATTGTCCTCAGTATGAAACTGAGTGTCTTCTTGCAGAGACCACAAATCAGGTAGCACCTCCTGGTTGAATGCAGCTGTTCCCCGTTCATCCCCTGTCTGTAAATGCAGTGGGGTGTGAGGTTTTCCTACAACCATTTCCGAGTTTTGAGAACGTCTTTTGTTAGGTCAATTTTCAAGTTTTGCTAACAACTGGCTGAAGAAACAATCTGCCGAGGGACGTTGACGGTGGCGCAACACCTGTTGAGGCAGTAGAGTCCGGACCGCCAGCTAATGTGAACACAGTAGGTCCACAGTAGGCAGGAAGGCATGCTTTGTCAGTTGATGTAATGTGTATGGATGCGTCGTGTGCACAAATGTCGAGGAAGGCAAGGATGGAACGATGATAGCTAGCGGTCCGTTGTGAGCTTCAAGCCTGGAGATTTGGCCATCGTGGGTCAGCAGGACGTACGAGGCGTACCAGAGAGCGAGCAGAGAAAGACTTTTGCCGTCATGAGGGAAAGGTTACTCACAGTTCTCGCGGCAATCAAGGCACATTCCTAATCGATCGATTTTCCTAAAGTTGAAGTTTTCACAACCCCTTTAATGGCTTCCCAAGAAGACTTCAGGCTGACCCATACCACTCACAAACTTGGCGCGCCGGCGATTGACCCCCGTATAGGTGTTAAAATTACAAGGGATCGTGTAAATGGTAAAGCTCCAAACTGTCGAACGCCGAGGATACACTAGAAGGAAGCTTCTCGTCAAATAGGGTGGGGAACGTCAGCACCAGTGATTGATGAAAGGGCAGTTGCAACCGTCGGCATCTGCGGGGTCTTTCTTATTCAATCCGATCAACAAGGCTAGTCGACATGGACGCCATTGATTGTGCTTAGTGGTAATTTTCCTTGTCAGACATAGGCTCTGCCTGAAATGGCTGAGGTCATCAATGGGCCTGCTTGAAGTGTTTATGTTTACTGATGCTACGGTGTTCACTACATTCAGATTTGTGAACAGACAGACTCGGGTATTATTTCTACACACAGTTCCTTATGCCTATATTGGTGCTTTGAAGTAAACTATGCTGCACCTGATATCGCATCGGCCACGCATTCCCAGACACTGCATTGTGAGACGCCGAGGCACCACTAAACAAATTCGTACTTGCAAGCATCGCTGAACACCCTTTGTCTCTTCTGTTATCTAAAAATAGGCGCTCATGTTTTAGCGCTCTAGCCATGGCGAGTCACTGGGACGCCGCGGCCGTGCGGGTATCGTCCTGCCGTTGTTGGCTAGTGGCGTTGTGTCTTTCTTCCCTTCCATTTTTATTTTTGGCCCAATAAAACCTTTGCCCTCGTCGCGTGCATTGCTGCTTGCGGTTTTGATTCGCTGGGGTAGTGGCGGTAGGGCGGAAATACCTTCTTAAACTTGCATGCCTTTGTTCTCGATTGGTAGGTACGAAAAGTGAGCACACGTAATTGGAGTTTGGGAAAAGGCGGACGCAAACCAGCACACGCCGTATCATTTTCCAATGTATGAGTAACATTGAGCAAAGAATTAGTGAAAACTGAATAATTGTTATGGCTGTTTTATTGCTTATTTGCTGCAGAGTATTATTAGCCTGACACACGAAGACGCATTTTGGCATATGCGACAATTTTTTTTATGTGGGTTTTTTTATGTGCAACTGGCTGTGATCGCTCGGATTGTGCAAACACATACACCCTAGCTAACTCTCTTCGCTCGTGTCGGCCTCCTGAGGGGCTCAAGTAGGCAAAGGGGGCAGCTCCTTCAAGAAATATTTGGTAACTTTTCATTTTGTTTAGATTGAGTCTGAAGTTGAGCGTCTTCTTGAAGAAACAGATGGATCGTTACATCGACCTTCCGCGCAGTCGTCCGACAGTACTCCAGTAAAGTGGCCGTTTTGTGTACACCAATAATCCACTCTGCGTACCTCTGCTAGATGAGATCCCCAACTCCGAGAATGATTTTCCGCTAGCAAAGTACCCCAGTGTTGGAGCGGGGATCCTCTATCATAAGATGTTTTCTCTTTTAAAACTTTTGCTTTCGATATGAAATAGCATCAACATGCGGCTTTTGCATAGCGGCGAGTATTCCCGTGTGTCCGCTAGATATCCTGTTTACTGCTAAGAAAGAGGTCTGACTTACTAGATTGCTGGTGACGACTGAATCAATGGAAGATCCAGATAGAGAAGTAAACCTTAGACACCGTAGACATAGATGGTCCTGGCCAGCAACAGTGGTTTCAAAGACTTCCGATCGACTCCGCCTCAAAACCTTGCATATACTTCAAGGCATACCTCTGAAGAAGAGAACCTTTTTGATTCAAAGTGCTGCAATCTCGTCCTGTCCTCAGCACACATAGTTCCGGAACAAAGGAGACAGCACAACGGACGTGCGTGTTACTTCAACCCGTAAGGACTGCGAGCATTCTCACTCTCTTGCGCAGTGCAGCTTAGCGTACCGCAGTATTGCCCTCATTGTCAGCATGTGAAGCTAAATAAGCGTTCTCCGTGACAAAAAATGTACGAGTAAATGCTCCGCCCAATTTTCTGGAGTTCTTTGATTGCTCTGAATCTCTTGCTATTCTCAAATTGCCGAGTCCCTCTCATGGCTTCACAATGGTAATCGAGCCCCTATTTCATATTTTGGCTTCCCATAAGGTTTCGAAATACCACTATAAGCAATCTCCGTACTGTCCCTACCACAATCAGGCAAAAATTGGGTTGGAGGGGAGAGAGCGTAGCTTGGATGCATGACCGTCCACCCTTTTGCGCACTTGATTCATTTACATCCGGCTTCAAAAAGCACTTAGTGCGCAGGCAAACAACATACATTGTGCTATGCAATCAGCCGACTCTTCAGCAGATAGAAAACGCAGAGCACTTTTAATAGTAAATCTTCCATGAATAAAGTCGTCACTGTAGAACGCGCCCTTGTGTGGCTTGTCCGCTGCAACAACTTGGGTCATTAGGCACAATATTAACCCTTTTAGTATTCAGATAGCATTAATCGACAGCCCATAGGATATCAGAACAGCCGAACCAGGCACTTGTCGCGTACTCACCCTAAATCCAGATGCAGATTGGATTGTCTAGCTACATTCGTTCAGATGTGGCTGTGCCTGCTACACACCTTGTAACCCGGCCCACCGACAACTGCCATCACAGGATACAGGTGGCCTGTAAGGATTAGACTCAATAGGGTGTCATCAGCGCACAAACATCTCTCACAAAGCAAAGAATTGGTCAGCACATTTTCTACTGGGAATAGGGCCAGAGTCCAATTATCAAAGCTGCAGTGGTGTAGTGGAGATGCTGCGCTGCAGAGCACCCCGTTTTATGATACATTCAGCTGCTTTATCTGGTCCCTAAGTGCTGAGTCCGTGGACAAACTTGCTGAAGCGAGCCACAACACGCTGTGCTGCCAAGTTGAGGTGAATGGCACAAACCACGACGGGTATGGAGTTGTTTGTTTGCATACAAAGCCCCGAAGACACTACCATATATCGTATTACATTAAGGACAGGTGCAGAAGTTGTTTCCACACGTGGAACGGGATCTGTCTAGGAGAGCGTTTGTCCTGCATGGCATGGCCCATCGATCCTGAGTAGCAGCTGCACATACGGAGGACAGCCCACTCGACTGTAGGGTTCAGCAATATCGACAAGCTTTCTCAATAATATTTCATTAAAAAGCTTATATCTGTCACAAATACAAGCAAATATTAAAGGATGACCGAGCCTGTCTAAGTGTGAGACCATACCGCCCTACATTCTCTGCTTAGCGGCCAGTAAAACATTGGGCCATTGGCTTGCACAGCAAAAGTATACACACCTAGGTAGCATCCGAACTCCCAAAGGACCTCAGCGTATTATTTTCGGCTAGTGTTCCTGTTAGTTTTCTTTGGCTGCCCCCTACATTTTTTCATTTGTTTTTTGCCGTCGTCGCAGTTGTGGTCCATTGCGGCCTCCCACGGCTGGGGCTTCGGCTTTTGTGCTCCTGACCGCCGTGCACAAAATCTACTCTTGAAACAGGAAGCTGTCTTTCCCTTTCTATATGCACTCAGGAGATCTTGACTTAGGAGAAGTGGACTGAGTGGGAGATTTACGCCCTCCGACTCGCCTGCTGGTAAGCCATTGCGGGGAAACACAGAAAACATCTTGGTTTTGCCGTTTTTGTCCTCAAGCAACCTTAGACACTGAAATTAGAGCGGTTTCAGGGCTCCGCATGTTTCCATGAGTATTTGGTTGTAGAGTGAGGCGCTCATGGCGACGGCCAGGCTCTGGGCATCCAACGGACACGCATTGGAGCTTGTGCTGTTTGGGCTTGGCCCTTTAATCACAGCTCAGCCAAAGTTTCTATTGCTGCAGGATAATGCGTAGCGGAACTAGAGGTGCCTTTGATAGCTTTAAGGCCCCATTTGTCCACGGCCTACAACGGGGGACCACTGTCATCCGGTGCACGCGTAAGCAGTACATTCACGCCCTAACCCTACATTTCTAAGTGGTGCACGCGCAAGCAGTACGTCAGCTCAGGCTTATACTTGAGGGAGTAGAACAGTTTGCGCCGGTAGAGCTCACTACAGTGCGCCCTTCATTGGCATGTTTTAAGGTGTGCAAGGGGTGAATTACAGTGCCTGCAATTTTCCCTCAGCACCACCACCCCTCGAGGAAATCAATGCCAGAAATGAACTGTGTAAGTGACATTTTGGCTATCGTCCTACTATTTTATGTCTCTTTGTCTCACACTGCCCGCTTTTCGTGTGTCTGCCCCGCCTTCGATTGCTTCCAATGCCTGTCTCCATCCCTTCTGCATCCAGTGTAAAACTATCCAAAAAAGTTCATCGTCGCTGCTCTAAGAAATAAATGTTAACGCATTTTTAGCCCGTATTTGAATAATACTGTGTAAATCCGAGTGCATGCTTGGGTTTAAAAAACCGACGAACAGGGCGGCTAGGCAGAGTCCATGGAAGCCTAGCACTGAATAGACCCCGTTCAAACCATGAAGGATACGAGGATACTGGCTCTTTCTGTGTATCTTCTCCAATTAAACAACTGCAGACGCTCAGTACTATGGCGAAGTGGAGTGGCGTCGACACCACATGGCTCGGGGGCCAGGTGCCGCCTTACCGGGTGTCGCGCAACAGCAGATGCAGGCGTCCACAGTCAGACGGACAGCACCCGGTGCCAAGGAGCCTCAGGCACTTGCACTAACGGCAGTGACCATTGATTCAAAGCCTGAAGCATCTAACGAGGTCGAGATACCAGAACGGATGGGCTGGGACAGCTTGAAGCAGGTAAGGCGGTAGCTGTTGCTGATGCTGTTTACCTCGGGATATGGCTTCACTTGTCTTGGTCAAAGCGAATGCTCGTTTAATTTGTCGGGCTTTTTTTATCTCTTTGATTGTGACTCTGTGGTATGTGGCTGCCATTCCCGTGGGGACCCAGGAGCCGTGCAACTGCTTGCCCCCCGAAGAAGATGCTGGAAAGGAGATCTACTGTACTTCAGAGCAGGTTCAGGAGCCCAATAGACATGCCTCGTCTTCCTCGTCTGCACAGGATGTCGTCGACTCGCCAAGAATCCAGGAGTACTGGGCGAGGGCCGACCAAAATTTGAATCACGACAGTGCTGGAGACACCGCTAGTACGGACTGCTTTCGAGGGGCCCTTCGCCAGACCAGCGCTGGTGTAGCGCATGGTTTGTATCTAGATAGTAGTGATGGAAACCTTATCCATGATTCCTTTAACGTCGCTGTCTACCTTGTGTGTAGAATCCACCTGCATGCCCGTAATACCACACAGCACTGCTTCCGCGAGACAAATTCTCAAGAGCCGTGCCTCTGGCTTTTTCTTGCTTGATAGTCCTTCAAAGACCTGTATGATGCCTGAATTCGTTATATCACCGCGTCACGAGCCTCTGGAAGATGTCTTGACCATAGGCCTTCAGTAAAATTACAGTGTTTTCATGGCATTGATTGGAGGAATTGGAAATGTCCGTGATCTTACGTTGTTTGCAGAAAACTGCTCTCAAGTAGACATGACGATTGTTCGGGGGTACATCGACATCGCCCATGCGTTGCTCCGCCACTTTGAGGAGGCGCTTGAGACGAAGCAGCGGCTCACAGAGGGCAGCCTGCAGTGTGCAGAGACTGTGTGTAGGGCCTTGCAGGCCCTTAAGGACACAAACCCGCGCTTAGAGCCTTTGGTGGAGCGCATTATGATGGCCACTGAGCTCTTGCACAAGCGAAAAACGGCCGATGAGAAATATGCTATGCAGCACGGCCTGCCGTGTGTGGTACGGTCTCCACAATAACTAAAAGTGTCATTTGTTTTGGACTGATGCTGGGAGTCCCTTATGATTGGGTTGAGCAGCATTTGGCAGAATCGCAAAGTAGGTGCTGCTGGCTGTGGATATCATGCGGCTGCAGGACTACCCGCAGCAGGATACCACGGACTTGGCCTGTCCGCCATGGGCAGCCACTGCCCCTCTCTACGTGTGTATTCAAAATAGTGCAAACAGGAGACATGAGCATCATTGGTCTCCAAGGAGTATAAACCGTCTAGATCAGGCAGGATGGGAGCTGCGTGAGGTTCCGTGTAGCCAAGACCATTCCGCGGTTCATAGTCCCCTCCGTACAAGGACGCAGCCGAAGCACTCTGCCGGGCCTCCTCCTCTTAAAGCTGCGCCTCCTAACGAAATGCTTCCGCTGGCAGTAACGGAACTGCAGGGAACTACAGTAGAGCCGCGCTATATCTCGAGATCTTCTATGGAAACAAGCGATGTAGGGAGCACTGATGGTGAAATGAACGCTGCAATGGCTGTGAACCGTCACAAAGCCTCCGCGAACTGGTGTGCAATGGACGGAGCCGTACAGGAAGTTCCACGGGAAGGCGCAGGCATTGTCGGACTGCAGCCCTCTGCAGGCACTTCAGCGTCACCTACCGCTCAGCAGATCTTTCATCCCCAACCCCCAAGAACAGGTTGCCAAGTGGCACCCCTGAGAGTACTCGATTGTACAAGAGGTACATGCGAAACCGCGGTTCTTCTGCCAGCACCAGAATTGGGTTTACAACCATCCCAGAGTACCATGGGTCTCCCGATCACACATCTCGTTGGTCCGCAAGCGGGTGGAGGCGGTGAGGGCACGTGCCACAGCAGCAGAACACAGAAGGCCTCTATGCCGTTCAGAGGCACCGAGCAAGACATGCAGTTTAGACCTCGTGTCCTTAGTGAGACCCGCTTGCTGACTGACACCGACTCCTCGCAGAAACTAGAGGATGCAAGCAGTAAGAAACAACTTGTATGCGCGCTGTTAGGACCTTCGTCTATATGTCCACCACGCTGAAAAGGGCGGCAATGTGTTGACTAGAAGGCGACTACACAATACACGTTAGCGTGCATCAAAACCGTGACATAGAGGGAAGAAAAAGCGAGAGAGCTGGTAGTGATGTGAGGGAACGAAAGAGCGCATCATTTGCGACAGGCGAAGTAGTAATACCATGGGGTGATTCGTGGGTGGTTAAATAAGCTTTAAATGAGGTTCTGCCGCCTCGAATTTTACGTGTCTTGTCCTCAGCAGCGTCAATTGCGGAGGCCCTTTCGTTTATTAAGTACTGTACCGACTTTATCCTGAGCAGAGAAGGCCTAGAATATGTTGAAAAGAAAGTGTTTCGATACAGCAAGGCCAAGGAGGCCGGTAGAGTTGCTGCGAGGCCCACCATTCCAGAGGGCATGACTTCCGCTCAGGGCAAGTACATCCTCCTTCACCACGCCATCGAAATGGTTGAGGACGAGTATGGGGATAGTCCTGCAGCTGAAGACCCGCATTTGTACCTTCCTGATTTGAGGCGCATGGCAGACATCGTAGTAGGCACCGTTTCAAGCGAGCAGTCAAATGAAAGAAACCAGGATCTGACTAAAGGTAACGCAACACTTGCTTTATAGTGTCGCGCTTCTAATCAGGAAGAGTTCATGACGCCTTTTTAAGAGTTCTTAAAAGTGCTTTATCTCGCTCTCCACCATGTAAAATCCACAGGCTGCCGCTGCGCGAATCTTCGCGTTGAGTGCGATTCCTGTATACGATCTCTGTGAAACTGTTTGCAGGGAAAGACTCACAGAGATCTCATAGTGGGCACTCGCTGCCTGAACGGTTCCCAGAGCAACGCATGGAGCGCCACTTACCGCTCTCCATATTTAACCTTCCCGCTACAGGGCACAGACTGGAGGGGAGAGAGGGACGCGCGTCTGGCCAAGGGTATTTGACGGTACAACAACCTGAGGCGTCTCCCATCGATTCAGGCGTAGAATCTTGGCAACCTGTCACTCTACCGCAGACCCACTTGGCAGAATCTGCCACCGGAAGCGCCCCTACTGCCCAGAGATCCAGTGACATCAGATTACTGAAGCCACTTTCTAGTGCCTCGAGAACTTTGCTCAGTTCCCAACCCTTCCTCGGAAAGGAAAACATGGAACGGAGCTCGATGATGGGTTACAGTCAGTCCTCTAGACTTCCTAGAGGGCGCACTTCGTCCATCCCTTCTCCACTCCAGGGACTCTCGGATCTTTCTTCGGTGTCAGACACACAGGATGATGAGGCGCCCCACAGCACCTCGCCTAGTCCTTTGCCCCCTCCAAGTTCGATTTCTTCAAGGGCACCATCGCCGTCTGATGCTCTTCCCCAGCCCAGTGCACTCTCTGGTCTACTGCATAAAAGAAAGGACGATTTCTTGGGTAGTGCTGATAGCTTGTTGGCTGGCGAAGCGGGCTCCGCATCATCCGCAGTCCTTAGAAAGCCTGCAGGTTATGGAAGTGGCGTAGCAAAGGCCGCTGGTATAAAGGGGTCAAGGGCGGAAGTCGGTGCGTCATTGAATCTCCTCGACCCCGCTGCTATGGAACAAGATGCTCTAAAGCTGAGTATTCGTAGCGTCGTCCGAGACTCCACTAGCGGTGCAGTAGCCTCCAGGGTATTCAGGCCCCCGGAGAATAACACGGGGCAGGCACATCTGGATTTGCCAACAGCACAAGGCCTACGAAGTATCATTGCTTCCCGTACGGTATCTCCTGAGCTACCTAAAGAACCTCCTGGAAAGGTGATGGGGTCTGTACGATTGAGCGACCCAGATTAGAGTCACAGTGTGCAGCGTCACCCCCAATTCCAACCTGGTCAATTTTGGCTTTTGCAGTGTTGTTTGCGCGCCGAAACCGCGGCAGTATCATTCGGCAGTCGGACACGGGGAAGAATAGAGCAACGAAGAACTAAATGTAATGCACCTGGAAACCTAGGGATCTCAGCAACATTGTGCAGGTAAAGGTAACCATAGGTCAAAGGACAGACATTGAACTGCTGGTGGTGGCTTAGGATTTTATCTCAACTACTTGCTTCTCACGTATCCCTCAGTGCATCAGCAGCCAATAAAAGGCATCAGATCAGAGACCTCTCTGGGCTGTTGAACCACAGGCTTTTCCCAAAGCGTAGCATTAGTTGCCCGTTTCCGATAGGGCGGCACCATGCAGGCCGTGGGCGCAAATGGTCGGGCGTGGGAAAGCCCGATTCCATCGGGTTCGCGCAGATTTGTGTAGTACTTGTTAAAAAAACGAAAGTACATCAGCAGTACGTCCACTTGCTTTTGGGGACCGGGGGTTGTAGCATAGCTTTTCCTCAACGCTGGAAGTTACATGCAGGAAAAGTACAAGGGATGCCTTCTGCAGCCACCGATATGCTCCCTCTGGCTAAAGTAGTAAAGATAAACTGTAGACACTTTCTGCTTTTTTCTGCTACGCCACCTGTGGTAGCTCTTCCCATTACAGCAAAAAGAAGTGGATGGATTGCAGATCCCAGCTCGTTCCTCCCCCGTGAAGCAGGCTGTATACTTGTACGACCACTTTAGCTTGCCTTTTAAGCATTAATCGTGATGCATACGAACTGTGGGTTACGCTGTGCCAGGTTCCTCATTGTGCTTCATGCAACAGTCGGAGACTCCAAGCAGGGTAAAAAACGTATTCAATCAGATTTTCTTTTCACCTTCCGAAAAAAACTGTACTGCTTTTTCCTGGGCCCCGTGGTCATCCACTCAAGGGCACACAGTCCTGGCTTAAGAAGCAAGAAAAAGCTCGGCTAGCTTAATTCGAAGTCAGCTTGCAGTCCCACATGCGCAATGCGTAGTCCACTCAACAGGCATGGAGACTACGCTGATACTGATATGAAACACCTAGCATGCCCAAAGAAGCACAATAGGTTACTACAACCATGCCAGCCACCTCGTGAGTGCTGATCTTAGACGCGATCTCACCAAAGTGGACAGTGAAAGTGTAACTTACCCAGCTGTGACGCGGTTCGGGGTCCTCATGGAGTTGCAGAAATTGAAGACTCTCACTGATGGCTGGTGAATACACGTTCATTCATCACCACAGGATCGTTGCTTGATTAAACTTGTTTGGTTATGCGTATTTCTTGCCCTCACCCAAGCAGAAGTACTCCACTATACCTAGAGTCAAGTTCAAGGGAAAAAGATGGAGAGCAACTAGGGCCAGAAAATCTCAAAAACCCCAAGTACGTTGCGTACAGAGATGTATTAAAAGGCTACGTAGAGTGTTCTTCCTTACATTGAAACAGGATGCGCCGTTTCGGGGGTACTTGTGACACAGACCCACCATGAAATACGCTTTGCAGTAGACATACATTGCACCTTTTACACGTTTTCCATCGTCGTGGGGAGTCGTTGAAGTAAAACGCTTCCCCTGAGTTGATAGAAGGTCATTTCTCTCCCAGGTTGGCTGCACCGTGAGCGCGCGCCTTGGAGGGGTCCTCTTACATGCAAGTAGGTGTGCAAGTTTCTTGGGACATGTTCTTTTCCTCGTAAAAAAATCTTCATCAAGGTATGCTGTGCAAGCGTCTCTTGTAATGCTCTTTCTCTGCTCTTTGTGTTGCGTTCGATGTGCTGAAGGCGGAGACCCGCGCCCTATGTGGAATCGCATCAGCACTGTGTTAAGAACTTCTTTCTTGTTCCCCTTTCCCTTACATCGTCGAGTTCCTCCTCGCTTTGCGTAGAGAGGCTTCTGGTCATCCTGTGTTCCATGTGGCACAATTCTGACTCGGATCCTCGCGGGGTGTGCCTCTGCCCCTGTTTCCATCCACAACAGGTCTCCAGCAGTAGTGTAGATTCAGGCTTTGCGCACTTCGCATCCAGACTGGCTACTAATGCCCTGGATTAGGGCGCGTTTCAGCCCTTCTGCACGCTTTGCTTCCAGTAATGCCCCACTAACGGCCCTTTCCGATGGAAGAGCCACTTCCCATGACGAAGCCGCGCGGCGATTCAGCTCCACATTCTGATCCTCAATACGCTGTGCCGCAGCCGTTCAAAGGGCAATCGCTGGCCCCTCACTCCAGCCTCAAGCCATCACAGCTGTCAGAGCCTACCCACAATATGCCAACACTCAGCGGCGGCAATGCTGGCCGTTCTGAACGCCCTCGTAGGTCTTGCGGATCCCGGCCTTTTACTGAGAGGGGCACTTCAAGGAGTGCCTTGGCGCTTGCGCCAGGTGAGGGCAAGCTTCAGGGGCATCAGACCCCTGAAGGGCTTCCCGTCGGCTGTACGGATGCACGAGAACATCTGGAGCAGCGCGAATCGGCAAAGACGGCCGAAGAACACCAGGTGCTTACTGGCCATCCCGGACTCCCACAGCTGCCCAAGGAAGTGCATATTGTGCAGCGACGTCAGCAGCAGGATCAGCAGGTAGCTGCTCGCCAGCACCCTAGAGGGCAGGCGCCGAGACGCTTGGCGGGGGGGACTAGAAGGCCGCCTTTTCTGGAAAAACAGCATCGATGGCAGCCGGTACCGTCACAGAACGTAAAAGAGTCTGTGCCTCAGCCTTCGGAGCAGCCAAGCGATCAATGCATGCAGCAGCCACAGAAAACGCAGCTACGGCAACAGCACCGGCAGAAGCAGGGAGGCGGGCGGCAGCAGCAACACCACGGGGCTCAGCAAGAAGGAATACAGCAGACGTACACACATCAGCGAAGATATGTGCACACACGTGGCCATTGCGGCCAGCAGCAACAGGACGAGCGTCAAGACAGTCGGAAGGAGTCGGAGCAGCGGCAGCAGCAAAAGCCACGACGACACCAGCAGCATGGGGCAGAAGGACTGCAACAGCAGCTCCAAACAGCACCGAAGCAGCAAATGCCACACAGGTCGCGGAATGAATACCAAACACCAAAGTCCTCTCGACGAGCATGCGAGCGCCCTCAGCTCTCTAGAGACCTCCCCTCTGTCGTGGTGGAGCTGCAGCGCCTGCGCCGGCAATTTTCAACCTCTTTTTCTCTCCTCTCCTGCCACCCACTGCTTCTGCCACAGCTGCAGCAGAAGCCGCCCCCACAGAGTGAAAAGCCGTCTTCGTTGCTCTCTCGGACTGCGGTTCAGAAAGAGGTCGAAGACTCACGACGTCTCACAGCAGCCGCCGATGCTACGATGTATGAGCGCAACCGCGAAGAGGCTTTGAATAGCAGTGTCACAGCCCAGGAGGCTTCCAGTGCCGCAGCAGCGCCAGAAAATGGCGAGAGCTCTGGCTATGTGAACGCTCCAGCTTGCTCTACGGGAGTGACAACTGAATGCGACAGCTTGTGCAGGTTTCAGGTGCTCCTGGTTCCAACGGATCCAGAGTTCGACTTCACAGCGCTGCCACGGGGTCTGCAGCTGGAGATAACAGTACAACTGGATTATCCGGGGGTTAAGGATGTGTTCAGCGCGCCACTCATCAATGGGCAGCCTTCTGTAGGCCAGGGAGGCAGGGACGGGTTTGCGGCCCCTGAAATGCATCTACAGGGCGGAAGTGCGGTGGATTCGTCTGTAGAAACCACAGAGCAAGGAAGACAAGCTGGATCTGATGACGCTTTTGTTCCAAGAGAGCAGGAGCGCGTGATATTCACAGGATCACCCACAGCAGCGCTGCCGCAAGGGATGCAGTCTGCGATATCTACCTCTCCTGTCTCGTCTGGTGCGTCCTCGGATGCCCACGGTGTCAAGGGCCCCACAACTTCTGAGACTTTGGGGAAAGCTCGTCGTGTCGCGGCTTGGGTGCGGGTCTGCAACGAAGACATCAATGATTGTCGACGGCAGGCCGTTGAATCGGTTTTTTCAAAAGTGATAAAGAGGCAGCTGGATATGCTGGTAGTGACGGACCTTGTGCGCACGGCGATTAAAGCGGTGGATCGAAACATTAGGGAGATATTTCAAATGGATTCGGCGTTACTCGCCGCAGCTCTGGGGAAGGCAGATGTGGCCTGGACCCAACAGGAGCAAAAGAAGTAAGACAAAATATAAAAGATGGTTTTCTTCGTCTTCAGGAATGTGTGGTAGTAAAGGCCGTCCCGCGATGCTTCTTCCATTTTTGTTATCAGATAGATCACGAACGGGTTTATTACTCAACTGTGCAACCCCCTCGAGTCTCCGCGGCGTTTGCCATGCATCCCCACCGGCAATCGCGCACACCAACCCGGACCCAGTGCCTGCGCACCTGGTAGACCATGACACGCTCGCCTGATTTGTGTAGTGCAACTTCATCAAGCTTTGGATTCCGGCCGCTGGCGTTTGCTGGTGGAGGGGGGACGGGGCAGCTGGCCCTTCTGATGTTCCACGCCTGCGGGTGGGGCGGTGTGTGCGCTGCGTGTAGGCTAGAGGAGGCTGTGGTGCTGTACCGGCGTGTGGTGGATCCGATTTTGCGCTGGCGGAATATCAGCAGTCATGTGGGTACGCGCAGTGCGAAGCAGTGCGCCCTCAGATTTCAGCACTGCAGAGAAAATGTCTTGAGCCAACGCCAGCAGGTGAGCGCGGCTCCCCTCTGTGCTTCGTAATAGGTTTCATTGCGCACTTGTCTCAGCGCGAGGCTTAGAGGGCCCGGCTGCTTCGAAGCTGGTGCGGATTCCCCTGATCAAGTGAAGGCTGATAGGGGTAGAGAGGGCAGGGGCCCCCGGCAGAGGACAACAATGCGCCGGTCCCGTAAGGCGTGAGCGGAGCCTAGGGATACTCTAGGATTGGGTCTGTGCTGCTGCAGGCAGTAGATGATGATGAAGGCAGTTTGAAGCGAGAGAATGAGGATACGCAGCCTTCCTGTGAAGTGCGCCAACCGGATGATCGGGCGCAGGACGAAGACAAGAACGTCCACCTGGGGAAAGCGGGGGCTACAGCTGTAACGCTGCGTGGGTGCGATGTTTCGTTGCTAGAACCAGTAGCAGAAGGTGCCACGTCTCTGCACCTCAGCGCCCTACGGCTTCAAGTGGCATGCAGCCGCTGCAAGAGCGAATTTGACATGCGGGTTGTACTTCCCAAGAATGGGGCCACTCTGGAGCCTGCAGGTACGTGCTACTATGCCGAGTGTCTTCCTGTGGCATTGCACCGGTGGCTTTGTACATGAAGGCTGCAAAGATGATTCTGCGCTGCAGTCTTGGGGGCACCTGAAGTGCCGACTTTGTAATTGGGGCGGGCAGGGGGATGGGGAAGGGATGTGCTCTCTGGCGCTTGCCCCTCCGCACAGAATAGAGCATGTATGCAGCGCCGTCTGACGTACACTTGTGCAAACTGAGGTTTCCTTTAAACCCAAAGAAGGCCTTGCTGCTAGGCGATCGTGCATGCGCCAGTGCGCCCTGGTGGTGGCAGTTGGCTGTTGTCGTTGCAGGTTGTTCGGCGGACTGCGGGAAGTGTCGGCTGCGGATAACTGTTAAAGCTCAACCGGTGATTGGCGTGACCAGCGCTGCGCTAATGCGCGTCGCCGTCGTAGAACCAATTGAGTGCTTACTCAAGGACCTGCTGCCCTGCGATTTCGTGCTGGCGTGCGACTGCTGCGGTGCGAACATGAAGGCTCGGGAAGTGCTTAGCGGTAAAGCCCATCACCTTGCGAACCGTATAGTAACTGGGTACGGTTCTACACATATTGCACGAGCACGAGCAGCGCTACCTCCGGTTCCTGCGCTTAGTATTGAACTACACGTAGGCGGAGTCCACACGGAAATTTACAGGTCCCAGCGCTCCCTCCACATGGGGAAACTGTTGTAAAAGATTTTCTTTGTATCAAGTATTTTTGCACCTGCTGTCGTGCGCGTCCACCGACGCCCATACACAGGTGCTCTAAGGACAAGCCACTGCCGTCACTGCCATTCAAAGATCACCTTTGGGTTCCAAGGCGCCGCCCTAGGCACCGCTGTGGTCACTGGTTCAAGCGCAGGCAGATGCGGGTGCGCAGCGAGCATGCAACATATCATCCGATGGTAGTTGCACGTCCTCGTTGCACGGAGCGATTCGTATATACAGCGAGCAGCTGAACACGTGTCTGAACAGAGCAGCTCTGTCGTGCGGCTAGCTTTTACCCTTGTGTGGCTCAGCAGTTTAATCCTGCAATCTCCTCCCAAGCTGCACGCGTGAGTGATGCGAGGCTGCTGCGTATGGGTTCAGCCAAAGTGTATACTCTCCGAGTACTCAAAGGGGAAACCGAAAACAAGACTTACGGATCGTTGTGGGATCCCCGCTTGCAGACTTTGGCACGTGCAGACACTACAAAAAGTCGTATCGGTGGCTGCGCTTCCCATGCTGCGGCAAGGTGCATCCGTCACGGCAATGCCGCAGACAGCTGCCTTAGCATCTTCCTCAGTTATGTCTGTACCTCTCCCCGTCAACTTCTGACGCTGTCTGGTGTTGGGATCGAAGTGCGAGTGATATGGTATGGCAACAGCGTGAGCAGCAAAGAGTGTGCGTGTTGAAACAGCTGCATCGCATGCGCTTCTGGTCCTCAGGCGTACCCGTGCGATATCTGCCATGACAGCCGTGAAGACCATGAACACGAATGGGCGACGCGAATGATATGCGGTTTCTGTTCGTTAGAGCAGCCCTTCGCCAATGGAAAACCTTGCGCCTGCGGGAAGGCGCTTACCAGGGACGGAGGCTCAGCACATTGGGAGGCAAGGCAGCAGATTGCCTCATCTCTAATCCAAGCGCGAAGCTTGCTTTGCCCTTATGAATAAGTAGACCGTTTTGTAGGTGTTTTAGGCATAGCAGTTGCTTTCTATGCGCTGTGTGTGCTGTGGTTCAAGGGGGGCAAAGGATGCAGAGACCCCATCAGGATGAGCCGAAAGGATCCGCGGAAATACAAACTTCAGAGCAAGCAGCAGCGAAAAGCCTAGAGCCCACTGCTAACTGGGCGTGCACTTGGGTTATACAGAATAGCAGGTTTATTATGAGGGTGCAACCAGGGTGCTGCTCACTACAATTTGGCTCCTAAGCAGGCTTCGCTCTAGCGTATGAGCCATTTCCACACTATGTGCCATCTTTCGTTTGACCAAGTATATGGGCCTTTCCCTATGCGGCGCATCCAACTGCTTGGTTGGACGAACAGCGAAATAATTGTACTCAATCAGTGCGCTGCAGTTTAGTTTGTGCTGCATAAACAGAGTGTAGCCCTTAGTACGGACTCTTCAAGCAGACTCTTGGTCTAAAGTTGAATGGAGCGTCCAGCTTTCTACAACCAGCTGAAAGGCAGTTTTTCTGTAACAATGCCGTCACTCATGGAGTATGACCCACTTTTCCTAGCTGAATGCAAGTATTCGGTGCAATACGAACCACACACGTTTTCTGCTCTATGCATGCCAACGAACAGTATTTGTGCTGCATGGGACGCTTTCCCTCAGATGCAAGATAGCGTTTTGGGTTTTGCCACACCCAGTGCCAGTGATTTACCCTCAAGCAACGCAACTGCCTGATGACCCATCATTGTTGCAACGTTTCATGCTGCCTACACACCCATGGCATGCTACCTTTTACTGGCACATTCATCTTTTGCGTGCACCTCTCAATTTTTAAATATGGGACCGCCATATGCAGTGTTCTTTCATAGGCTGGGGTGTACCAGCATAGCTACATGTATATATAGACAGACTGCCTTGCAGTTGCACTACGACATATACAATCCTGTGTTGTCACACCTAAATATTAGCAACGCTTTCAAAATACTGGCACCTCCACCCTGGGTGACTCAACTTACATGCGTGCAGATCCAGGGATCTGTTCTGACACACACCAAGTGCTACGCTGGCTTTATGGTGATGACGCTCATCAGCACATGACATTTGTCTTCACAAAGATGTGACATACTATTTGGCTCCTCTAGAACTCCTTACAAGTGGGGCTCAGGGCATGCAACAACTCCGGAAAGCAACAAATCACGAGTGTCCGAGAAAGGGGAGTTTTCTTCTGTACAGAAACGCGTGTTGTGCACGAAAAACGTGCTTTTAATCTGAAAAGCTGCACCATTATTCTATCCTTGCGTGCAGCCGCATGATGGTACGGCTTGGAGCTAAGATTAGCATCAACTAGCGTTTGCATACCCAGTTAGTGCATCAAGCGGCGCAACCAGCTGCAGCCGATGGGATAATTACAACCACAGCAATCAAGCGATGGAGCTCCACATTCTGACTCACAGAACACTTCCACGATCTAGAGAATCCATATCCAGCGAGAAAAGTGGCCGTATTTCAGCGCGTCAAGCTCTTCCGCTCCACGTTTTGGGCTCCGCCTGTTGCACCGACAAATTTTCTTGCGCTTCGTGGCATTTACCAATTCTACTGGGCTGCCGCCTTAATTATGTATTAGTATAGTCCCACCAAATGAATGTCGCAGAGAATTACAAATATCTAACGAGAGTGCCTAGCTTGTGCTTGCCAAAGCAGCTTGTCAAAAATCTCTGCCACTGTATTCCCAAGATAAGCAGCTCGTTGGCACACAAATATTGCATGTCACTTATAATGAAAAGTGCGGCGTAAACTATCCTGCCTTTAGTGGAGTTTATGCCTGTTAAGTTGCCGCAGAACACCTAAGGAAAATGATCAACAGCAGAATCCTTCGGATAATAGAAATAAGTGTGGCAGGATCGATTGCGTCAATGCTTTGATATTGACTGCACCCTACGCGATTACAAGCTTCCGATGTCTCGAACGCTACAAAAACGTTCGAAGTTCTCCTCTACGAGAGGCGAACCAACATTCATCGATTTGCTGGAGCAGCATCGTGACAGATCCCAGAAAACAGTGAGACCCTCCTTGATTTCATACCACTACAAAAGTATAATACGGTTAGTTGGCCTGTGTATGCGAGAATCAAGAATGAGATGTAGCAGCTTGTGGTGGTAGTAAGTCCTAAAACAGTGGAGCGTAGCTACGGCCAGCATGTTAGTAGTTAGCATTTGCAAATTCTTGTTAAAATTGCTAAATCAGTATGTGATTCACGGTAATAGGCGGTAATGTTTATTTTTTGAAATGCATGATGGTGAATAGTAAGCGTGACACTAGTATGTGCGGCTTCAGAATTGCCCACGTTATTCACAGTTAACAGGAACCAGTTCCTTTTGCCAAGAGACTAACGTGCGCAATTCCGAAACCCGGAACTCCACACAAACTGTCTTTAAATTAAGGCTTGGTTTTTTCTGATGAAGCTTGATACAGAAACAGTTATTTCGAGTTGTGCTTTCGCCGCGCCACACACCCCCGGCAATACCTGCCCTATCTAGCGGAGTGCCCTCCCACTGAAGGATTCAAATATGGAGATAATAAGAATGCAAAAAACGTTATATTCCATAGATATGGAGATTAATGCACACTGAAGTAAAATCGTAATTCGTAGTACGCCAAATATGAAGTCGCTCCTTGTTATAGCAGCCGCCCTGGTCACTTGTGGGCCGGCACTCTGCAGCGCTAAAAGCATCATGGACTACTTACGCACAGACGACCGCCTGTACGAAGCTCGCTTAATTGCAGAAGATGCTGGTATAATCAACGACATTGACCCCAGCCGTTTCGGAACCCAACTAACACTTATCCTGCCGTCCAATGAGGCATTCGACCAGCTGAACGTTGATCATCCCAAATGGCGCCAAGCGCTCGTGAGCAACAAGAACAACGTAGAAACGGTAAGCCATATAGCAACTATGAGTATATGCAACACATCAGTCACTCCGTTTTGTCGGTAACTTTGCAGCCCTCTAATTTCAAAACCTACAAGGCCCTGATTGATCATGCGACTGCGAATGAGAGCTGGTGCGTAATGGAAGCGGCACAATGCGTTCAGCTCATACTGTTTGCCGCGAGCGACATGCTGGTCACACCATCCTCGATACGAAGTGGCAAGTGGGCGGCTGAAGGCTCCATCGTTTCGCTCCTATCCGAAACTGCGAACATCGCTACCGACGGCTATGTGAGAATCTCACAGCTCGGACCGAAATCTCAGTGTTCCCAAAGTCTGATGGTAGGATCTAGCAGCATGTAGAGCCGCATGCTCAGTAACTACTCCTGTTTTTGTCATTGTGTCCAGGTATGCGTCAGCGACTACACAAGGACTGCGAGCTGCGAAGACCCAAACAGCCTGCCCTGCTGCGCTATGATCGACATGGACAACGTTATAAAGGCCGATGACGGCTATATATACATTATTGATGCGGTCATGATGCCCCAGGAGATAGTTGATAAAATGCCATAGGCACGACAAAACCAGCAAGAGTGTAGGGCCCCCAACAGGCGCGCCGTGGACTAATGCAAGCGGCACACCTCGTGAGGCACTATACCTCGAAAAACAGCTCCCTGACGTCCTCAGAAACAAGGCGCCAGGAAATTTGCACCAACACTAACCGTACGGGTATACGATAATATGCCGTTTTTACAAGGAAAACCACCAGCATTCAAAAATAATTAGAACATCCAACTCGGGAAATTGCAAGTTGCGGAAAACTCCCGTCTGTTCGCGGAAAGTCAGCAAGCTTAGAAGAAAATGTACAATTGTGGCTTACACCCTTGTTCGACTACACAAGTGGCCACGTCATAGAACGCGAAGGCGCACTACGAATATTGCCTCAATGGTGAACCCGACTAATGCGGGAAAGAAAGGAGCCTTTTTGTAAAAATCCAGTGGTTTTTGATCCAGCGGTCGCCATTGAAAGAACAACGTATCGAGAACGCGCAATAATTTCCTCTAGGGTCTCCTTATCTGCGTTCACTGGAAGTGGTTGCGTACACGAATAGGCCACGAAGGGCTGAGTGATGAGACACGACATCAAATTGCCGACATCATTACTTCCAGTGGCTCTCGCAATCAACTCCCGGAGAGGCCTTTTGACAGCTTCAAGTTCCATGCTCGCTGCTTGATAGAGTTTCCTCTCCTTAGGCGTGAGAATTTGAAGCTGAAAATCCCAAAGCACCCGGAACAAACGCAGAGTAAATGATAAAACGGGGCACCTCGGTGTAACGTGAAGCAGGCCAAAACATTGGTCGGGCAACACACGATACTTACCGGAGCCTCGTGGTAGAGATATGCAACTTCAAAGCTCTGAAAATACAAGCCGCCACACAAGCCATCAGTGGGCTGAATGCTCATATTGCGGCGCATGAAGGGCCAATGGTAGTAACAGCAGCGGGTAGCAGCCTGCGGTCTGCCGTCCTCTCTACCGGCCTACCTGTGGTTGCGAATTCTGAAGCATGTGAAGAAACTGAACGCGCATGCATCCCATATCCACAAATACCGATATAATTGCTCAACTTCGGGCATGCGAATAACTACAGCATGGAGTCCAATACTAGACACTCAGCATAACCGGTTTGCACGCTCCTACCTCGAAATTCAATTTGATTAAAGCAAGGCAGTCGTGACCCTGTGGAGCGTGAAGATCTGCAATCTTCGTACTCATCACCATGAAGTAGGGGAACTCCATTTCGGGCCCACAAACACCCTCCGCTGTTTGCTTTCCCCAAAACACTCGACTCCACGTGCGGTTCCGCGATACTGCACTCCGGAAGAAGGCACGGACAAGTTGGTCCCCGACTTCACTTATGGGACGACGTTCTCCAGAGGGTAGCTGAATCAAGAAATTCTCAATGCTATTCACCTGAGCAGCAGCGTGAGGCAACAACAAAAGCAGTGCTAGATTAGCAAGTGCGCAACATAAACTATATTCTGACTGCAGCACTGCCTGATGAACGACGGCATGTCTAACAGACAGCGCACAGGTTGCCCAGGTATGACACCCCAGGTCTGCTCGGAAGGAAGGAGGTTCCCGCCTTGAGGCGGTGGAGTAGGCGTAGCTGGACGTGACGAAGTGGTAGTGGCGGCCTGGTGAAATGCATTGCAAAACAGGGAAACCCTTTGTAGAAAAACTTGAGAGTACCACTGCCAATGATGCAAAGGTGAGGCCACACGGCTATTCATTGGCACACAAATCGAAAAGCAAAAACATGTACCTGGATGCGCATATTGATGTGTTTTATTTTCTCGTGCCTGGCCTCGTCTGGCAGTAAGGACCAAAGAGAAAGACTTGACAACATTCTTTCGGCATTTTCCGGAGGACCAAGCGGCGTGTCCACGAAAATTTTGGTGCCATCTGCCTTTGTAAGAATCGTATGAAGTACAAGATGCTGATATGTTAATCGGGCACTCCGCAGCATGCTGCTGAGCTTCTGACCCATTTGTGATAAAAATTCATCCATGGTGCTTCTGTCTGTTGAGCTGAGAGTTTGAATGGGAATCGTGATAGTTCTATCCAGTACCCCGACATTCAGAGCTCCATCTTCTACCTGAAAACAGATATGAAGAGTTTGAAAACACTGTATACAGCCCTATAATGGAAGAACCCGGCTAGACTCAAGAACTCAGCACCAGCTTATATCTCTTTCAAAACGGTGGATAGCCTGCCTGAAGTGCTCCTGGACGCTGCGACAATTTTCACAAACACAAGCTGTGAATGATCAATGAAAGGCACAATATACATTGTGTCCTGGGGAAGTGGACGTCTTTTGCAATGACCAAGATAGGGCTGAACCGTGAAGTGAAAGGGCGACCTTATCAACTTACGTCGGATACAATCTTCAGGTCAAGAATTGTTTGAAGAGCAATATTTAGATGTTGTAGTAATTTGGCTACAGTTTTTTTCTTGTCTTGTGGCGAAATTGGCACCATTATCCTTCTCCCTCTAGGACCTTCGCTCGTGAATACCAGCAGGTAGGAGTCCCGTGGAAGTTGTCCAGCCGGTGTACTCAAGATACTGTTAATAGCTTCTTCCGGATGCTGCAAACCAACGCAGAAGCGGGCACGTGTAAGAATCATGAGACGACTTTCCGTGGCAGCATCTGCGTTTCGGTTACGCAATGGCAAGCGATTTTTCGTAATACTCCACCGCCACACACAGTCTTCTTCTGACCTCGAATTTCGGCGCTTCTAGACTCTGTTACGCACAACATAAACACCACAAGTTATCCGGATGTTAGATGAATACTGTGTTTGCAGAGTGGACCTGAGGGCGGCTAAAGTAGCGACGGAAAGACAGGATCCTGTGTTTGTACCTTTGTGTCAATCCGAATTGTTTGTCCAGGAGCCACTTGGGACACTTGCTTCAACGAGTTTAGAAAGGAGAGCACCAGTGACATTCCGGGATGTCCGTGCATATCCGCCACATCTTGCAGGAGGCGCATGATATCTGCCGGAACTAACTGCGTGGAAGATCCACCTGGACCAGCAACGGTAAACTCGAAGTCTGAAGGTGGCTGCTTTTTCCCTGGCACACGAATTTGCAGTAGCTTTGCAAAGTCCACTGGAGATCCCGGTTTATCGTCGTAAATGGATCCGTTCACAATGAAATTCTGTTAGTTTCGCATAATAGTCCGACAGTGTAGAAATCGGTAGATATTAACAAATACAATAAAGCCCTCAGTGTGTGGTTTCCGACCCAAATTCCTACATCATCAAAATATCTGATGCTTCAAAGCATAAACGGTGTTTGACTTACAACACGCTGATCTTCTGAGACTGGCTGTGCTGTACCTCCTGGAGCTGGCTGTCCCTGCACCACGTAAGATCATGTGCCCGCAATTGCCAATCGTTTATAGCCCTAGGAGCCAGACAAAGGGACTAGAAATCGAGCAATGACATTGACAGCTGCCTAATAAGCCTGGGAAAACGTACAATAAAAACAAGGGAATGAGAATCGGTTAAATCGGCAGCTCCGATCATTCCCAAAAGGCTGCCTAACGAATGTCCAAGAAGTTGCTCGCCAGTGAACGTCCCTCTATAAGGAGTTCCATCAACGACCACAGTAACGTGGATACCCGCTGGATCATTGATACCCAAGTGAATCTTTAGCCAAGCAATTAGATCGCTGAAGGACATGTCCAAATTCTGGCTGTGCTTGGTGAGCGGCACATTCGACCCCGCCATGACAGTAATCTGCAGACCATAAGAAAATTTGGTTAATAGACAAATACGAGAACATGTGGCGCAACGCTCTACCAGGCATACTGGCTCGTAAGCCCTCATCCCCCCTCCCCCGTCTCCTCTGTGCAGCCCCTGACGAACCAAGAGCAGAGCTTACTGAATGTTGCGCAGCCGGCTGTTGATGCTGTAAAAAAACAAACACAATACAAAGCAATCAATATTTTGTTGCTTTTACTCGTTCACGCTTCGCGGCCCCAGAGAAGGGTACAAAGCAAATCTACTCACCACCGTGACTTGCGGGTTGTGAAGAGTTTTAATTACTTCCCCCATTGGAAATGCGTCAGGTATTGATCCATGGGCTAGAGGTATCCTGACACCGAAATTCGCTGTCTGTCCATCAGCTCCAACCGCTTCTGGTTGTACCAGTTCAAACTCATAATGGGGTATTGGCACCCCTGGACTTGGCGGACCGCCTATCCGAATATTGGCAGAGGGGAAAGCAAGGCCTGTTGCGCTATTAATATCTCCAGTAACCTTTGACACGAACTGCCCGAATGGCATGCTTGGACTGATGTTTCCTTGATTTAGCAGGTCCTGCAGGTTTCCCAAGTTTGTATCCTGATCAGACAGGAACAAATTACGCAAGATCGAGAGGAGAGGCTGCCTGTGTCCAACGGAGAGCTACGTCACTTGAGCGCTCACAACACACGGCTTGCAGCATCAACTTACTCCGGAGCTTCCTGTAGGCTTTGGAACTTGCTGTACACATTGCACACACGCGCATGGATTATGGAGCTGCTGTGAAAGGGAGCTCTGCACTGCCATTATGACCATTCACCTAGCAAACTTATCATGAGCAGATAGAAAAGAAGCAGCATTACCTTAATCTCAATGCTGACAAGACCCGGAATTTGGGGAGCAGTAACATTTTTCCATTCTTCTGGAATCTGATTGAATTTTAACTTTGTTCCATCATTCATTTCAAGCGTAACCTCAATTGTTATGCCCGCTTTCTGGCCTGCCAGAATGTTGTCAATTACTAGTGCCAGGGGCTCATAGGAAAAGATGCTCTCGGGAGAGAGTCCCTGGTGAATCTTTGTGAATGACGTCTTCAGGCTCTCTGGCAAGAGAATCCGAACCTGGAAAACAGGGACACAACCACGATATGCATTTTTAAGACAGTAGCTATGCGGTGACCAATCTCGCTCGTGCTTGGACTTATGCAGCATTTTGCTGTTCCCGAGGAATTGCAAGTAGAGCTTACTGGAGGACGGGAGTAAATAGGCTGCGAAAACAAGGTGCCGCAGACAGTGTAAAAATATATGCAAAAGTGCCTCGACCTGTCCCTCGGATAGCGCCCCACAATTCATCTACACTGCGTAAAAACGGTCACAAAGCGTACCTTTATAACGCCGGTAATCTGTGTTGGATAGTTGTTACCAAATATCGCAGAACAAAAACGAGCCAACTCCAACCACGTTTTTAGCCCCTTGAGCATAGGGCGGGTAGCTACGCAGTGGTTCGCGTTGGCGAACGTGAACACCACTTGGTCTTCGGGGTGACCTTCCTGGAAAAGTGGCTCAACGAATTTGTCAATATCGTCGTCCCATGCAACGGTGTAGTAGCGAGGCACGTTCAGTCGATCAACCAGTATGAGCTGAGACGCAGTACGAAGCAATGATCCCATGATACTCCATGGTGGCATTATAGGCATTTCGCTCTATCATGGCTAACTTCAATGTGTACAGCGGTGATTAGAGGCCGCCTTCGCCTCTTACCGGTACTGCTGGACGAGGAAGGGAGTAGTTAGGATTTGAACCCTGCACCCGAACATTCCGCAGTACATGAGAACAGCTTCAATAGAGGGGCTCAAGAGCAGTGCCTAGGTTCGAACAGAGACATTCTCCTTTTGAATAGCTCGCATTCCTTCCTTAGTAAAACCCACGCACTGTGCTAGACTATATTTACCTGAACCTTGACCAGCAGCAACACGATATGTGTAGTGTAGATAGGGAACGTACAGGGGCAAACGTGGACACCAGAAAATCTGCCTCCAAAAGCTCAACAGGAATGTTACTGCAGAGCCTTGAGACCTCCTCTTTGCTTTTCAAGCTCATAAACTGTTGAATTGTAAGATCAGGGCAGAAATAATACCGTCCAGTACTTGCTGGAGCTTGAATGTATACAAGCTCACCCCCCATAGGAACAGACGTTTTGGGTTTGAAGACAATGTTTAAATTTTCTTTTAATTCAGGTACATGGGAAAACCCTGGAATCTCGATTGTACGGATGATAGGATTTACAAAAGCTTTGCCAGCCTCCTGTTGTTCAGGGTCTGGGTAAATGTTGAACTCCCCAAAGGTGCCGCGAGGCATCGTGACGGTTCCGGGATCCATTCTTGCTCTCCATCGTTGTGGATTCTGGCCGAAGTAAGTGATATCAGTCCCGAGCCCTCCACTTGGCTCTGGGATTTTTTGGGTAAATGTCGCACCAGGGGCATTAGCTCCCGGCTGTTGAACAAGGTTGAAATAGATGTCTTGTGGCATGATACCTGAAACCGGAGAGGCTGGTCGTCTGTACGTAAAAGCCATCGGTGTGTCGTTTTGAAAGGAAACAACCGGTATACCCTATGGTCAGAGAAAAGGCAACGCAGCTCCTCCAAACAGATAAAATCCACGTATTATTATGGGAACGCCGAAGGGGAAACAATTAAGGGTAGGTGGTAGATGCTCTTCCGATTCTCACAGGTTGGGATGGTGGATACATAGCCATTTGAACGCCTTCTATCCAAGCAAATGCAGGTGAGTGGCTCTTCAGTTCGTCGAAGGTTAAATTACACCATCCAACCGCCGTTTCCCACGTCAGGTTTTGGAAGTCTTGTGCAGAGCGGATGCCGCAGGGTTGGCCGCTAATTTGCTTTGTAGGGCTATAGAAGCTGTAGGACAGCGAAAAATCGCCATCTAGAAGACCGATTTGCAATGGTGTTTTGGGGTCAGCATGAGCTGAGATATTTCTTATGATTCGTGGGCCGTCCGCCCTTGCAATGTCAAGCTGAATTAGAAAGCACAGGAGGTACAAATGAAAGCATAATGCTGTTGCGGGTTACTTTATTAGAGTCAAACTAGAGCGCGTTAGGCTCGATCTACAAGAATAGGGAGGCAGCCTCACCGTAACCATGCCTTCACGCTGCATACGCCACGCACACAGGATTCACCAGCCGAACATGACAAAAATTGGCAGAACCAACGAATGCATACACAAGCTTTCATACGGGTTATGGACCTTACCAGCAGCACCTTGTCTTGGTCAGTGGGCTGCAGAACAGGAGCACAACAAAAGACTACACAATACAGGACAATTTGACACGAGAGCAAAAACATGACATGCTTCGTTTTCTAATGGATTACAGGAAGCGCATTTCAGGCTGAATTTCGCCAGAACTGCGGGCATACAAGCGGGTCGCCACTCCCACCTCGTGCGTTATCAAGATATTCAACCTTCCAGTTAGCCTTTCGATGTCGTCTGCAGGAACTCCCAAAATCGCTAAAATCTCTCTAACTAGTGCAGCATCCCTAGGCTTGTTGCCTTGCAGAAGAACTTTGATCTTTTCAATCTGATCAGACGTCATGCCTCCACCGTGCTTGGAAAACTTCCACTGTATCTTGGAGTCAGATGGTACTTTTGACAGCGCAACTGTAAGGCGTTCCAGATATCTTTGGTTCTTCCCAGGGTCTCCATGAGCACGGTTCCACAGTCGAAAGCCCTGTTGTACATCATACCACGAATGAATGTTAACAATATAAATCTCAATGCCTCCAACGACAAAAATTATCAGGGTCAACCTTGGTTATATTTTATAGCGCTGTCTTACTGAGGGTGGTGGACTTCGGATTCCGAGATCGAAAGAAAATGGCTGTCCGCTAGTAACAGCCATCAAAAGCCCTGGGCACACTTTCAGCAGCTGCTGCATGTCATTAATGTACTCCAGAAGCTCCTCAAAGGTTGAAATACGGCATTTACTTATTCTATCGCTCTTTGTAGCTGCCTTATCGTTGTGAACAATGAGCTGGATTTTTGTGTCTGCTAGAGTTCCAAAACCTCGCATTCGCGATAGCCAAGGTCCGAGAATCTCCATCCACTTGGCAGGTTCGGCAACCTGTGAATTTCGCACAAGGGTCAAATGAGCTAGATTACGCAACTGTCATTTTATATCCTTCGCATTGGCTTGGCCGCCGGCATTCTGTTAAATAGTGAGCAGTCTACAGACTTACATTGACAGAAAAAAAGAGAGTTTTCTGCAAAACACCAAAAGCAACAGGCAGCAGTTACTCCAATTATAGAAGACCTTGTGCATTTTCAAACGGAATGCACAACGCTAGCTGTCATGTGCTTGGGCTGTTATCAGCCAGACCTCTGCTTGCACGACTTGAGCTTGGCCTACCTCTCCCGCGGCAGCTTTTGCCTTTTCTTTTGCTTTTCCCTCTGCGGCCGATGTAATATCTGACAGTTTACGCTTCCACTGAAAATAAGCACACCCACTATCAGCGTTCACGTAAGATCAGTGCTAAACAGTCATTTTGGGAAGTCTCACTATCAATGTGGAAGAGGCAAGCCGACTTAAATGAATGCTCACCGCGAACATGAACATTCGCGCCTTTTCTGGAGCGATTTGACGAGCGTTTTCTACCGACACTCTCAGCTTTTCCCCGGCGGCCGCATGCAATAAGATGTAATCTTTGTTTCCATAGCCTCCTTTTTCGATTAGCACCTGTGCCAGCTCGGCTGGCCGTACACCGATTTTGCCGTCATTGCGTAGGCAAAGTGCTTGAAGTGCAACTTTTAGAACTGGCAGCTCGCTTTTGGCTGGGTCGATTACAACGCGTGGGTATCCGTCAAACGTAAAATAAGCCTTTGGAATGCCATACATTTTTGACAATTGTTGTGCAACTTTGCGTTTTCCTCCGATATTTAGACCAGTAGCAAAATCTGAGGGAAGACTGATGACAATACCGCTGTCGGAAAACGCTTCGTCATTTTCAACGTCAAACACAAGCTTCACCTTCACATTAACGTCTCTCACATGCCGCTCCGCTTGCTTTTCTGCTTTTATCTTTTGCTTGGTACGCTTTTTCTCCTCTACGCGTTCCTCCATTCCCTATGACACGCAAGACGAAAACATTATCTGATAGCAAATAGAAATTGAGATTGTTTTGGGATATCAGCTTCTGCTACTGCGGAACGCAACTTACCAGTACGCGGAATGTAATATTGTAGACGTTTGCAAAGTCAAGCATCGCAGCGTTCTGAGACTGTCGTGTGGCATGATGATATACTTTCCAAAATTCATCAGCTAGCCTAAATTCAGAACTCTGTAACGATACGTCAAAGTCTTTCTCAGCTCCTTTATGCCTGATGTGAGAGAACGAAAGCACCGATGGAACCGCCCATTTATTTTCTCTTGCTAGTATCGATTTGATCTGGTGCCTGAGTCCCTGTATAGCATCGTAGTCGACGGCAGTTTTGTTTGCCTTCGCTTTCAATACATCGATCTGGGCTTTAAGCTTCGCGATTTCTCTTTGGGAGGTAGCTGGATCCGGTAGGTTCAACTGCGCAATGAGATCTGGCCGGATTTGGGCAATATGTTTCCTAACGATCGACAGTAGGTCCCGAAGCCTAACTGGCCTGACGATATCAGCTCCCCGTAATAATTCGTTGATAAACCGCTGGACTTCCTGCACGCTTGTGCTTCTCATCTGCAGCAGCGGCAGCGTCAGGACCAAATAACAAGAACTGCCTCCTACGGCTTTCGAGTTATTAATTAGGAGAACTGCGATTTTATGTAGCTTACAGTAGCCGCGCTGCATTGCTCCTCCCAACTTTTAGCTCGGTGTGAAATTCCCTTTATCTTTCCGCAGAAAACTGTATGCATTGAGACCACGAGGCACTTGTTGTTTTCCGGATCCTGGCGGTAACATGCTACAAACTTTCCCATAGGCGTGTCTAGCGTTATTTGGAGGCCCTGTGGTAAAACGGTGCACAAACGAACATACCTAGTGGCATCTAACAGCAACACCGCTGCGTCTGCCTCCACATGAAAGCACTTAAGGAAGTAGGCGGGATACGTTTGAAACACCCTCATAGGAAAGGTAGCACTAATACCCAACCTACTGGTTTGCACACAAACTCAGTGGCCCATTGCTTATGACCACAGACGCGATAATCAAACTATTGATTCCTTACCCTGCGCTTCTGTTCGATGGCTTCCTTGACCCCCACATACACAGAGGACTCTGGGGAGAGGACAATCGGATTTCCCTCGCCATCAAACAATCTAAGCTTCGTTTTTATTTTGTCATATTGAGGATATGTGAAGAAAAAGCTATTTGCTGCCTGATCCCAAGATTCTCCAGGACGAACCGGAACGATGTGCGATACTTGACCGCCCTCCGGAGTTGTGATAACGAATTCGATGCCACCCTGATTTTAAAAATTCACATAAAAATACCCCCAGGATTTTAAATCGTTGCATTCTGAAAAGCTCAGTCACAAACTATACTCATCTGTAGCCTTACGCCTTCCTACCTCGATAAACATATTTTTGACTGGTATTCTTAAGATTTCGTATAGCAGTGTGTAATCATCAGGGTTGAAACTTTTCCAATTCGGCGTGTGAGTAAGGGGCTTAAGGATATCCGAGAGCCTGATTTTTTTTCCGTCATGGGCTTCGAGTATGATCTTTGTAAAAAGCGCATTGCGCTCCTCCGGTTGCATGTTCTCCAGATTCACAGGAAGTTGCAGGTTTGGAATATGATGGTGCAGCCAGTCATGAATAGCCCCGAAGGGGCCAGCTAGAGACATAGCTCCAGGATGCAGCGGGATATTGAGCTCTTTCCTTGTCGCATGTAGCCCTTGACCATCAGTGAACGTGTCATCTTCGCGAAGAATAGGAAACTGAAGCAGAACAGTTACATGTGCAGCCCCAATTTGGTGTGCCGCGCACCAGCTCAAAAATACACAGTGGCTGCCGAAGTACACTAAAGAATCATCGCCCAACCCGATACCTGCGCACCTTGGAGTGCCAAATAATTTTGCTTGTTTTTGGATTCCGATGATACCAAGACTCTGGAAGAGTCCCAAAAGGCATCGCCGGCTTTTCCACACCACCTGGAGATTGTATATAAGGAAATTCCAAGTTCTTCACTTTGAATTTTGCAAACAGCTTGCTGAAATCGTCAATGGCATTTTGAACAGGTGTACTGAAATGCACTCTGTGAGATGCTCGTCGCATGGAAGGCTTCCTTCCTGTGCCATCTCTAGGAATTTCGATTGTTGTCTTCAGCAAATGCTGTAAAACACACACAGACATCAGTACACAGAATAATAGCGGATAACTTCAGTATAGCGATATGCAGGTTTTGCAGGGTCTTGCTGGGTTAGGAAGGCCTACTGTTGCGCTGAAGAAAAGAGCAACAGATTCTCCCCGTTTATGGGCAGCTGTGAATATTGCTCCGAGGCGTGTGCACTCTGCTGATGATCCTTTGAAATTAAGTTGCTGCTTGTTGCTTGTCTTGAATTCCGGTTTCATCTGCTCTACTGTGGCAGCGGCTGTGATTGTTTCAAATCGCAAACCTGCTGCGTTCGTAATGTTGCACCCTTCGGGTGATTCGGCTGCGCGACGAGCTTTCTTTAACAGCGATTTTATCACAACTGTATTCCTCCTGGTGATTGGGACCTGATATTCAAAAATGCACCATGGGGGTACCCCTTCTGGAGTTTCCAACACAAAAATAGACTTTACTGATCGTGGATTGCTTGCCCCGAAATTGAGCTTGACACTATCCAGCACGAATGAGGGGTCTTCTGTAGCCAAGTGCGCCAGAAGGTGAAGTAGCGTTGGATATTTTTCAACAAAATCTCCAGGTAATGGATAGGTCTTCCCGTTTATTGTCACACTCAAGAGGGCGCCTTGCTTTTCAGGGTCATTTGGAGCCAATGTGGCTCGCAGACCAGCATATCCTTTCTCGATCTTGTGCCAAGGCCGAACAGGACTAATATTGTGAGTGGCGGAAGTCCCTCCGGGGAATACTAGGGTGGCAGTGATCTGAGATAGTAAGGAGACAAACACAGTGGGCATGAGTATGCATGCCACTTGATCTGTACCAGCATTGTTAGGGAGTATCGTACACACATTTAGCCCATCGCAGGTCAATCCATGTAGTATTATGCTTACAGCAGGCGACAGCTGTCCTGCCAGATAATCTGGTACGTGGTCGGCAGGCATCGTGCGGGTTCCAAAAAGAGAAACACTGTCGCGCTGCTTGTTGGAGCCTAAAGGTTGTCCTTCATAATCAAAAAACAAAATTGGTGGACTTTTAGCGGTGTACTGCGGTCCGAAAAGACCAGTTACGTTCAACTGGCTGGGTGACACACCCGTTTTCCCCAGTAGCCTCCCGCTAGTCCACTCATTAAATTGCTGCTCTGGCGTCAAGCTGAACCAGCTTGGCGGCACATTGAACTTTGCCGTCTTTATCCCTGGTATCGTGCTGGTGACAGAGTCAACTGGGACGTGGCCTTTTGAAGAATCTCTGACAAGAGTTCCCAGCTTCAGTAGCCCGGGCCACGTCAGATCATCGAAATAAGGGATCTCAATAACAGCCTGATAAAGGTTTAACAAAATACAAAAGATGGCGCCAGCTCAATACAACCACATGCATACGGTTTATTCATGTAGTTGCTTTAGCTTATTTCGCATGCATTGCCTCTTGCCGGAAAAGAGTACTGCCTTACGTTTCTTTCCAGGTCGCCTGCAACGGAGAGCACAGGTTCGCTCCTCGTAGCAATCTGCTGGAGCCACCGAAGAGCTTGCGCTTCTCCTGCCACCTCATTCCGCTTCTTGGATTGCTGTATCAGCTTCATCGTTAGTATCTGAAAACCGTCTCCGCTCTTCAAGACCGGTGGGTGAGAGTTGGCAGCCAGCCACGCTTTGAAGTGCGAGATATTGGAAAAGTCCAGCAGCATTTCTTTAGGAATACTGGCCGTTACTTTGTCACTGACGCTGCGCCTCCCCACGACGTGCTTGAAATTAAAGTTGAAAGATATCTGTGGAAGCACAAGACACCTAGCAAAGACGCTATGGAGTCATGGACAGAGTTTTCAGCTTACTGGATAACCGCGCTTTGCTGTGAAGCCCTACGATACTCTTGGATTTCTCACGGTTGGTTTGCTGGCTGCCGCTTTGTAGCTCGCTTCTAGCCTAAGCGTCAGTACGCCTGAAGTAGGAGAAATGGCAGTCCAAGTCAGGTCAAACATCGCCTCTGGATTTTCAGCTATAGCGGATATGTCGGTAAGAAGCCGTTTCTTTGCTGGCGTAGTTGCTGTAAGGTTGAAGACACCGACCGCGGCCCCATTTTTGTAGGCTGCAACTTGAGTCACTTCCCCTCCTTGCACCATGATGGAATTGACCGTTAGAGTTACACCGCTCAAAACGCTAGTACCTTGCGAGTAGCCATACCCCTGGGAAGAAGGGCGCATCCACAGCTGTCCTTCACTACACTGTGCGTCAGCCTGATTGCACTTCCTTTAGATTACAACTTAGGGTAGGTTTGTGAAAAAGTGGTTGAGAGGACTCTGTTGTTCAGTCTGTTAAGGTGGCAAGAGTTGCTTCAAACTTATGTGTATTATGTGTCCTTGCGCGTACCTGCCTTGACTGCTGAGACGCGTTTGACGCAGTCGATGATTTCAGTGATTCAGAATCTGACTGGCTTGACTCTGCCCCGAGAGATCCAGCAGGTGGATCAACCGTATCTGATGTTGGTGTGCTGGCTTCCTGTAGCATGCCGCTAGCTGATGCTGTTTCTCCCTGACTGATTTCCCCTTGAGACTTGCTCAAGGGCAACTGTTGCGTCGTTTCCCCATACGCCTTTGCTACTGATCTCTGTGAGGCTTCGATGGGTGTCCCAGGCTGCTTCTGAGAGCCCTCCGAAGCCACAGTAGACTCTCCCGTGCTCAGCAGTGATAGGGGTGTGCGTACCCGTAGCTGTGCAAGGCTCGTAGAGGGGACTTCGCTGAGTGGAATCAATTGCGCTTCTCCTAGAACAACCTCATGTGTATAGAGGGAATTGAGCTTCCATGCAGGAGGTCTTGACGAAACGTCCTGTAACGGACAACGGCAAGAGAGCATAAGCGGGATCTTCAAAAACTGCATGGGTGTCTCTTTAAACATTCCCTATCGTAACCTTTGAAGATTCTCTATCCTTAATCAACGCATTATTTGTGCGGTTGATAGGGGGTCCGTACATGTCCCTCGAAAGCTCTTGGAACGACGTGCTCTATAGGAAGTTCTGAAGACACGATCACTGAGCAAGGAGCAAACTAGCATGCGCACAGCCAATGCTGATGGTTTATATGCCTTTATATGGCAGCAGTCGCAAACCTGTCGCTGCATGGTGGATATGGGTATGCGTTTGCCTGGCCAGCTGTGCATGTAACAGCCGCTTCGCTCACCATTTTCAACTTTCGCTGTGGTAGGTACTGCTAGCGCCACACTCACTGCGACTAGGAGAGCAAACGCCGCCAAATGGTCGTAAAAAGTGTGTTTCCATGAGCCGTTTGCATGACGTGCCCACGACAATGGCTGTACGCTCTTCTGTCGATGACTCATAGATAATAGGGGTGCTGGATGGAACCCCCTTCTGCGCGTGCTGCACAGACTGCTACATGGCACCGCCATTTGCAAGGGTGCTCCAAGACCAGCGTCTTGGCGGGAAGACCACGGCGATCCGGCCATATAAGCTCACATGCGGCTCGAGCTTCTTGTGTAGGGGATTATTCCAAGGCTTTCCTGGTGGCTCGAAGGCACCAGACGATAAACCCTGCCCGAATTAGAGGGTCATAGAAGTGGTAAGAGGCAAAATCCCCGGTAAATGCGTGTACACATGTCCTGATTAGGGGAAATACGAAGACACTTGAGCGTAGACACTAAGGAACAGGAGCTTAGACGAGCCGCGCCTGTCTGAAGATGGACTCCGCTTCGAGAAGTCCATGCGCCGGTCGCAAGCAGTGTGAGCAAAGATTTTATCGGTATGACCCCTTTGAAACAAACATCACATACAAAACTAATTAGAGTGTGTCGTGCAGGCCAAACAACGTGGGAGGTACTGGTGTCGCTCGCGCGCTGCTTGCCAAATATCCCAGTGCAATCACACTGAGCTTTGCGTAGTGAGATTGATATCGGCTGTCGACAAGATCGCTTCAAGCACCCAAATTTGCGGGTCTCCCCGTTCACAGCAGTGAACCGAGCAGTGCAAGTCTCCGCTTCATAGCCAACGGAATTCGGCGCCGCCAGCCTGGGGCCCCTGGGCCGATGGTTTGTCGGCGGAGCCTTACAGGCTGCTGCACCAGTCGGCCGTTCCGCGGGATTTCGCCTTCGTTTTTAAACGGCTGTGATGCCGACTTTAGGATAAAACCTTTAATTATTTAAGTTTCTAGGCTTTTTACCGGCGATACGCTATGTTACCTGCTTGTGTCTCAAAGCGCTGCTGTGCACCGCGGCGTAGCAAGAGCAGGACGGTCCATTAGTGGGGATCCGAATACCATCTGCTTCAAAAGGTCTTCCCATAGACAAACGAACATTATAGCACTGAAAAGACTTCAGCAGCGCTCATGCTTTGTTGAGACACCATACACACATCAATGCCCGCGGAAGACAGCTCGGGCACGCGGTGACGACCAAAAACCAACGGCCTGTACCTTGCCCAGCGCTACCTAAAACGCCGTACTATCTGAGCCACAGCTGTGCAAGTTGCTTCAAAAATACAAATACCAAGGAAATAATGAAGCAATGCAGCTGCATTTTGGACTTGTTTTTCAAGGACAATAAGTAGGACCAAGTTGGGATGCGCTGTGCCCGCTGGAACTGCATGTAACCCACGGTCATAGCAAAGTCAAATCGAATTTAACATCTGTGAGCACTCCACATGTAGGCAAGTACGCTCTTTAGATCAGTGAGCAGCTCTGCAAACTATTTTAGCGACTTCAGTTGCTTTGCTCCAAGAAAAACATTGTAGACCCCCAGAGGATTGTTCATAGCTCGCAGACGTAAGTGTTATTAACGCTGACCTTATTTACCGAAGGGCTCCGCCTACGTACATAAGTGCCCCCATTCAGATGCTTGTGTCGCAGTTGCACTTAGTTGCTGCTCGAGGATCGCTATGTAGCATGCCCACGGGTTTGTCATCTGGTAACCCTCCCCATACGTTCTAGTATGGTTTCTTCAGGTCGGTTACACCCTTATACAGCACAAGGGAACAAAGCATAGTCAGAGTATGCCCGATACTGCATGAATAGATATCTACAGTGCAGAGAACGCTGGCATTTTGACGAGCTCCTGATAAACCCAGCACTGCTGCACACGTATCGTCGGCTTACCGAGAGAGCGTGCCTGCGCGCCATCTCACCGAGACACGGCACGTCTTCCCTCATCTGAGTATCTACATCCTGCCAGTTAGAATATTCATTCGACGATGTTTTGAGAATACAGCAATAACCCCAGGTTCAGCTAAGCACAGAGGTTACATAAACTTGGGATCTTCATGTAAGGATAGAACGTGAAACTTAGAACAGTGGGCAACTTCAAACCTATCGTGCACCACCATTTAGCTATTGAAATTAGGCCCTATTCCCTTCTGTTCTTTTTCCTTCTCCAGGGGCGTGCCCTCGCAGTCACCGCCGTCCCAGTTGCTTGGCTTGTTGTAGCAATTGGGGTCGCAATGCCCATCACCGATCCACTCTTTGACGCAAAATTGATAAACTTCTGGCTTTGCGGAATAATCTAATTCTATTACAGCGGTGACATTGTCGCAGTCCCCGCCGTCAAATCTGCAAGCAGTATTGTTGCACTGGCTGTCACAGACGCTGTTGCCAACCATCCATAAGCGGCAGGTAGAGTTGCACACTTCTCCTTCACTACCATTGGCCTCTCGAAAGGCATTCAGTCTGACGTTGGTACTGCTGGTGCAGTCGCCTTTGTCGTAGCCGCATTCAAGAGTGTCACAATCGCGGTCACAGTCTCCATCACCCAGCCAAGACTTGGAGCATTTTGCGTTGCACATCTCCAGGCATTCGCCGCCATCAAAGAGGCAATCAGGATTATTGCACTCTGAATTGCAGGTTCCGTTCACTAGCAACCGCCGTTCGCACGTGCATTTCGGTAGCTGAAGCCGATTTTGTCTTATTTGCCTCTGCTTCTGCTGTAGTACTTGGAGCTCAACTGCAGGCACCCCTTGGCTTCTCCAACCTTCACAGTCTCCTCCATCCCAGTCGCACGCTGCCACATAGCAAGCAGCGTCACAAAAGCCGTCGCCGTTCCAAGAAGGTTTGCAGTCTCCCGAGCACCACCCATTGCAGTCTCCGTCATCGAAGCCGCAGGCCTCCGAGTTGCAAGCGGAGTCGCACCATCCATCCCCACGCCACTCATTCTTGCACACCTGGCTGCACACTGTCGGCAATCTGTCTTTGTTCGCTTCACTGCTAGCCGCTTCTGATTCTTCTTGGGCTTGCAGCTGTGGAGTCTCCATGCTATTCAATTCGCGAATGGAAGTTTCGTCGCGCTGCCCATCCAAGACACCCTGAGCCGGGCCTGTCTCTGTAGATGAGTCACTGGCCAAGAGCCCGATATCGCCACCTAACTGCTGCCGCTGCATGCACAGCCAGAGTAACGTAACAAGAGAGAGCTGAAATACAGGTACTGGACATACCAGGCGAAGATGGCTGCTGTGGGCAGCATGCTTAGTCAGTGCTACTACAAGGATGCACAAGCCACTATCATCCATCCTGCAAAATCGAGACATTTGGTGGTCACCAATATTAGTTACGGCTGCTTCAAGCTAACGTATGAGTCAGTTCTTACCTTTAAAGCATGATCCTCTTGTGGCCTGCTTGAAATACGAGCTGTCGCCTCGGTTCTGCTAGGCGCTGCTCCTACTGCTCTGCCTAATACGTTTGCTGGAGCTGCTTCGGAGAGTCGGCTTGCTGTACAACCCCAAAATAGTGTGTCATTAGATAAATGTCTTACAAATAGCCCAATAGGACATGCCATCCGGGCTTAGTGGTGCGCTAAAGTGTTCGCAATTATGGAAAACGGGCCATAAACATCATGCATTTAACGGGTTTTGAACGGAATTAGCAAAGCATATAGCGTTTAGCTTTTGTGCGACTTCTTTGGACATATGAAAAGGCTCTGTAAGACCCATGTAACGGTGTCCCGTTCTTACCTTGGGAACCCAGTAAGAAGAGTACCCATAAGAATTGCGCTGAACTTCTATGCCAACGCATCTTCAAAGCGTGGAGCAATTCTGGAGCCCTGAAGCAGGTACAATGAACTGCACAGGGACGTTCTTACATATTGACTTACCCAACACACCTACTACAGGCATGCTGGGTTTCCCTGTCCCGATCGGCAGTTGCCCGTAGCCGCATGATCCGCCGTTGCGGCCTATATATGGAAAAAAACAATGCTTCTTCCTCGTAAAAGCCCAAAACATGCACGAAGGTGAACGTTTTACGACTTAGGTCTTGGATTATCTGCTGAACAGTGGGTCAAATGTTCTCGTGCCTTACTGAGAGTTGAGGGCGGGTTCACGAATAATGCAATTGCTATAGCGTTAGCAAACACACATCAACATCCAGCTTTTCGCAAGCTAGCTATGCTTGGACCTTTCAATGGATAGCTGGGTCTCTTTGTGGCAGTGTGCTTCGGACGAAAGGTGCCGTCACCTCCATATACTGGTTGGCCCACATAGCTTCCCAAGTTGGCTATGGGTAGAAGTACTTATCTGAGTCTGAAGAAGTAGTAGTCTGCCGAGGATTGGAGCTGAGTTCTCAAGCAATGGAAGGCATACTCTGCTTGCTGACTAGAGAGAAATTCGTGGCCGGCACAGGTTCCCCAGCTCCCTGTGTATCAGTTGGTATTTTCGTCGCTCTGCGTCCCCTCATACAAATCTCAAGGGGAAAAACAAGCTTTTATGGACATAAATGTATTTTTTAGTGCGTGAATTGGTTATTTCAATGTAAAGGCTCTCGAAAAACGTTCCACGAAATCGGTGGAGCGGACCCCAGGGCAAGAAAACAGTGCGCTCCTATAGAATAGCTTTGTTCCTACACTGATAGGACGCCTGTTTTGCTGGTAACAGCATCTTCTGAGTCAACTGAGGCAGTGATACTCTTGCAAAGTATTTTCTCCTTGTGTATTCCTGCATAGTGGCATGCTGCAAATAGTGTTGTGTTCTCCGGCATCATGGTCCACCCCTATGGATTTACTCTCCAGAAGTGGGTGCATCAAATTAATTTTCTCGATGAAATAAACTAAAATGCATGTGTAGTCAGAACAATACCAGGATTTTATACTAGACCTGCCGATAACCAGATAGCTACATAAGTGACTATGTGCTTTTGCAGCCGGTTGCTGAGTAATCCATAATACTCCCTATATCCAAGGGATGTGCTGATAGTCTGATGCTCTTTGCTATTACAAGGTAATTTGATGTGTATCCGATGATTAGGTTCAGCCAACACGGCCTGGACTCCTTTTTTGGCCAAACTTGTTGCATTCTTTAGAGGGCCATATACGGAGGTTCAGAATGCATGGTACCCAGATACTTATTGCTGCTCGCTTTACTCGCTTGGAAATTCATTGCTGTCCTGTCCTGGAAAGCAGGAAGAGAGCAGGACAGACATAAGCAACGGCAACGATTCATCTCTCGGATACCATAAATGCGGAAATGCCGTAGGAACTACTAATGGTTCATTACATGGTAATCAACTCGATGCAACGATCTATTTTCCAGATATACGAACGAACTTCTTTTGTGACAGCAGCAAACATGTGGAGCTAGCATCAGTGCAAAAATACACCGCTTCAAGTGGAGTTAACTCGTTATTACAGCTTCGCATTGGTGCATCATGAGGAATGACGCTGAGACAGCACCTTCCCGCATCCTGGTAGCACTCTTGTCAGCCAGAGTATGGTTATACTCAGCGTGGAACCGAGTTAAAGAAAAGATATGCATCGTCCGGCTTACACTTATGGAATATACACCTGCAAGAACATAGTTTGAAGCAAGGTTCTTCCGCTAAGAGCATGCAACTAGGCCAGCAAGGCGCTAAAAAGCTACTGATCAGTGGGTGCAGCTTCGCCATATTGTTGTCTGACTTTCTGCGTGCATAAGCACACCGTTTGTAGTGCGGCATGTGGGATAAGTCCTGAGGATAAAGGCTAAATCCACTCACAAATGAACGGGTAGTATTTTTCTGCGTTCTTGACTCTCCCTCATACTTGATATTCTATACGTTTACTTGGTTAGACATCCTCTTTCAGCAAAAGGCTATTTTTCGCCTTTTCCAACTTCCGTAGAACTGAAGATAGGGTGCAGCAGAATATCCGAAGAAAAAAAACGTCCAATCGAAATTAGAGCGTAGCACAGAAAGTGCTTTCCCTTTCCATAACCAGATTTTAGAAGGTAAATGGTGTAAAACTGAACATTCGAGCAAACGTGACATCGCCATGACTCGGTGTATGCGGAAACATTCCGGTAGGCCCGTATTACTGTATAACTTTTAATTTTCGGTAATAATAGTTCTGTAAAGTCGCCTCATACTAACTCTATCAATCATCCCCAAAACACATTACTCGGTCAGTTCATCGGCAATTGTTGAATTTCAACCCTGCCTTCTGTGTTGTCAAGCCCCAGTTATATCTCAACATTAGACACATGAAAGTCATAAGAAAATGCTCCATGTATAATTGCATTTAGAGGGATGAATGCAAGTTTGTTCTCTCTTGGATGACGTACTTGTCAAGGAGATCGGCAAAAAAGTAGAAATGGCGCAGTATCAAACGCGCATCCACGTGGTTTATTATAAGTTGAATGTTCCAGTTGCTCTTACAGCGCGACAACCTCTCGTGAGCAAACAGCCTGCTTTACATGGCTACCAAAAGGCCTATGGAAATATTCGCTGGAAAGACATAACCCATTGCTACAACGACACGCCAAAATAACGGCACAATCTAAATCAGTTAGAATGTTTCATGCAAAATGATCCTCTAAACTCAAGCTATCAAGGGCCTAGGCTAGCACAAGGCCTCCTTGATGTCATTCCTTTTTGCGCTTCTTGTGCTTTTTGTGCTTCTTTCGATCTTTCTTCTTCTTCAGCTTCTTCCGCTTCTTAGGTGACTCACTATCGCTATCAGAAGCCACTGGTGTCAGGCTGTAAAACGCAATAAAGCATTCATAGAGTAAAGCTTCTACTTGCAACATACGAATCTGGCTCGACTAAAACAGACACAGGATATTTATAGCCCGAGTCGCTAGCACACTGCAATTTTCTACAGGTTTTGCTAGCCCAATTTCCAGCTTGAAAGGTAGATAATTTTTAAAACATTCTGTCGAATACTCCAACGAAACCCCCACTGGCCAAAACATTTCAACAAACATGAACTGCATACCTCCCTTCTTTCGCCGTGGGCTGAAGCTCGCTAAGGAACTCGAGGGGATTCAGCCACGGCGTTTGCTGAGCGCACATGATAAATCAGGATACACTGACAACCCGTGATTGGCAAAAAGGGAGTCTGAACTCTATCGGAAGTCGTTCTGTTGTGGATAGTTGGCAAAAGTGAAACTAAACGGATTGCATTACTGAGTATCAACACAAAGAGAATGATAAAAGGAAGTGGATACTAGACTAACGCTAATCATCTTCTACCTGTTTCAACTCTTCTGTGTAGAAACGATCAGGCACCCACGCGTCTGACGCGACGTTCTGCAGCTGTAACTGGCGTTCTTCTTTCTCCTTCGCAATCTTCTGCCTCATGGCCGCATGGGCGTCGAAGGAACCAAACTTCCTTGCAACTTTCTCCTGCAAGCAAAAACCAATTGCGGGAAATGGCGTTGGTGGGGTGACCCAACCAATCAGGCACCCCATTTCAAGAACCCCTTCATGGTCACGGAGGATAAATCTTGTAGAATGACTATAATCCGTTTAGGACTCAAAGCGGTGGACTGCACACAGCTAATAGCAAGACCGGAAATGCTTACCTTGACACGCTCCACCACTTCCTTGTCAACATCCCCAGCATCTAAAGAATCTAGCACTCTCTTCGCGCTGCTGGAGACAACCACAGACCGTTCGCTACGGCCTGGTCGCCTATCTTCAGACTGCAAGATACCCCCTAAGGACAGGATACATATTGCCGAACTCAATTACAAACGCAACAAGGGCAGGAAGATGTAGCCCGTCCTACATTAATGTGCTCCACAAGATTCAGAAGATGACATATGAATAGTGCGCAGTATTTCAGAGTGCCGGCGTAAGAAGACATGAGAAATGGCATGTGGTGCGCGTAAAATCCCTCCCCTAGCTGTACGACTATCACCAGAGAGGCTGCAAACCCATAAAACGACCAACGCGATTGCTGCAGAGCAGTGGGTGATTCTAGGCATACATGTGTCACTGTGCTTCGCCTTCAATTCTTTCTCTCTTTCCCTCCAAAGCTTTCGTTTTTCCAGAGCCTTGTTGAAGTCTGCCACTTGTTTAACGTGCCGTGTGATCACATCCGTCATCGGCACTTCTTTGCTGCTTCCCAGTCCCTTCATTCGGCTGCCAATACGTCGGTGCAAGAGGAACTTATCCAATTTGAATGTTTCTAAAGTCGTCTCATCCACCCTTATCCTTACACGAGTTTCCGGAAGAAGGCGTACGACACGAGGGAAACATCAGTGCGACGAAGATCCTGGGTTTGTTGCCACCAATAGGAGTGCCAAAGAAGCTGTTACAAGCCTTCCCGATTCCGCCCACTGCACTCACCGGGAGGAGAGAGAGTCCGAACTCATAGGCTTTTATTCCCTTCTTGTCGTCTCTCGAAGAACCCAACTACAAGTCTGAAGTATGGGAGCCCCGCGAGGGGAGCGGGCCAGAGGAGGAGAGCCGATATAGTTGATGCTCAGGAGCAGATATAGCTCTTCAGGCCAAATTAATGGTCTCAGTCATCCTATTTGTAGGAGTGCAACCAGTTATGTGATTTGGGGGGGATGCTCCCAACAAAGGCCTTCGAATGGCATTTAGGCAGCAACGCCATAAAGCACAGTGCTCCTCCACCCCCCGTACACCCTCAGTACTAAAGTTATTGAGTTTAGTAGAAATATATTTATGCACGTCGGAGGAAGAAAATAGGTGCAACAATGTACCGACCCCCCTGGCCCCTTTGGGGCTTCTTACAGTAGGACACGTGGATTGTGACTATTTTTATAGAAGTGCCCAATGAAAATCTAACAAGAGAAATACGTTTGTAGAAGAATGATAAATGCCATTTGAATTGCAACTTTTGTTGAAGAGCTTAAAATACGCCACGTGGTGAACACCAGTCCCATCGACATAGGCTACAGTGATCGTGCACACTACAGTTAGCCTTCACTTGGGCGATAAAAGTGATTTTCGGTTGCGTTCCTGATCCCCAACATGCTGAAAGCAAAATTATTTCCATAGATATCCGTTTCCGTGGCTTCCACCCAATTTTTCAAAAAGACTTCTGTTTTGCCTCGGTAGTCATTCCGACGTGGCAGCGAGCTCAATCCAACCTAGGGTAGGCAATTGCAGCCTTTTTCGGGGGGATGGGGGAGAAACGGGGAAGCACATATAGTACCTACAACTGGCACCTCTCTAGAGATATACATAAACATCGACGCAACCTGTTTACTGGAGGAATTCACAAGTCAACATTCATTGAACGTGAGTTGACTACTCAATCTGCCAGGTAGAAGATGACGGGCACACGACCAAAAGCATGATGTTTTGGCTTAAGCGAGCCGCTTCATGCTCTTAAGCGCCCTAGGTGGCCTTATAATGGGTAACGAGAGAGCATCTTCTAACAGGACCCAAAACACCACGCGTGACGGACTGTTTCAGTAACTGCACCTTCTCGCATTTGATTTTGTTGCTTCCTTCCATAGTTGTAGCGTATTTTACCATGGTCCGATGCCCAGTCTATAACGCTCTACCCAGCTTCCTCCTAGTGCGGCATGAAACCCCAAGCCAAACCCAAAACTTGGTAGATAGTTATCAAGCATATTGAGCTCCCTCCTATCCTTACCCTTACCCCTTTGAATACCTGTATAAGCAGAGCGGGACAGCCTACGCGTTGCTGCACGTCTCTAAGCCCTCCGGAAATTCGCATTCAGTGGCAGATAGCCTCTAGTACACATGCACAAAACATTGCATCTTATTATTCTGAGCTAACACTTCTCTGCAACAAGCGAAATGTTCGAGCAGCGAAACCAAGGAATAGTTTATCTACTAATTAGTGACTAAAACGTGCCTAAGTGTAGCGTAGCCCCCTACGCTGTTACCGTTGCTGCTCTTGCCACGAGGGCGAGGGTGCACCATGCAAAAGAAATTGAGTGGGATCATGCAGCTGATTCAGCTGGTTTCACAGTACTTCTTAAAAGGAAGCTTATGACTGCACGATCGAAAGCCCTACAGAGTCCGACAGGACCACACCAAAGTGGCCCACAACTCCGCTGCAGCACATGCACGCACATGCCGAAGCAGTGAATAAGGGGACCCCTGAAACAGAAGGGTCTGCTTTAACTCACCAAAATACGCAGCGCCCAAGCGCCACGAGCTACAAAAGCAGAGAGATCACTTGCGAACTGATAATGTGCAGATGGCACCAGGACCCACGACTTCACGGAAAATGGTGTTCCGATTTCAAATGAGCTTTTCTGTTTCTGTATTTAATACCAGGCAGAGAGAAGGTCCAACTGTGGCAACATATCCGGGCAATTCCCGTGGTCAAACGACGCGACACGGGAGGTCAAGAAACGAGCAATGTGCTCGAATTAGCTCATCTAAAGCTTTAAATATCTGCGCATAATACATTCAGTGTACCATATTCGCACATCAGCATGGTACTTCTCCGCTGTGCATAAGCAATCGAGATTCACCCAAAGGACAGCCCTGCAGACTGCCGTGCACAGCATTCGGCGGGGACTTGCTGTATACGCCTTTCGAAAAATAGGCCGAAATTCATTGGCACTGATCGAATTGTCAGCCAGCCATTCGGAATGACGACCAGTCGCATGCTACATGTCCAGCGAGGATCAGGGCCTCTCAGAGAAGCACCGCGAACCATGTACATTCCTTTCCCTGTGCTTTCAGACAGTGCTGGTTCGGATTAACAGGCAAGAAACAAACGCGAATGCGTTTTCAAACTAAAATACATCTTACAAGCCATTGAATTCCCTAGTGCGTCGCTCTTCCGTGTTACAGGAGGGTACAGCCCTTTTCCTTGTACTCATTGACCATTTCTTCGGGCCAAACCGAGCACTGCACCTCTCCAATATGGATTTTCCTCAAAAACAACATTGCGACTCTTGATTGCCCAATGCCTCCACCAATACAAGACGGCAGGGACCCGTTGAGAACCCCCTGGTGAAACGGAGATTCCATGTGCTCGAAGGGGACTCCTAAGATTGCTGCCTGCTGTCGCATTGCATCTGCATCTACACGAATTCCCATACTGCTGAGTTCCAGAGCCTTCCCACTCGTAGGGTCTAGTACCACTATATCCCCATTTAGCCCCTTCATGCCATCAGCACCCACTGTGGTGAAGTCGTCGTAGTCCCACGACCGCACGCCGTGTGATACTCCATCAGAGAGTTTTGAGCCGATGCCCCTGACAAAGATAGCACCGTACTCCTCCACCGCCTTCTGCTCACGGAGTGGTGGGGGCAATTCCGGCCAACGGTCTGCCAGATCCTGCGAATGTACACAGGTAATGGTGGAGGGGAGTAAAGGGGAGAGCTTTGGGAAGCGCTCACACAGAATGCGTTCTGTCTCCAAGAGGGCGTCATACACTTTGTGAACTGTGCAGTGCAGATAGTCAACAGTGCGATCTTCAGGAGTGATTTTCTGTTCCCAGTCCCATTGATCAACAAGCAGGGAATGGGTCGGGTCAAGTTCTTCATCTTTTCTGATGGCAACCATATCTGTGACGACTCCTTCACGAGCGGAAAGACCGTAAGTGTTCAGAGCTTCGCGTTTCCATTTAGCCAAGCTGTGCACAACTTGCACAGGACGCTCGGGAAATGCCCTGGTAAAAAAAGTGACTGGTTGCATAACTCCATCGAGATAATCCTGTAGGCCTGAGTCCACCGCCACAAATCTAGGAGCAACAACTGGTAATAGGGCTAGCTTTTTGGAAAGAGCTTGCATAAACTCGTATTTCAGTACTTGTACAGCCAGCTCAGTTTCACGGAGGGACAACAGAGGACAGTAGCGCGGCCCTTTCATACAGTCCCCGGATGGGGCGTCTGGTAGATCCGACATTATGGTAATAAGGTTTGATTCGCCCTTTACAGTACAACGTAATTCAAAACTGAATAGAAGGTGGAGTTGTCGAAAAGTTAAAGGCTTCCTGGATGGAGCAACACAGCGGAGCCCCGTCAGGCTTGCATGCGCTGGATTCAAATATGCTCCTTCCTAGTTGAGATATAGCGATTTCTAATAGCCAGAGAGACGCTGATCTGAGCTTTTAGGAGAAATCAGGGCGATGTGGTTAAAATTCAACGTCAGGGCGGACCCTTGAGGACGGTATAGCGGACCGGGATACTTGGAGCCATTAATCGTTGTATGCGCAATATTTATTTATTTATTGTCTGTAATGTGCTGCCTGATCTGAGTGTTCTTTTTTGTGCCATGCGACAAAACACGGCTAGCGCCATATCACAGCCCTGCTGCGCTGTATGCTCCGCAGTACGTTCCTCTGTGCGAAGTTGTCCGAATACCCCAAGTGTTCAAAGTGTGCAGCTCCTTGTAGAGCAGCTTGTCGTTACTTCACCCTCTCAAGACCACGCAGTATTAAAACAAAGAGGAGAGGGAGCTCTGGTGAGGCGACGCAAAATGGCTTCCTACTCAGTGTTAATGGGGTGTGGGAGGGGGGGAGCGGAGAGCTCCACTGTGAAGATCTTACTAGGAGCAGGTGCCATATTTTCACCAGCTAAAGGCTGTATACACGCAAGTTGCTCCGCGGTACTGCAAGGCAGATGAATTTCATCAACATACGAGCCAATATATACTGTCTGAGTGTGAAATCCGTACTGTAGCGTTGAGGACATCAATAATTGAAGTCATTAAACCGTGTTCTTGCCAACTCCGTGGAAGTGAAAGCAATAATTTGGAGCTTTGGCAGTTTTTTCTGCTGAGCAAACACGCTGGAACCATCGAAGTGATTATTTTTTCTGTCTTCACCCCGGTTTGGCATGACCATGTGTCTCTTTAGTTGACTTGTAAGCTTTATTGTGTCCTAGGATATTTGTAAAAAGGAAACTCCCGCTCCAGGCACCACAGCCAGTTGGTGTTTTGTCGTTTTGCGGACAGTGTTCAGTTGATGAAGGCCCCTATGGCACCTTCAGTAGAGACGTGTTCGTGTGGTAACTTCCGGAAAAGCAATAGAATTATTAGATTTAGGCGCTGCTTAGTGTATCTCTCATCTTGCTGCCTCCACAAGCAAACTCCGAGCCCCGATTTTCCATCAAAAATTACAAGGAGCCCAATATTCCTTTGCCGGATGCCCCACATCCCCGTATCCCTGCCCCAAAACGTCCCGGCCTGAAGCACGTGGCTGCACCCTCCGTACAACTCGGATCTTCACATACTCTACCACCCAGTAAGAGAGAAAAAATGCTGTGTGGCTATGTGCTCATACTATGGCGAGGAATTCTGTCGGCAACAACACAGAAGTATGCATAAGCCAAGCATTCCACGTGTAACTAACTCGTAATCAGGGCAGCAAGCTCTCTAGTGACTGCTTAACTGCTGCTTAGATCACAATATTGAACCAGCTTCGCGTCTCGAAAAGCTTTAAGGAGACCCTTCGGGCTTCAAGCGAGCCCCATCCAATCATCTTTTGACCGGCAAAATCCCATCACTTTGAATTGTATTCGCTTTCGTAGTCCAGTTTTCCACGATCCACCGAGTCAACCTTTGTCGTAAACACACGCAATCCCACTAATTCATCTACAAGCTTCAAGAAACGCTATTCCACTTGTTGCACACATATCGAGGGCTTTTTCTGAAGATTAATACGTCTCAAATGGTCGTGTTCGCATATCCTAGATCCTTGAAGTAGGCACTAAATCGTTTCCACGTGCCTCCACAAAAAAGGTGATGTGTTGAGCGTTGGTGTATGGGGTGGGGCAGTACTGCACTGGTTTGTCGTTATCCTCGCAGCCTGTGGTTCGTTGGAAGAAAGAAACGAGACGGGGGCTCCTATTGCGAGATCCAGTTTGTGAGCACTAATGACCAAAAACGAAGGGACTTCAACTTGCATATACTCTCACATTGCTCTTAAAGGTAGACACTTTTATTTGGGTAGCAGGATTCGAGCTTTCTGTATATACGTTCAAAAAGAAACGAACCAACCCAAACTCAGCCCTCTCAACGTGCATACCCATTGAGAGACTTGTCCTGCATCACTGACTCTTAAATGGCGACTTACCACACGCAAAATTATATCCCCAAATCAGTGATCCTACCTATATCTGCAATCTATGACTCCTGTAACGCTATATCAAATTCCTCCATTGTTCGACACTTCACTCCAAACTCATTATAAACTTAGTATGGATTCACTAAATGTTTTGCAAGAGAGCCTCCTCTCTTGCAGAAACGCCAATTAGAGCGCTCTAGATGGGGGGACAGGGACAGCTGTGGTGTGCGTTGCTGAACCACCTATGCACTCTACGCATACATAGCTAGTTGCACACAGCATTTGGCGCAAACGCATGCGTCATTGCGTCTTTTTATCTCAATTCAGCACTACTCTACAATTAAGAAAGACAGGCAGCCAAACCAAGTGGTCGTTGCTTTAGTAGCTCTCAGTTGAATATAAGTAGCAGTAGATATAGAAGTGTTCAAGGGTATCCTAGCCCGCTGTCGTTAGGAATGATGGAGTAGCCAGTGGGTTTCAAGACATAAGGAACAGAACACACATTTCGCACAGATCTGGCCCTTGCTTCAGGTGTATTCCGGTTCTCACCACTTTTCCGTAAGACAGATTTTGGTGTTCGCATTTGGAAATAAACGCTACCATGTATTCTCAGTACTTCAGACGGTGCATATTAATCCCCTTCACCTTCTTCAAATCTATCGCGTCTGGCATGTCGGATAGATATCCTGTGAGTTTTGTGGCTCAGGGATTTTTTTCCGTGTAGCAGCTCCATCGATACGTGGCGTAGCGGTCCTATTCAGCACAACTGCCCATGAGACCATCGGGAACATCTTTGGCGTAGTCTTCCGAAAGGCGCTTTCACTGCTTTTAGCCTTGATAGCCGCTCTATATTATGGGGATCAGTCGTAGGGAGCCTGAGAGGGATAGAAGCGCTTTCGGTTCACAGGCAATGTTCCCTTCCTCTCTTGTCTACGCTACTTAGCGGGCTGGCACTTGGACACACGTTGCCATCATAGCTTGCAGTGTGACTTTGCATCTCTAGTGCTGCTTTAGAAGACTAGGAACTCTTAAGCGCCCATTGCAGGAGCATGCAGTTGACAGGTTTAACTTAACCAAGCCGTAAAATCTGCCATTTTGGCTACACAGAAGCAGTGGGTGGGTAGTTTTGAATAGAGTGGAACCCACTTCTGGTATCAGTTAGCGTTTTCTTGACGAACTCCTGTAGGTGAGTGACAACTCCACTGCTCTGTTGCTCACAGTTTAGAAAACGCCAGGTAGGCAGCAATTTTGTTACGGACGTCCCCGTGACACGTCACTGCTTAAGCTCATCGTGAGGTTCAGTTTCGTATACTCACAAATTCCAGTGAGCTGTCATGAATTCAGCGAAATGCATGGGTGTGTGTGTGTGTGTGTGCAATGTCACAAAAGTCTTCATAATCGGAAAGCTTTCATTAATAGCTAGGAATATTATGCCGAATAATGCATGTGGAGGGCAGGATAAGGTTTCTTATGGGAATATATGAGGACGGTTGCGATATGTACGTGTTTGAGGCAATCCCGTCAGTTTATGGATCGATGCATGCAGCCCTCGTGCACGGACTAATAGCCTTAGTAACTATGAATGTTAGCTGCTTTCGTTGAGTTGCAGAACATTCAGGCGCTAAGTGGTGGAAAGCTTGAGGCTCTCGCTTCCATAGCTTACAGTGTTCCACTCCTGCAGCCGACTGTACGCAAGCGAGTCCAGAGGTCGCAGTAGTTGGGTTTTTCGCATTCGCGGGAGCGACGCTGCATAGTACAGGACTAATAAAAACGATTATATGGGAAGCCTATTGAGGCTTTGTGTGTGGGGGGGCGGGAGTTTGGCGGAAGTGCCGAAAGACACGTGGCTTTAAGCTTCACCGTCCCACAGTTAGTGTGCCTGGCGTCGGCCACAAGCGAGAATGCAGCAGCTGAGGCGGCTAAGCTTCTTTGATCGAACAATAGTCGAAAGAACGCGATATGCTCAGCTACCGTGCGATGATTCAATCAATCCAAACACCGGCGGACTGAGCTCTGGCGCCGAGCAGCCGCCATCAACCCAAGCCCAAGTGCATGGCGCTGCAGCAGGTACTTGATCACAGGGCATTACGCATGGACAGAGACTCTAAAGCAATGGCAGTGTTAAGAAATGCTAGGGGTTTGGTTCCTTGGCGTTTGTTGCGTTGCGATTGGGGCTTCTTGCAGGCTATGCCCTGGCCATGATTCGCAAAAGCGTATGATGGCATGCATGTGTGTCACAGGGCCTTCCCGCTTATCTCCGCTCCCTTCTTCGTCCATTGTGTGTGCGGCGGGGACTGACGCCTACCTGTGGCTCGGCGATGACGACGGCTTTTTGCACACACTGGACCATGACTTCCAGCTACGGTCACTCAAAAGCTTTGACGTTTGCTTCGTTTCCATGCATGCGGCGGTTCACGCGAGCTGTATCGTCTGCATTGGGTACGTGTCTGTAACCTTCATGGGCTTTCCTGTAGCGCAGCTTGTGCTTCATTCCTTGCGGATTTTCTCGGTGCGACTGCCTCCTTGCTGATTCAACAGGCGAGATCTTCAATCTGAAAAGCCGGGCAAGGGCCCTGTGGGTAATGGAATGGGTCAACTCGAAGACCCCAGGATACGCCAGGGCGTGCTGAAGTATAAATGCTACAGCACTACGCAGGTCGACGGCAAGGGAAATCCAGTCCTCCTCCGGGAAGCAGGACTGTTCTCCAAAATCCCAGAACAGGTTGTCGTGTGCTCTGATATTAACATGAACTTCACTATGCTAGCTGTAAGCCTTTCCATGAAGTGTCGGGGGGGCACCCATTCTTAGTTTCTGGGAAGACGGCCCTCCGTCCAGTGGATGTGCATAACTCATGCGGAGGAGGAGAGGAGGACGCTGCTGAGGTTGCTTTGTAACCAAGCTCGGATTATTCTTTCATTCGATGCTAGGCAGAGCGTCGTCGCCGAGCTGTGCACTTGTGAGCATGCTGTTATTGTGTTGCAGGTCGGCACTGAAAGCGCGGGCGTCTGCCTCTTCCGTGGGGACTTGCTAAGGGAGAAGACGTGCCGGCTGCGATTGATGAAGTGAGACTTTTGCGTTTAACACAGTTCCTAACAGGGATAGGTACTCATGTGTTCCTCCCAGTTGCTAGTTCATTGACTGCTGGATGTGCAGCTATATACATACATATTTATGTTCTCGTAGGCAGGAAAGTACCAGCCTTTTCCCGAAAAAGTATGCTGCTTTTTATGGTGCCAGGGAGAACGATGAAGCGGTTGCCAGCGTGCGCTTCCTGGCTTCCCAGTCAGATTCAAATACCCACTATATGCTCGTGTGCAACACCAGCTCGATAGCCTGCTACGCCGTTACGCTAAAAGGAGAGCCGAAGGTTGGTATTTCAGAACAGTTGAATTTGGACTCGAGGCTTACTTTGGTGGCAGAACTCGCTCTCCGGGGGCAGCTGGGAGGGTGGGGTAGAGACAACGGAAGAGAAACCACAGGACAAGATCGCGGAATTGGCGTGCAATCATTGACTGCACTGCACGCCGCACGCTAGGTGTTGCCCTGCAAAATACTTCCTTTATTGTGCATGCGGGATCGCAGGTTTGTCATACGGACAGCGTATCCACCGCTTCTCCTCATGTTGTGGGGGCGTTGGCTTCCCTAGGCACGTTTGTCATACATCATGGAGAGGGCATATTCTGCGTCGATCCAGAGCAGGGTAAGCCTTGCCTAGGCCCACCGTCCCCTGTACGTGTGCAACAGCGTGCCGTCTCCACGCCGCATCTACTTGGCCTACAACACACACGGAAGATGCGCGCGCTAAAACCGCGTGTTCGGGAACTCGTCTGAATTACATCTTCTCCTATGCGGCTGTAGGCAACTTATGGGCTCTTCCGAGCGAAGACCGCTGTCATATTTTGACAACCCATAAATCCTATATTGTATCGGTGACAACGGAAGAATCCTCTGCAGACGCTGAACCAACCCATGCAGGTTCTGCCGAGATCTTGCCCGAGAAATTTTCACCGTTGCAATCTAAAAGCTCCGTGAGCTCTAGTTAGCCCTTTCCTTATCAAGTTTTTCTGTGTCCTGCTGCTGTCGATGCTGCTGTCTCTGTCACACACACTCTCTGAAAGGAGTGCGCTTCGGATTTCGCGGGTGCGTCCGATATTTTCCAATGTTCGGGCCGTAGAGCGCGTTTCTTCTTGCCGCAGCATCAAATGCTCACTATTCACCTCTGTTACCCTGAGCTCCGACTCATTGCCTACTCCTCACCCATGCGAGGAGTTCGCCACGTTGTCTCTGCAATGGTGAGTGCTGCTAGGCAGAGTTGTGCAGCGCGATGGGACAGCTCGGTGACCGTGTTACAAGTGGTGATCAATACAGCGGCTCATAAGCCGCTCCTGTTTCCACCTGCAGTCGAGTGCATAGGATGGCGCCAGATGTACGTGGACTTGCTGACGCCTCCCATGCGACTGCGGATTCTGCAGGACACGCTGTTTGTAATCGCTCGAGGAGGAGCCACAGAAAACAATGTCTTGTTCGACGTTAAGGAAAAGAGCTTTGACGAGCGCTTGTGTATTCTGCTTCGGTATGCTGTTTCTCTCCTTGGACCTGTAGCTGTCTCCATGGCGACGTCCACCAGCAGCCCCCGAACTGACCTGCTTCCCCAGCTGTCCGTTCACCCTTCTGTCTCTGTGGGTTTCGCGTGCTCTAGGAAGCGGCTATTCAACTGGGCTGCAGAAGTCACCATCAAAGATCATCAGCCGCAGCAAGTTTTGCAGGCAAGGATGCGAATATATTGACCGCTTCTTGCATACTTGGGGCGCATCAGTTGACCATTAGTTTGTTTGTCTGTTTCTCTGGGGGGGATTAGGAGCGGAGCTCAGGGGTCTTTACGAATCGTCTGGCTAGATAGGCAGCTCATGAATCTTGTAAGGCCGTGAGGACGGCGCAGTCCTGACGTATTGCACATGTTCGTTGCAAAACTGAGCTCGCTGCAGGAGGTTTACCGGCTTCATGGAGACTGGCTGTATTCCAAGAACATGCCGGAAAAGGCGGTAGAGATGTACATCAAAACTATAGGTGAGTTGTGATTTGAATGCTAAGCAAGTCGCAGCCGTTAACGTCCACGGTGCATCAAAAAGCTTGCCCAGCCCTGTCGCTGACTTCCGCCTTATGTTTTTGAAACTTCAGGATTCCTAGAGCCTTCCGCAGTTATCCAGAAGTTTCTCGATGCCCAAGAATTAAGCCACCTGGCGTTTTACCTGCTTCACCTTCACTTGGCAGGCTGCGCCATGCAGCAGCACACACTGCTGTTTTTTAAGTGCACGGCCAGGCTGAAGGACGATGCGCTACTTGCGAGCTTCCTTGATGATCCCCGCATCAGCAAAACCTGCTCACTAAGCGTTGCGCTTAACGAGTGTCGCTTGAACGGTTAGTGTGCGCAATCACACCTTTGCGGACTGACAGCTAGCGCTGCATGCAAAGATTTCATTAGGGTAGGAGCCATGTGGATTTGCGCCGAATTCCTCGCTCGTCTCTTGTTGGGTACTCGCATTGCGCCTCGCTTGCAGAGCGCCTGTGTGTTGCCGTGCGCGCGCCGTCATGTGGCAGGAGAGGGCATGTGTATCGTCATGCCACACATATGTATACATTGCCCCCTGCATGGTTTTTTGTGTAGTGCTCGAGTTATGCACTTTCGGCTCAGGCGACACAGCACTGGCATGCGCAATTGCAAGCCGCCATGGGTACCATGATGAGCACCTCTCCTTGCTGTTAGAGACGAAGTGCGTCCTACAGTTCTTTGTAGCGTCCCAACACAATTGAGTAGCTCGTCTTAAGTAGCGAAGCCTCATTGAACGAGTTTTTGGCAAAATGCAGGGTGTGCATCCCATTTGATCTACTTGTATTGCGCATGCATAGGGAGTTTTCAAAAGCGGTGGACGTTCTGAAGCAGGTGGACGCCCCTACTGCGTGCTCCCTCTTACTGAAGCATGGCAGCGACCTTCTCCGGCACAGCGCCAGTGACGTGCTTATCCTGCTTAGCCAATTTATAAGCGACTATCATACCAGGTTAGCCGCTGGTGCATTCGTTCCCCAAAATGTGGTATTGGGCACTTGTCTTGCCTTCCCACGACTTTATGGATCCATGCTGAATAAGGCCGCTGCGCGTCCAACATGTTTGCCCCTGAAGATTTGTGTCTTCTGCAGTGTCGAAGTCTTCATCCCACTGTTTGTTGACGATCCTGACTTGTTGTTGTTATTCCTCTCCTTGCTGGCGCATGGCCTCCCCGTTGCACGCCGTCTGGTTCGTGAGCACGAGACCCTCTGCAGTGACTCAAAGCTGCAAGAAGCTATAGAAAAGGCGCGAACGGCCATTGTTGCCTTCCCTTCGATATTCGGATGCTCCCCATTTTCTTCCTTGCTGGAGCTGCTTTTGCGTAGGCCCACGCACCTTCCAGCTGCCCAGCCCCTCTCTCACCGCTTACGAAAGCGCTCTCTGCAGCGTTTCGTCTTGAACAGAGCCATATTCACCGCCGCCGCAGTTCAGTCTTTCCTCAATTTCTATAATTTGTTCTCAGTGGCCCCGTGGGTTAATTGCTGCGTATCGTCCCTCGCAAGTGTAGAACCGTAAGTGCCTCCCGTGAGTCCAATGTTGATCTTATTGCTTCTCGTTTTGTGCATTGGGGCTTGATGCATGCTTCTGGCTGTTTAGGCAAGTGGCGCGCGTCTCGCCATGCCTTGCCGCATGCCTGCGGCACAACGGATGGCTCGCCGAGCAAGCATTTGGGGGTCCAAAGCTCTATTGAGAGCTCTGAAGGCGGCTCTTCAGAGCTTTCTCCCATATACGCTGAAATACTCCTCAAAACGCTGAAGAGTCGGACCATGGTATGCGCGTAATACTTGCCTGCATGTAGCCTTGTCGTCTGCGTTTGCGTGCCTGCATGATCTTCTTGCCCTTTACGTTTCGGGATATCCGTGTGGGAATTTGCACTCAACAGACAAACGAAGAGCAGTATCGGTCAACGCTCTTGTGCACGATCTTTGGTTTCGAGGAGGGGATGTCCTTGGTGTGCGAAAAACAGCACGAGCTGCAGCTGCCAATGGCCTACTTTGAGGCCAGCAACGACATTCCAAGTCTTCTTCGGTTTTGCTTGAAAAACGGCTCTAAAGACCCCACTTTGTGGACCCAAACTTTGAATATTCTTGCTTCGTGAGTTCTGCGTCGGGGACGACGCACTCCTGGCTGTCCTTTTCTCTCGGGGCACTGACTTCTCCACTCATCGCAGATAGTGAAGACATGAGGCGACTTGGTGGATAACAGTGCCCCTGTGGCTGTCTGAGGTGCTGCTTAATGTGCGTGCAGTCAAAGCGGAACGGAACGCCAAATACGGGAAGTCCTGTTGCACATTGAGGTAACCCTTGCTGGCTTCGGGATGTCCGCAGTGGTCGCTTGCATATTTTTTGTTATACCGGCAAGAACGTCTATAAGCTCGTGGTTTCGAATCCTTGGGCTTCTTATGCGGTACGGTGCAACAGAGGGCCTGCTGTAGGCATTCCGTTTGTGGCCGCAGCGGTATCGCCTCTTACCCCCACTGACGGTTCTGGAAATATTGCAGCAGAGCCAGGTCGTTACTCTGGATGCGGTTAAAGTATGTCGGGCTGTACATGGCCGCTTCCAGGTTTACCAAACTCGTAGGGAGTCTTGCAGTGGGTAGAGGTGCTTCCCTGTGTAGTACCTGGGCACCTGCCCTAGAGAAGAATGCCATATTCTTGTGATTCTTCTCCACTCTAGCAGCTGTCTTGTGCGCAGGATTTCTTTCTGCGAGCCAGTGACGAACTCACCGACCAACTCGAGAACGCGCATGCGCTCCTGCAGAGCGACAGGGCAGAGGTTTCGCGAATGGCCGAGGAAATCGACCGTTTCAAGAGCAAAGGTGCGGAAAATGCAGCTTGAGACGCATTAGCCTTCGGGTGTGCGTAAAGCTAGAAGCTCTCAGAAGCTGACACTGCAACATTCAGAGTGTATGCCGGCTCCTCCGCAGCAGTATTTGGCGGTGCAGTCGCCGGCTGTTTCTCAGGAAACTCTAGGATATTGGAATGAGAGGCCACCGGTTAACGGTTAGGCAGCGTCTTTTAATTTGTATCACCAATTCAAATGTCAAGCAGAGTGTGTGTATGCTTTGCGACTCGGTTGCTACAGCTCAGGTGTTCGAGTCCGAGCGGTGTGATTTCTGCTTCCTTCCGATGGAGCTGCCTTCCGTTCACTTTCGCTGTGGTCATTCGTTCCATACATACTGCCTGAGCAGCAACACCGACACCAAGACACCGGCCCTCCAGACGGAGGGAATGGCACAAGCATCTTATTGCTGTGCAGTCTGCACGCCGCAGTTCAATGCCAAGAGAGTATATTTTTGTCCCCTTGAACGAGCACAAATACTTCTGCAGTGTTCCTCTGGGATGCACTGATGCGCGCCTTGACAGTTTTTCTGCGCGAATCCCTATGTTGCTTTGCAGTTGTTGCACTCACAAAGAGAAAAAGAGGCATGCAACACAGACGACTTCTTCAAATTCCTTCGCGGCTCTACACAGGGGTTCGATTTCATTTTAAATTGCTTTGGACGCGGCGTTTTGCCAACACCACTGGTGGGCTCCGCACAGCCAGGACGACGACTGGCTTGGGGCATGATGTAATGGGGCAAACTGGAGAACTTCACATTCTCCGCCGTATACGACTCTCTGGGCGTATGACTGTTTGTGCGTACAGAGAACGATTGGACTGCTGTCGAAGGACGTAACTGGACTGGACCCCCTCCTTCGCAGCTACATTTCTACTGGCGCTGATAGAGAGGGCGGCATTCTTTTGGAAAATGTTGTACAGACGCCTGCTGCGGATGTGCCTTCTGGGCCGGTGGGCCTGAGCACATCACACGGCACTTCGGACCACTTCCCTGGGCCTTGGCCTCCTCTTCGGAGCAGCACCGCTGCAGCAAGGTGTGTAATCGATCCAACTGGCGAAAACTAGTTCCTTTTGTAAATCCTTAGTCCCTTAAGATGTGCAATGTGAGTTTAACGGCAAGACCAATAGAGAATGCCAAACTAATAAGATCATTAGATCTGGTGGGTCAGCCATCCTGCAGCCCCGTGTCTCAAGCATCTAGCATATGGCTATGTAGTATCCCTTTCCACCCAAATGCAAATCACGGCTGTACTCCAGCCCGGTTTGTGAGTAAATAATGACTATGCGTCTTGCTACGGTCATGATTCACGCAAGCAGTCCGGACAGAACCAAGTTTGGCCTGAATGCATCCCTACTAAAGAAAGTTAAAACAACCATATAAAGTGGAGGGTTGTGTTTTCTATTGATTGCGGTCAACATCAATAGTTTGGCGGCGTTCGAGTGGATGCCCCATAACACGCCTGTGCAACTGCACAGAAAGCTGTACAGAATTAATTGGTAAGTGAAGCAGCGGGCAAGACACCATCATCTGAGCTGACAATTAGCACCCCAATGCGATTGGTCAGGGTTTTTATCTGGCATTGAGTCTCGTCAGCACAGGTAGAAGCACTCATGTTGGACGCTGCCGAATACTCTTTTCTCATGCCTGGGCCTGAGAAGAATTGCGCCTGAACGAACCCCCCGGCTGCGTCACTTCTTGAGTGCCTCCAGGCACAAATCCTTGCTTCGCAAACTGAGACGATAGCTGACACACCAAGGGATTCATCATGGCTACATTCTGTGCGTTTCCTGTGAGGATGTCACTCATTGTGGGTGCGGGAATACCAGTTACATCCGGGTCCGCCCAGCCAGCTGGGACCTGGCCGCCAAAGAACTTTTCGAGACCGGATACGTCAGAAGTCGTAATTCCTTCCGAAAGAGCTTTAACAAACTCTGGCGTCTCCACATTTGGAAGAGGGACGAACTGATGAATCTCGATTGCGTGCAGTTTGAAGGAAATGGGATCCAATTCCCCACCGTACTCAGGTGGCTTGTTGACAGACCCGCGGTATACAACAGAAGGCTCCAGCTCGTCGGATGCTTTGTCCTTCGCTTCGGATATCTCTTCCAAATCTGCAACAACACACAGGTCTAGAGGGACTCAGTGACGCGTGCGTTTTAGCACCCCTGCCTGCTGTAAGGCACTACTCTACCCACATGATAACGTCATGAAATGCTGACGTGTTTCGGCACCCTAATAATTGTGGCTTTTCGCCGCACCTTTCGGAGTGGGTGTGGCCGCGCCTGTCTCAGAAGTCCCCTGGTTTTGGAAGGCCGAGGCAAAGTCTGACGGCATGTGCTCCGGGTAGCCAAACTTCCCAGCAGCGCTTGTAGTTTCCGGCTCCTCCTCCTTTTTACCGGTGAGCCAGCTCCAGAAGCTTGGCTTCTTCTCGTTCAGACGAGCGCCGCTCTTTTGCTGATCAGCAGCACCGACCTGTGGAAGGTACATAAGCAGAATCACAGCTCAAGCGTCTACACAGCTGTAATAAACAGCACATGCACAGCCACGCGAAACCTTTTCGAGTGTACTGGAGCACCTTGCCACGAATAATGCAGGAGTAATGTGGGTGAGTGCGCCTTTGGCGCTATTGCGAAACGAAAAAAGGTATAGAGATTTCCCTTACCTGAGGAGTTGGGCGCGGATAGACAGGCCCGGGGGTCAGTTGTGACAGCGTTGCCTGGCGAATAGGGCCCTCAACCCCGCTGCCACTCCTAAGCACATGCTCCTGTGTATACTGCTTCTGGAAGTCTGCAGCAAAGTTTTGGCCCATCGGGTAATTCAACTTTGCCTCAGTGAGTTGAGCAGATCCTGAGCGAAATTGAGAAAACAGTCATAATGGATCCTGAAGGCCATAGTTCCCCTGTGCTTCAGAGGGTCTTCCTTGCGGTAGTGTACGATTGAGCTCTAGCGACCGCTAGAATGGGAATACAGGGCTGCAGTCGTACCTGGATAGAGTCTTTGCTGCTCGGTCCTAACTGCTGTCTCGACCGTCCTGATGTGGGGTTCCTGGTGCACTTGCGTGCAGCATGCTGACCATCTACAGAAGGGGCTAGAAGTTTGCGGTTCATCGTGGACATAGCGCGTCTCTGGATACGGTACGATCAGTGGAGGAGGGCACTCCAGCTCGACGTCAAACTTCGGTACGTACTTGTAGACTGGGACATCTTGATACTTTTCTTTCCACTCGTACTGCATCACCTCTACCTCTTTGACAACTTCAGTCACCTTGGGAACAATTTTCTCCTGAATATCCACCACCACTTCTTTCTCGACGTAGGTATCCTTATACTCAATTTGGGGCACCTCGACCTCAATTACTTGTTGCTCGCCTTCGTATTTGGGGACAGGCCTCGGCACCTCACGGATATCCCACTTGGGAACAAAATGTGGCGCGTAGCCGACGCGGACGGGGACGTCCACATCTCTGCAAGACACAGTAATGTGCACAGGTAAACACAGTTACACCCTTCGGTTAAGGCATATGCCAGCATACCCGCAATGCATTTTCAGAATAAACGAGACTTACTTCTCCACGATGGTTTCCTTCTCGATGGCGACGCCCCTCTCACCACAGGCGACCTGTACTCTAGGAACATCGTGAACTGCGGATTGGTTGTAAACTTTGGGGACGATAGAATCTCTAACTTCAACTTGTGGAACCTCTATATACTTGTCCCGCTTCTGGATCTCCTGGTATACTGGTACGGCCACGACAGGCTGGTCAGCCTGCAGTCTGATATGAGTCCTCTCCACTGGTTCCCTCTCAACTTCGCCGTCACCGCAGGTCACGGACCCGCAAAACATAGAAGTGCCACATCCAGAATTACCCTGCGACATCTTCTTAGTTCTACGGTCTACTTCTGTGTCCTCAATAGCCCTGGACGTTTCGGGTTACTATTGGCAATGATGATAGCTCACTCCGACCCTGCAAAACACATACATGACATCAATCCTCAGATAGCGAATTAATGTCATTCTCAAGTGCACATATTTACAACATGGTGGATTTAAACCTCGAATTCTATGCACACTCGCCACCAATCGATGCAGCTTGTCGATGCGAGAGTGCGGCGCTAAGATGCAGACAATAGGAAACAGAAGCGACGTGCTATCGCTAATCTCCCAGTCATCAAAAAACGCTGACACAATACTGTTGGTTCAGTGCCTCAATCCAGCGTGGCACAATGACACCCCGTTCACAAGCTGCCTCGCCATTTGGAAACTGAACTGGGCAGAGCTTTCTCCCCCCGACGTTCATGACAGGCATTTCCTCATTAACTCGTTGAGATAGAGAAAACCTCACTCTTTGTTATGGTGAAAACAGAGAAAAATTGTCTGGACTTGTCCTAGCGGGTGCGAGACCCGAGTGGCCCGCCGAGACTGATCAGAGCTGTCGGCGATGCAGAAGGGCCTTACCCAACAATATTACTTTAAGCTTCGACAAGAGTGTTTCTCAGTCTACCGCCTTCGACGATATATTCGGAGCTTTCCCCCGAAATAGAGTTTCATTGAACTTGCAAGCATGGCTGCCCAGGGCAGCGAGCCCATACCCAGCCAGCCAGGGCTTGATGAGAGCATCGGCGGCCGCAACCAACTTCTCTGCCGAGCGCTGTTTGGGGACCTTAGTTGCCCCTAACTTCCAGAAAAGCCCCAACTCACTAGAAATTTGAGGGGTTGGCATCACAATGGTTTGCGATTATTTTGATTTCTAATATTCGACTGTCCAAGCACCCGCGCAACTGCCTTACACACGATGACGAGTTAGTTAGTTGGTGCGAGACGTCTCGTCTAACGAGAAGAATGCACTGTGGAAGACCTACACACACTTTAACCAGGCTTCCATTTTTATTAAATTAAATGCACTAGAGTAGATGCAATCCGGTTGATTGACTCCTGCTCCTTATCCTCTGCACTGATCTGCGCTGACCACCAGTATACCGAAGTTATTGAAAAAGCCCCTTGTGTCACTGTGAGCTCAATGCCACTTGTTTCTACATGCCTCTCTTTTGCCTTTCATGGCACTTGAAGAATTGTAAAGCTGTCTAATTGGGACTCCCTTTTCCTCAATTCGAGGAAGTATTCCTTGGGCAGAGGAGTTGCTGTTGTTCGCAGCCTGACGCTGCTGCGCTCGCGGTTGTCCAGTCCTCACTTTCCCACATATTCACATTTAATTGGGTGCATTCGGCTATTTAGATCAGCTTCGTACCTTCTTTCAAAAATTTTCACAGTTTTTCCCTCCCCCATACCCCAAAATGCCGAATGGTGAAGTAACACTGGTCCTTAGTGACTGGACTAAGGACAAGAACGGGGACAAGCACGAGCTCCCTGGCGTTTCGATGGAATCTACAATTCTCAATATCAAGAAGTTGGTGCTCAAGGAGCTATCAATGGGCAGCAGAGAACCAGAATCTATTCTTTTATATATGGGCACGGTGCATCTTGAGAACGAAAAACTGCTCAAGGAATTCAACAAGTCCAATCGATCGAAGCTTTCAGTGAATGTGTATGATCGAGTCGACCTGAATCTTCGTGTAAAAACGCTTCAGCGTAAGTCCACCCTCTCGCCACCCCAGTTGTCTCGTGGTTCCTCTGCATTGTATTCCCCTATGTCTGCGGTTCGCGCGGCGGGGGCTCCCACCATTCCGATCATCCTCAGACACTTAGAGAGCTGCTCATGTATTATCCTCAGATTGTGGAAGTGGTGGATGCGTCTGCGTCCCGCTTTGGTCCTTCCTCTGTCGCCAAACCATAAATATTAAGATTTCGGACTACAAGAGCGTTCGAGACCTCAAAGAACTGATCGCTGACGAGTTGAACGACCCAGACAGGTCAGCAGCTGCTTATTCTCGACCTTTTGTGATGCATGGTTTGACCATGGGAATACCATCAAACTTGTGTCCTCCGTGCTTGCTGCTTTGATGCGCCGCGTCAGGTATACCGCAGCAAATATCAAGCTGACTTTCAGTGGGAGCATGCTTTTCGACGACAGCCAAAGCCTGAAGGACGTAGGCTTGAAGAATAACAGTACTCTGACACTATTCGTGGACTGCTTGTACTGGAAGAAGTCCGCAAAGGGCAGTGGGGAAGGTGCTGCGAACAAGCCACAAGGAGCCGCTGCACCCGGCGAACAACGCGACTGTGTGGGCGCACCCAGTGAAGAAGCCGAAAGTAAGAAGGAAGAGAGAGAACAAGGCGCTCCCGAGGGGTCTCAAGACACTCCAAAGGCGTCCATGTCTCTTGGGTCACCCCAAGCATGACGTTGCTACCTCGATCTAAATGAAAAACCCTATGTTGTTTCCACGCATGCACGTGCGACAGGATATGCCGCAACTGCGGAACTCGCACTTTTGACGCTGCTTTGCCATTGGTGTCTTGACAGGACAAAAGACACCGGCTAGTGTGCACTTTCTATAATGGTGACAAAACCTCAAATAAATGGCTAAGTGGGGCTAATACAATCTCGCACACATGCGCTAACTTTTAAAGCAAGGGAACACGTCAACACTCTCGTGCTCGTTGGGCATTGCACTTCTTTTAAAGTTCAGCCTATGCGTCTCAGTGCCCAGGGGCCCATAGCGAAGAAATTAGGGTTAATGGAGTACGCCTGTTGGATAGTCATGCGTTTGCTTAGATCCAAAGCAGTGTATTCAATGGAAAGACATAGTAGAGACTCATTCTCACATTCATTCATCCTCGTTTCTCTCTGCATTCTCCTCTCAGCTTTCCTCTTCTTCTTCATCGCGTTCTTCTTCCTTCTCCTCTGTGTCCTCCTCTAAGTCACCTTCTGACTCGTCACTAGGCGAGACGCTCTTCGACCTCCCTTCCTCTTTGACTTTCCTTTCCACTTTTTCCGCCTTCTTCGAAATGTCCAACGCTGCCGCCGCAACTGTGGCCGCCTCATCCCCTCCTGCTTCTGCCTCCTTCGCGAATTTTTCGACGTCGAACACGACGTGTTCCCCTGTGAGAAAGCACTCATCTCTGTGCTCGCACGGCACTAGAAGCCGACCTTACCGACAGGCTGCGCTTTGCCATTAACCTAACCCGAAGTTCGCATATTGTTCTTTGGAGGTGCAAATATATCGACTTTACCTTTACATGGATCTGGTGCTTTTCATCGACAGAAAAGTCGACGTTCACTGCAGCCTTCGAAGGTTCTTCCGGTTTCCGGGGTGGAGGCTGTCGAGAGCCATTGTTTGATCTTCTCTCCCTAAAGGTTCAGTAGATACTTACCGGAGGAGGGATTGCTTCAAGCTTTGCCTCTGCAGTATTATAATAACGAAATTGTGTGGAATCGTTTGCAATACCGCAAGAGTAGCGGTACCTCGTTCAGCACTTTTGATACTTGGAAGTGTCCCTGAGAACAGGGAAGAATGCCAGTCGCTCATATACCGTGAACCAAGCACTCTCACCCTTAATACCCATATGCCGGCAAAACCAAGCCTCTGTCATGCCTGCGGTAATTGTCATCGTCTAGAACTGATGAGGGGATTCCCACTGCATGAGCGACCCACTGTCAATCCAACTGTCACGCGCAACCTCTGAAGGGGCGCAAAACACCTGTTCCGCAGCCCTATAGCGGAAAGCAAAGCCTGCGATACATAGGGACACTGGCCAATCACCGGAATAGTAAACATGCCCTTCTATACTCACAATTTGGAGAATCCTCGACCGCTTTGATGGGAAGCTCTACTCCATCCCAGAAGTATGTACTATAGTATAAGAGTTCACAGGGATGGTTATGAAGATCTTCATGTTGTAGCTTATTAGTGACTGACTTCTTGAGTTGTTTTGCGTGATGAATGGTTAGAGAAGAGCCGGAAATTTGAGCCATGTTGCTGCATCGAGAATGTCAATTATGAACAGGGAAGAGGCATCTTGTACGCACCCAGGGTTATTGTGTAGCAGCTCTTCTGCCTAAACCGAATATGAGACGTTTCTCAAGTCGCGCCAAGCGATGTGGAATGCGCTTACATCGGACACAAAAGTTAGCGGCCCAATCTTCAGGATTTCGCATTCTGCACTCCGTGAAGCCAACACCACATGCTACCTCTTCCAGTAGTACCTCACCAGTCACGGGGCTCTCTTCACCATTCGACGCCGACTGCCTTACAGCTTCAACTAGGGCTTTAATGTAGGCTGCTTCCTCTGCGATTTTACAGGGATCGACGTGTGGAAGCCCTTAAAAGCTAAATGAGCACCATTGAACATACGTTCCTGCTTGCTCGCTTCGGCTTCCAGCAAAGCGGCTTTGTGTGTGTTGTACCTAGTAAAGGGGTGCATACAAAATGTGCACCAGGAAAATCCCGATTTTACGAAAGCCAGCCTACTCTCGCAGTAATTTATCGTCTGCAGAGTCTGCAATATCTCCGGATTCGGTCGTCTCTTCCAAGCCCTGGCCATCACTGCCTGTCGAACATAAACTTCATAACAAATGTTTTCCCACGGCAGTATATGGACACTTACGGCGTGCTGCAGCCAATGCCTCCGAAGCGAGCTGTCTCTTTCTCTTTGCTTGCAAAAGCAGCCGGTCATAGCGATCAGTGTTCAGCACCTAAAGGTAAGACTGCAACCTGACCGTTCGCCAGAATGTTGGCACACCTCCTAACCTCAAACTCCTCTTTCAAGTCATCACGCCGATCAGATACTGCGTCATCCGTTAGTTCAGTCTGAGCACCGAGAAATCTAGGGTAGATCTTCTGTATTGAAGTGGGATAACATCGCATTCATGTGCATGCGCGAAACTAAAGGTTACGTACCGCTGCCGCTTTCCCCTCAAGTCCAAAGATTCCCATGATTCCCCCGGGAAAGCTGAAATCGACGTCTGTTGCTGCGCATGATGTTAGTGTTAAATACCATGTCCATAAAACTACTAGCATGGCGCCTAAAATTACAATTTTGTGCGGGTGTCACAAAGATGGAAGGATGATTCAATCCGTGAAACAGAATCCGGGGACTCCTTGCAAGCCTCTCGGATTGTAATTTCAGAATTCGAAAGTTCGCTCCGTTATTTCTGACTAATGTGTGCCAGATGGAATATGCCGAGGGATTTCTGTAAGCCGGCTTTCACATTCAGATTGGCGGAACTACCCTGTACCAAGGCAGATGGCCGTTCACGCGACGCGCCGAGGCCTCATCGAAATTTTAAAGATTTTCGTTTGTGTTACTGTGGTCATAGGGGTTATTCAGCTGGTTTCAAAACGCAAGGGTAAGACTTCAGCTGGCATAACCAGCAACATGTATTGCGAACTGTAGTGACAGCTGGCGACACAGGTGATACCACCATGCATGAAGGTATATAGATCTACTATGCAAATAAGCCGTAGTCGTTAATTTTGAAGGTTTCGATCATGACACGAAAGGTGTCATCAAAGGAAGGTGCTCCAATTTCGGTTGAGCCGCCCCGGCCGGAGGTGTCATCTGCTTTTTCATTCATAGATATAAGGATGTCCGCCCGGTGCTCTGAAAAATCACAAATTTTGAGAGGGAGTGTGCAAATGCATTCTACGCAAAGAACGGGGAATCTATGCCGTTGATGGAATGATAATGCAAAGTCCCTGTCCGGTTTCACAGGGCGTAAGAAAAGCTACGCCTACCAGCCAAAAACATATGACGCACTTGGAATCCTTATTACAGCCAAGCGTACGAACACGTGTTCAGGGGTTGTTTCAGCCTTTTTCTGCACTGCAAATTCTCCCTTTAGCAAGCCTACGGTGCTACCAAAGCACAATGCAGACACGCATATCCCAATGGTTAGGAACCAGAAAAAACTAAGGGGCATAGCTCCCACATAGTTCTAAGAGTTCAGCTTATTTAGAATAACTTTGGATATCATGCAAAAACCCGCAGTACGGGAAGGGTAGGTTCGCTCGATACTATGACTAGTGAAACGGAACATGCTCACTGTCCCAGGGATGGGAGATCAGAAGGGGACAAAATCTTTGTTTCCAGACATTTCGAAGATAGTGCAGAGTTCGCTTGCGTTAAGTCGTTGAAAAAGAACCTGCGACGTGTCACAGGCCTAAAATCACGCAATCCAGTCACCGCAGCTTTTGAAAGGTGCTGATTATCTGTACTGTAGCCGTCTAGATGACTCTAAGGCTCCTTCACAGCTTTATTCTGCCTTTTGAAGGGAAGCGAAGCTAGCGAACACACTCAGCAGCCTTTGCATCCGGTACTGCCTGATATTCCAAGACCTCGATGATCACACTGACTCTCCCACACTCGCTGGTAAGCGCCTCTTGCTGATCTGGGACGACCATTATTTTACTGCACGCAAAAGTATATCATGAAAATATTAGCTACAGGAACTCAATGCCCTGCAAAAATTTGTGATATACACGAACAGCTCATACCTAATGGGGGTCTAACCTGCGTCATGCCTACAGTGCAAAACCATTCAGAAGGTGCTCTCCATAGAAATGCCCAGGAGATTAAGGCCATACCTCAGGTCATCGAAGGAATCCGGCACATTGCAGGCCATTGCTCCCCCAAAGAGGTCCCGAACTCTGAATCCCCCAGACGTCGCCATATCTGATTGGCTTCACTGCGTGCTTCACGAAACCTTCCGTAATAGGGACATACCAACTGGAAGAATGGCACCAGACGCAGCCTTCTGGTTTCCTTGCAAAAATGGGAAGACCCTGCGGTCTCAGGAATGGCACAGGATCTTAAGCCACCCAGGCATGTGGGGGTAGAAACATGTTAACTCCACAAAAGACTTGAATTAGACTATGCTACAGTGCCACTACTGAATAGTAATGCTGCAGTTAAATATATGCCGTCAAAAGTCGCTGACTTGGAAGACCCTCGCCGTCGGCTGCATGGTGGGGCCCATCGGCTTGTGGGAGCTGAAGCGTTTCCAGAGACTTCTTTTCTATGGATAGAATGCCATGTTTTCCTCTCGAATTCATGTTTTGTGATTTTTGCATCCATTTAAATTTGCTGGCTTCTATGGAGTACTCGAGGGCCCCATGTATGCGACGCTTTGTGGTTCCCGAATTTTATTAGAGTGTAGGTGGGTCCTTCGGCTCCGGGAGCGAGTGTGCACATGTGTGTGCATGCCGGTTTGTTTCTCTTTATGCTTGCTTGCCTATGGCTTGTGCTTGAATGCCCTGCCTCTCACGCAGGTGTATTAAATGTGTTCTTCGAAGGACGAATTGGGCTTTTATTCAAGTTGGCGCATGAGTCAGCATGTTGAAGACATGAAACAAGCGAATATCTTGCAGCTTTGAATGCTCGTTATTGCTGCTTCGCAATTGAAGCATTTCCTTAAGGCTCAATTCTCTCATTCCTTCGCTGCACGCCGTTTCCAGCTATGCAATTATCCCTCAGTTCGCTTGCCCATTCTCCTGTCACCTAGCTAGCTCCTCTAGCAGTCATGCTCGGACGCCATTCCCCCCATATATCGTCTTGCACGCGCCCTCGCTCATAGATAGTGCCTGCTGCAACCCCTCAATCAGCCCTCCTGTAAAATTCTTGTGTGGAGCCGAAGCTCCCTTGAATGTTGTTGTCTGGTAGCTATGTGATAGCTTTCATATTTAAGCATGCGCTATTTCACAGAAGTAGGACAAGCATGCTTTTGCTTAAATAGGAATGCTCCTCACCTTCACTTGGCTTCCTGCCTTTGAGTTATCACGTTCCACCCAGTCATTCCGCCACCTAAAGCTCTCCATACATGTAACCACAGCTATCAAGCATCAATCATGGCAAAAATGTTAGCTCCAATATAGCTGAAAGGGTTACTGTTCCCTTCGCTTATCACTGGTAGCTTTGTGGACCACCTTGCTGTTGTGCTCCCAAGGCATCCAGGATATTATTGTGGGCTTGTTTGAATTTTGTAGCCAAGTTAGACACCCTTCAGAAAAACAACTGAGCCATTTCGCTATACATACACCCTACTTTTTGCTGGCTGCAACAGGCTGAGTCACACTATCAATCATTCCGTTACACTAATTATATTCAACTCGGAATTCGCAAGCAATTGACTAATTGCTTTGTATGTTCGTGTCTCTTCTTTATTGGAAAGAAAGTAGCTCAATCATGGAAGAAGCAATTCTTTTAGCTGATCCGCTTGATGCTATGTGCAATAAGCTGTGAATGCTCGAAGCGCTACGAGGGTGCACCTGAGCGCACTCCAGCTACCTATGTCCTCCTATCTCAGGAACTCAGAGGGACGTGGGCACGTCAAGAAGGGAGTTCTTCCGAAAAACATTTAATAACTTTCTATTCAGTCTGTGTTGAGTGTCGAGTCGTGTGTCTCTGTACGGGGATGGAGTCTTACACGTGGACTGTCCAATAAAAGCATGTGTGAGGTTACATGTGGACTGCACGCCTAGAAACCAGCGGAAGTACTTTTCAGATTCACTTCCCCTTCATCTTTGGCACCTATTCTTCCATATCTTACATGTTGCTTATAGCTCTAGAATTTAGCTGGACTTTTACCGCATGAATCAATCTAAAATATTTAAAATTTCCTCAAAAAGGAGATTGAACCACTTGAATCTTGTCTTACCATCGCTTCATAATATTTGTCCAGACGCAATTTTATACATTTTGAATAAAGAGGATTGATATACTGTAAGCAAACTATTTTAGTTTCTAACGGTAGCTCTTTGAAAAGTGTACCCAAATTTATTCTGTCTCCCAGCATCTCTGATAGCACTAGATATCCAGACAATTCTTGGATAATTTCGAAAACAAATAGTTAACAAGTAATTTTAAACTCGCCTGCAAGCATAGCGAAAGAAAATTTATACAAATTAGTGTGGCTTTCGATAACGATTTGCCCTTGTATCATTTCCGCCTAGCTAGGCGCTCTTCATGCACTTGGTGAACATTTACATTGATTGTTATGGCCAAGATACTTGGAGAGACCACAACAGCCTAGCTACAGAGAAAGATATCTTTGGCTTACCAGGAAGCGAAGGGTTTGTCCCTCCAGTCGGCCTTGTATCTCCTTGATCGCTTCTCTTGCCTTGTTCTCTCATGTGCTTCGCTGCTTGCATTCAACAGGGTTTGGTGAGAGGAGCGTGAAAAGTAATTACATTTTATCAAATTGGGTTCCTGCTCACAAATCAAGTTCATTCTCTTGTGTGTAAGCCAAGGACGTCTAAGAGCACACGAAAAAGAAAATGCTCATAGAGCTGGCTTCGTCGTATCGTGATTTCATTCGCCGGCAAGGGTGAAGGGGTTAATTTGCTACATGAGGGTACTTCTGCTGGCCCTTTGACCCTCGGCAGTGACCCAAAGCCTTCCTCAGTTTTCCTGCTACTAGAGTGCACTACCTTTCAAGACAGAGATGAGTGTTTTGAGCCACCGCCCATCACTCAATTCCCTTGATCCCACCCTTGTAAGTATAAGGTAATGCTATGCTAGCACTGTTCTGCAATGCCATCAGTTTAGCATCATTAGCAGGAGTCTGAACACCCGATTCTAAGTGAATCAGTAGCTGGTTCTCTACGGGTGCAATGTGGTGATGATTAACCGAAATGCATACAACTTTTACGCTCGGAAAACATATCACTAAAAATTTGTCGTGATTGCCTTTTTAGCAACTGGCTTGAGTCAAATATCGAAAAACCTCGCGCTAGAAGTAGGATGAAATTCTTAGTTGGCTAGCAGCCCTTCTCTACCGAAGACATGTATCGCAGTTTCTATTGGGGTTGCCGATAGCTGCAAGGCGAGATTCGCGAGGCATTCTCGTTTCACCGAGTCAGACAATCGAATCTCTATCCTAATCCCCATAAAGTGGATCTTTAATTGTGTTGTGCACGAAGTGAGTGCACGCAACGGGTAACGTAGTCAGCATTGCTATATTGTCCCGGACTTCCAGCTCGCGCAGACAAGCGCATTGAACGTGGTCCCACATTACAGTGCACATTCGTGAAGCGTTTTATCTAACAGAAATGACGCAATTTTATAATCACACTGGCTTAGCTATTACTTATTCCTGCTTTAGAGAAAGTTCTGCATTGTCCCTGGAGTTGAAGTACGCTCTCGCAGGAGACCACTGCACCTTCAAACTTTCACTAGGCGCATGCCACGCAACTATTGCCCTTTTGAACAGTCCACATGCAAAAAATTCGGATAGCTGAAGCACTGTGAAATTTACGTGTTTTTACTGCGAATTCAGTCTCGGCTTCAGCCTTCACCCCAGCCCCGTATAGGGCAAACCTCAAGGCATATAAACATCCAAAATACATGAACCGCTCATGTGCAAGCAATTTGAACCAAGCAAAGCTCAGAGGGACTCATTTGGACTTGGAAAACAAGTTTTAAAGGACATGCGGGCTTTGTAAACCGTGTCTCCTCCTCGTGGTATTTGACAAGTATTCTTAAGGATAAAAGCCTCAGGTTCCGTTGGAACTAACTCCCTGGACATCAGTAGCGTGGGTGAGCACTCAAATTCGCTCGATAGTTTGGCGCACTCTGTTACCAGAGCGCATGCAATGGATGCATCCCTTAGCTTTCCTCACCGCTCTGGCTAACATTTGCTAGGAGATGCATCGATTGTCTAAGTAGGAAAGCGCCAATTCTGTAAGAAGTAATTTCGGTTGTCGTCTGGGCACCCTTTCTTGGCTGCCCATTTCCTTCTCCTGTTGCTGCTATGCATCAGAATTAGTTAGATGCTTCTGTAGATTAGTCTTAGTGGATTGCACGCTGCGCCCCCTGCAAGCATTTTGGCGCAGAACTAGGTGTAAGACGCACAGAAACAGCTTTTGTTTATTGGTATTCGTACAGTTAAACACTTGTAAGAATCCACAAGTCCATGAAAACCCTACTACCCCAAATGGTTTTTGTGTGCGGGTAAAATTATGCGCCGGTTCTTGCGTACGGTGTATGATTTGTACTTTTTCTATCGGTTGACTCAATGTACTGCGTCTTCGAATAGCTGTCGGTTGGTAGGCCGCATTATTGTTCACTATGCAGTGTAGGCGGACCCTCACCCACAAGGCACGGAACTTGCAGAAAATGTATCATTGGGACAGTGGTTCTTCTTTTTCAACAGGCTGTTGTAGTTAGAATGAAGATTGCGTCTGCCCACGCAAATAAGTACATGCTTTTTCTCAGTGCACCTATTACCGCTTGCTCTAACAGGCTCCGTTCATATGGAATGCAGTATATTCTCATTCAGAACGGTCCTTTAGAAATAGAACGCAGTAAAAATACAATTCGCAATAGGGGTCACACTAATGACTACCAATATCCATGAACATGTTGAGCTGGGCGACAAGTCTTGTGCGGGCACAGAAAAGGGTAATTCTTATCTTCAGGCCGTTGCAAGAAGGCTCGTAGCTCTACGACAACAGTTGAGTATTTAATCAACCGATGCAACAATATTCTCAAAGGCAGATTCCCCCTAAATTGCATGTATGTCCATGGAAGCTTAGGGGGAATAGGGTCTAACGTGGTGCAGTCACTTCCACACTTGGGGCAGTTCAGGTAGTCTCACATAAAGCCACGCCGGTGCATCACGTGAACCTTATATGCTCACAACATAGACACACGCTTTGCCGTCAAAAGACAAAACACATGTGCGTCTAAGCAGGCCAGCCAGATAGCAAGAAAAAGTCTGTGCATTCGCGAGCTACGGAAAGTTCGTTTGGCAGTTTTGGGTAAATGTGTCGCAAAGTACAGCAAACACAATTTTTTGGAGTCGGTAATGCTTTCAGTTTAAATTCAATATTTGGAGAGGTTTTCTAGTCCAGTGTCCACACTTTAATTGAATAATTTTCTCCACTATCGGATGCACCTGTAATGAGGAGATATGCCCTCTCAACAACACACGAAGGCACCTTGTAGATTAGAACACAAGTGTCGGGCAATCCTCCACATAAGAAAGTTGACTTTGCAAGCTCAAGAAGCAGCGATTCATTAATGACACGTGCAAAAGTCACTGTCGAAAGCGCTCCAAGCTCTGTTTTGTCCTGAGCAATATATCCTACTGTGTGGGGCTGCATCTGATGGGGCTGGTTTAGTTATCGGACCCCGCTAATAGGCCAGACCACAAATACCATTCCCTAAGCTCAACAGTGCTTTATGTGGCGAGGTCACAAACACCGCAGCGTAGAGCACCACCCTTGCGGTACGTAACTAAGATCTATGCCTTTTTATACTGAGCTCTGGATGGGCTAAGCACCTGAACTTCCACTCTGTTTTCGCAAGCCATTAAGTGTATCTCCATATTCAAGCATGTCACATGTACAATGACCGAAAGAGTGGAAATTCTACGGGAGGGGAGTTGCTCAGTCCTTGATGGCACTCCTCAAGATGCTGACAGGGGTGCAGTAACACATACAGCCTCAGGGGTCTGTGAGTTCTTCGATATAGCCACAGATTTTGAGGATGCCGAGTCAGCTAAACCTGCTTATCAAGAGGAAAAGGCGGAAATGCCGGTGCCCTGCTCTTTAAGGATGCCTGCCAGTACCACCAGCGGCAGTGGGCAAGAGTCTGAATGCGACGCGTCCACAAAATTTCATGAGTTGCATAGTGCCCAGCCACTCGACACCAACTGTCCAATAGGAAAGACCGAAGATCTGTACTTTGTGCATAGTGGTAGCTCCCTTGCAACACAGATCCAGGCGCTGGTATGCACGGAAATACGTACTTTCCAGGGATCTCAGAGGGGCTTACGTCAACTTTTAGCCACTGTGTGCGGGCATGCAAGAAGTGTTAGGGCGCTGAAACAGCACTACGCACGTTCTGCGAGCATAGTTTGGCTGCAAGTCAACCACGCACTTCCCATTTGCAAAGCTCAGTGTATCCGCCTTAAACAAGCTCGGCAGGTGTACTTATCTGTACTCCACAGTCTTGAAAAGCTACAGTCAGGCGCTGAATCAAATGGACGGGAGGTCCGCATGGGCGCATCTCAGTACTACAACAATATAATCAAAGATTTGCTGGAGCTTGATGGACTTAGATGTACTGCAGAGCGCATATCAAACGAAATGCACCTCCGAGATCAAGCAGAACTCAGCGAGATGCATCAAGTCCACAGTCGCCCACTATGGTTGAGGACGCCCAGCAATACACAGGGGCTAAAGGGTTTTTCCGAGACCGAAAACACCGCACTGGAGCTTTTACATGTCTGAATATCAACTTACTGCATTCACGTAATTACCCGCAGTTTCAAAGAGCAAACTAGTTGCCAGCATGTAACGCGTAGAAAATACCGCTGTATCTTTTCGAGGGTGCTGCAGTTCTTACAGTGGTGATCCGTCGATTCATAGGCCATTTGCGGGTTTCGGAGCTTGCAGGAGTCACGATTATTTGACTTCCAAGCGCTTCTAGAAGCTTTGCATCAGAGCTACCCTCCAGGAGCAAAGATGGCCAGATTGTTATTGGAGCGGGTTACAGAGGCAGCAGCGACGAACACATGTTCCTGTACTAGTTGCAGCCACTGCGCTAAAGCGAAGCTTTCTGAAAAACACCAGAGGTCCCAGGACAGTACATCGACTGCAGCACATTGCCTTACGCTTGTGGGTCCACCTATGATTTCAATAGGCAAATGCGTGACACGACTGCCCTTAAACCTCCTCTTCGTTAACTCTTATGGTGAAACAACAGCATCCAAATGAAATGTACACGCAACAAGCAGTAGCTTATTTATATTGGACCAAGGGCAGCTTATTTGTATGAGGATAGCGCGATGCGTGATCTACACTATACGCAGGAACCCTTGCTGCGGCTCTTCGAAATCGAGAGGAAACTTTCTGCACAATTGAATGCTGAGCTAAAGCATGTAGTGCTCCTCATTCGTCTAGCAGCCAATCTTGCAAGTGCATCTGCGCACTTGGAGAAGTTCGTAGGAAGCCTGGTGGGAATGCCGTCCCTAGAAGGCACTGCGTTCGGTGCTTTTGGGACAAAGCAAAAGCGGTGCATCAGGCAGCTAGACCATTCTTTTATGCAAGCAAACTCTTGTAGTCGTTGCCCACCAGCACCATGTTTTTGGTCGTCCGCGTGCGCCTCTCTAAAGTACCCGGCAAGAGCACGCTGGAGGCTTGCCAGGCGGGGAGTTGCTGTCCACAAAGGGGCACTCCTCCGAGCAATAGACCTCCCCATATCCACAGTGCAGGATGACTCGCAATGTGCTACTCTGGGGACTTCTCACGCTCCATTGCGTCTGTTGAGCTCGACAGTACTGGCTTCCGTTCGGCAAGGCAAGGGCGGATCGACCTGCAAAAGCCAGGCGAGAGCCTGCACGAGCTGCTATGGTACAATTCTCAATGAAGAGGAAATGCAGCCAAAGGTGACCTGCATTCGCGCAAGCGCCTCGCCAGCGCAAGTCTCAGACGATGTAGCCCAATGTACAGACAACTCCTTTTTAACGAGCAGCGCGGCGACGCATGGAGTATCAGGCAGAATCCTGCGGAGTGAGCGTCGTGCTCTTAATCTGGTGGGGCAAAGAAGAAGCCAGAGCGTTCCTCCCAGAGCACCAGGCTGCAAGTGGCGTGGTCGTGTGTACTCGAGTACTGCAAGCGTGGAAGCTGCCCCAGGAGTGAATAGGCCTCGGACTCCTGTCCCAAGAGGTCTGGGGAAGCCGCAAGCTGTGCGAGCGCTCGGGGCACGTTGTTTCTCCAATGCAAAGTCAGCCAACACACCTGAGGTATTAAAGGATCCAAGTGAATCCAAGGCCTCAAGGGCTGGTAAGCGCAAGGTCGAAAGAGCTCTCGGGGATCCCGTAAAGCAAAGACGGTTGAAACTGGCATCATGGCTGAAAGCAGCCACACGGGCAGTGCATGCTTTGTCGACGGGCTTATCCAACAAGTGCTACGATATTCTCAACTCCAGCCGTTTGACAGAATCATCAAAAGCCTTGAAAAAACCCGCAGGGTTTATAGAAGAAATCACCCTTCCTGATAGTCACTCTAAAAGCACGCGTTCCCACAAGCTACATCAGCGCACTAGGGCATAACTAAACCATCTTTTGGGGGCACGTGCAAGAGCAGCCGCTCTGAAGGGTGTCGCAACGGTTGATGCAAACACAGCAAGGCGCCTCTCTAGCACCCGCTCGGCCTGCTCACAAAGAGCAAAGCAAATGGCTTCCTCCCCAAATTCATGAAACTCGTAGTTTTGAGCATAGCGAGTATGGAGGAAGCAAACGAAATCAAAATAAGCTTCAGAGCTTCAAGGGGACTAAACAAGCTCTTCAGCAGTGTTGCTCTGGTGTGCTCGACGAACGAAAGAGCCTTACAGGACGCTCAAAGCTCATTTTGGTAGTCACTGGTTTCCACGCGTGCAAGGTGTATATTGGAAAGCATCAGCGCTCCTCGTGCCAGGACATGGCACAGTTTGAATGGGCCCTTCGTTACCGCGAGGATCCCAGTAATATGGGTGAAAATTTGTTCGGCGGTTGCAGTGTATTTTCACAAAAGTCTTTTGCATTTGTTTTGAACGTGCGGTTGTTTCTCAGTTTTTTCATTGTAAAGTCACGTACAACATGTGGCTTTCTCAAACTGGGTGATCGTTAGCTTGAGCGACGTCCAGAAAAGTGCCATGCATGTGTTTTGTTGCAAACACTAAAAAGCCAAGTGTGTAGATACTGAGAGCTGTGAAATGTCTCTGTCCTACTTTTTCTGGGCTCCTCTGAGCAAGAACTGCGGCGCGGAACTGTGTTGGAGACCCTCCTGTCCAGCGGGTACGAGTGCTTCTTGCTATCCTTCCTTGTGCGCCACACACTAAGCGGCAGCCCGAGGAAGCATGGTTAACAGGCTCCACAGTAACGATTGAAAACCATCCGCAGGTAGGGCAAGCCCAGTGCCAACCTGAAGGGCAAGCCCAGTGCCAACCTGAAGGGCAAGCCCAGTGCCAACCTGCCACACACACATGCACAGACAAACGCAGTGCTAAGGATTAGGCAATTAATGGGGTGTGAGTAGCTCGGTTACCTCATCGCACAGGTAACACATTTTCTTGCATTTGCGTAGGTAGGCACTAACGGAGGAAAATAGGGACAGAAATGAGGAAGCATATTTGGACTAGGGCCAAGCTGGGAGGAGTGATGGGCGGACAGACGACATATGGGTTGCCGCTTCGAGGCTTTTCCCATGAGTCTGTTGCGTGAAGAGGCTTCAAAAAGCCCCCCGACATCGACTGAAGACTTCCAGTGCTCAGGCACGTAAATCGCTGTCTTTTTTAGTTTGGGTGAGATCTTAGCTACTCACCGTTTTGTGCGTATCGGGAGTCACTGAAGCTTTCACCCTTTGGAACAGGGAAGTGGGGTCCTATGTGGAAGAGTAAAAGTTGGTGCCAACTTGGCTGGATTCCGATTCTGGCCTCCCCATTTACGAAGACTCAAGGATCGGAGCTTCTGCAGAGACACCTTACCTCATGAATCCATTGCAAGAGCATAGTCTGGACTGGCTACTTTGCGTGGCATGAGCCTATCCAAGCACTTAAAGTACTTGCGATAAATTGCATGGAGCGTGCATGAGGCCGCAACTTTTGGACGGGGTTCAGAAAGCCTGAGAATCGTATCAAAGCATTAGAATGTGCCAGGCGTACGACGACCTGGACTACTGAGTGGGATTTGTGTAAGAACAATCGATGAAGAGCAAACGCCAAATTGACAATGTAGCAACCGAATAAGATAGTCCTTGCAGCTGCCTAGCGCCTCAGCACAGGCTCAATGCTGAAAGCGGCTTGACAAGCCCAGGCATCTCTAAAGCCCTTTACAACGTAAATTATTCAAGCACTAAGGTTTGAGTGTGGAATATAGCTTGACGGGACATCAACGTTTAGGGCAAACAGCAGCCATTGAGAGAAACATTTCGTAGGCAGAGAGCGGCTTCAGCGTTGGATCGTACACACTTTAGTGACCTGAATATGGTGACTTAACTTTAAGGGCTTCGATTTCCACTTTAAGCCATGAACGCTCAGTGTGGGAGCAAGTGCTACGTTCGAAAGCACTTAGCGTCCATTCATGTGAGAACTCGAGTTTTATTGACTGTGTGGAAATCAGAATGTTCCCCGAAATGTTCGAAAATTTACCAGAGTTCGCGAAAGGGCGCGGTAGTGGGCATAGGGAGTAAACGGAAGTCCACCGCACTGCTGGCACACAGGGCGGAGGACTGACTTCAAGGCATGGTTTCAATCAGTGCCAGGACTTGTTTTTCCGTTGACACTAGGATACATGCGTTGTGGCTTTGCCGTACAGCACCGCTACGAGATGACAAACGTATAGGTTATCAGTTATTACTCTCCCCATAGTACTGTGTGAGATAGTTCCGAACCAGGGATATTCTACGTGGGTCTAGCGGTTGAGGCTAAAAGAATACTACGCGAGTTTGCAGTGCGGGATTCATAGAGCTCCAAGTGTAATCTGATGAGCTGAACTGAACAGTGCGAAGAGCAGATTACGCCGCCAAGCTACCCATGGACACTAGCTATTTGTCAAGTTATGCCGTTGAAGGCTTTATCATTTATCGACGGCATGAATTGGCTGTCCATCTTTTACGATTTCGGGGACAGCAAACTCGATCCGTACCAAAAGGCTGTAAGCTTTCTGCAGCGTAGTGAGCTCCCGTGTGCGAAGCCGAGCAAGTAGGTGGTTTGCGCAAAAGTGTGCAGCTACTTGCATCCCCGCTGTCCTTTCCCTCTGCAGGTCGGTTGCTCCGTAGGTTAAGAGCAAGCAGAAGTAGGAACGCTTGGACGAGCAGTTAAAAAGCTTTTCCCAGCTGTCGAAGGGAATAAGCCCCCTTGTGGTGACTCCGCAGTAACCATCGGAAAAGATAATGGGAACGGCTCTAGAGCGATCAAAACCCTCATGGAAGCGGCGGATTGCAGTTAGGGCAGCTTCTAAACAAGCCAGGCCATTTTTTCTAGTGGATTACGAACTAAGTACACAATATGCTCCAAAAAATGATGCTGATCGATCGCCAGGGAGCAAATCCGAGCAGATGGGACAGCGAAGCAAGGCAGATGCACCAATTGCAGCAATAGCGCAACAGTATATAAGCTTTTACTTGTGTAATCAGGATTTCCCTGCGTTTTTGCAGTCTTTGGGTGCATGCAGGGAGCTCAAGCCTCGATCTGCAGCCCCATTCCGCTGTATGTGGGGTGAGGGCGCATGTTGGCAGCAGCAGGCAGCCCTCTCGTGGGCGACTTCCTGAGGGTGAAGGCTTTTTATCAGGGTTTGCCGACACTGTCGGTTTGTTTGTGCGGCATTTCGGCATTCGAGGTGAGACAGAGAAGCGTTGTAGAAGCTCGTATATGCCAGTCTGCTGGGGGCTACACGTTTCTCCCCGCTGTCTCTGTTTTGTGGCAAGGACGGTACATCGGCTGTTTGCGTTTTCACTCGTGCCATTTACTTTTATCTACGTCAATTTTTGAAACTCTTTGCCCTAGCGGGCGGCGCTTTTCTCTCCTTTTTTGAAGTGCTTCGTTCGTTCGAGTGGAGGAGGCTGCCTTCGAGGCATGCTGGGGTTTCCTTACCCTGCTCACAGGCTTGTGGTGCCTTGTAGCTTGTCTGGTCATTTAGGCTCAGAGGGGTCCTGACCTTTTGGAGGGAGCCTTTCTTTCCTTGTGAGCAGCCTTGCGCGTGAACAGGATTCTGAATGTGCTCCGACGAGCGGTAAAGACTGCAGCGGAGTTCCTTCATTTCACAGTCATCTGCGGGGGTTTGGGTGCTGCAGATATCCAAGATGGCGACTGTGCAAACGACCATAAAAACGGAGCTGTGCTCCTTCAGCGAATACCGTATCTACCCGGGTCGTGGGCAAAAGTTCGTTGCTCGGGATGGGAAAGTTCACACCTATATTCACTCAAAGCAGGCACGCCTAGGCCGGCACAAGATGAAGCCTGCGAAGCTGCGCTGGACCTTGGTAAGAGCCTGCAGTTCGGCATTATAGACGAGTTTTGTGGGGTGTGCTAGAACACACGCATGTGAGTATAAGGGTCTTTTGAAGGTGTAGCGGCCAGAGTCACCGCGCCTGAGAAACTGGTGATGGCCCGGTGCTAAGGTCCGCGCAAAACAATTCAGCGCATTCTCAGCATGGATATTGTCAAACAATACGCCTCCAGGGGATGCGCTGTACAGAGCGTCTCTACAGAATTGCTGTGTATTTTCCGTGCATGATCCACTGTGCAGCCGCCCCGGATGCGAACGATTTGCTGTTCTTTGATGCCTATCATTAGCTTTGTTCATTCAGTGTGCCTTCTGCGTCGCGAAATTGTGCAGGCGTGGCGTCGCGCCAATAAGAAATCCCGAGGCGAGGCAGTTGCCAAACGCCGCACTCGCAAGGGGGGTAAGATTCAGAAAGCCATTGTTGGTATTTCTCTGGAGGAAATAAAGCAGAGGTGTGCGGCCAAGCCGGATCCGACCAAGGTGCGTTCAAGGGATTGGGAGTTCACGGTGTGTGTGTAGGCCGGCTGTTGCGATACGATCGTACGGTGCATATATGGAGAGTGCTTGCACCAGTTTCTGTTTTCCTAAGTACGTGCTGGGTGATAATTTACGTTCAAGTTTCATGTGGACTGTGTGGTCACCCAGATGCGCAAAATGCCTGCGAAGGATGCTAAGAAGGGAAAGAGTGAGAAGCCGAAGACAACCGTCATCCCTGGCACACGCGCACCTCCGGCGAAGAATGTCCCCAAGCAGCAGAAGATTAGCACTTCTCGTCGCATGTAAATGGTAGCAGATTTATTGTTGGTTGAAGGGGCTGCTACGTTGGGGACTGAAGGGCGTGGGTCAGCCTGTACGCCCTTTAGGTGGCGTGGGAATGCCCCGAGCGGCATATCGAGGAAAATTGAGTTTCCTTCAAGGGGCAGACTTTGGTGGTTTTGGTAAGGGGTAGTTTAATATGGCTGTCAGCTGTTGCGACGAGTAGGAGTGCAAGGCTAGGCGATTTGTTTAATAAAGCGCCGCAAATTCGATCATTAGTTAGTGCGAAATTGGACAAGTCGAACGTATATAGTTATTGATAGTTGCTCTGTAGACTCCGACTAATTGAGCTGCACTTTTGGCCCTAAAGAAACGCGCATGGCGCGATGGTGCCTGGCATTCGCCGCGAACGCGAATGAAGCGACCATCGGTGGTGCTGGTGCACCTGCGATACCTCCCATACGAACCTGTTTTTACGAGGGAAGGCGTGGGGAAGGGTTTTCCTCGGGGAAGTGCCCGGTGGTTGCTGCCTTGGAAGGGGCTAGTGCGCCCGTTCTGGCCGAGGGAGTTATGCCGAGTACACTGCCGCTCATGGTCAAGAAAGCTTTGAAAACTGCGCTGGCCACTTGGAATCCCTGTGGCATAGCTGCGGCGGGGGCAGCACATGCTATGTGTAGTAGGGTTCAAGGACCCTGGTGGTGCATGCGACACCAGCAGTCCCAAAGGGGTCGAGGAGAGAAACTCATGGAAAGCGTGCTGATATGTGATTAAAATTGAAAGATCTGCAAAGTTTTGATAGCGTATTCCTCCCCCTCCGTGGGCAAGCCCCCTCGCCTCTTCGGCGGCACCCTTCAGGCTGCACATTGCTCAAGTGGTGTTAGAGGGTCATTAATAGTCGTACGCTTTTAGCGTGCTAAGGGGCTCCCATTCATGCGTGTCCCTTGGCTTTTTCGGCGTCAGTTGGCTCACCGCTGGGAGGGCAACGCTCCGGCCCTCCTGCACCCCAGTGCAGCCTTTGGGCAGCGTGCCGAGCATGCACTCGCGTTCCCTTATGTTGCTGCTGCTGGCCAGACGCGGTGCGCCCATAAATACGCGGCCCCAGAGTGCCCGAACTTGATGAAGCTGAGGAGCTCTATCGAGCAAAATTTTCAGCCCATTTGCTTCTATGTGAAGAATGACTACGCCATGGGGCACCATGTGTATGACCAGCACTTTTACGTAAGGTTGCGAGTCCCCTCGAGAGAGCATGCGCGACCGTGGAATTTACCTTGCTGTGCACATCTGGAGTGCATTCACTGCGTTCACGTTCCTTGAGAGGACTTCTTGCGTGGTTTCTGTTTGTAGGGCATATTGTGCTCTCCCTTGTTCGAGGGGAAGACCTATGGGCAAATCAACGCCATGGTCGACCGCGTTCTTGAGCCTTTAGGTATGTTAGCTACGCCCTAAGGTTTTCAGTCTACAGGTAAGCTGGGGTGTGCTTGGTGCGCTCGGCGGGACTAGTCCTTTCGTGCCGTTTGTTCCCTTGTGCAACTTGGGCCGTGCAGGCTTGAAGGGCCGCGTGAAGCTGCATTGCCAGCCTCCCTCCCGATTCGAAGTGCGCAAGTAATGGGAAAGACGCTTAAGGGACTGGACTAATCTGCAGCTCCCTGGAAGAAACAAACGTGCCTGGGCACAGAGTAGTTGGCTGCGGGATAGTGGATGGCACTTCGCGGTAGGAATGTAAGAAGATGGACGAACTTGCGTTGGGGATCGTTTAGATGCTGTATGCACGTGTTCTTTCTTTCAGAAGATGCGCCATCGCGTGCGCTGGAGATGGCAACTTGAGAAGTGAGGTTGGTCACACGCTAGGTCATGCTCGGCAGTTCCTTCTAGTGTAGGACACGAGATGCGTTTTCTAGCTGTTGGCACTTGGGCGGGACGACTGCGCCGATGTGATGAAGAAATTGCGTTGCACCGCTTTTAGTGGTAGACGGATAATTGCTCGCTCCGGCAAAAGACCGGTAAATGCAAACTATGCGTTCGACAAGCAAATTGTCAGAGTCGGGGGACACGGCTTTGCACAGCGCGAGGCGGTGCATGGCAGGGCACAACGTGAATCCAGCTTACCTTGCAGCTCTAAGAACTGTAAATTCTTCGTTTGTTAACTCGTGCCCGCTGTCGAAGTGCGGATTAGGCCAGGCGGACTCAGTATGCAGTTCTCTTCCTAGCCTTTTCTGCGTTTCGCTTTTAGTGGCGCGGGAGCGGTGAAGACAATTAAGTAGAGCGTATCTGGCCAGAAACCCAAACAAATCATTTCCCACCTTGCTGCACGAATTATGTGCGATCTGTAAAAATCAACTTGGCTGGTGAAGAGCTACAGCAACTCCTGCGCGCTGTAGCCCTCGAGCTGGTGCTGCCTCCTTAGCGTGCGGCGGTGCACCACTGAGGCAAAGCTGGGAAGCTGGCCACTCCTGGCTGTCTACGTGTCCCTGCTGTATTTCTTGAGAGTCTTTGGGTCAACACAGAGACTCCGTGCCTTGTCTTGCAAAGCGTCGCGGTCCTTGAGAGTTTGTTCTCGCTTTTTGTGCCATTCGTCGATATTGGTTCCCTTCGGGAACGCCCTCACACACTGTTGGGAGGCACTGACGCCTGGAAGACACGGGCACAAGTGCAAGCCGCTCGGTTTCTGCTAGCCGCTGTAATGGGCTCATGGCCTATACAGAAAGTAACAAAGGGGCGAGAAGCAAGCCGAGACTGCGCTTGGGTGCCTTACCATCAGCCTGGACAGTAACCTCCGCTGGTGTGTCATCAATGTAATACTCTACCTCGGCGTGCTTTACGATGAAGTCGTATGCGAGCGTCGCCTGAGCTCGTTTATAAAGCTGCTTTGCGAGCGTCTCGGCCGATTCCATCGGCACCTGCGGAACGTGTCGTCCAACTGAAAACCATGAATCACGGCTCATATCAAGGGGTCTGCCAACCACGCATGGCCCCCAATCCTGCACCCCGTTTCCGGGGATGTTGGCATCAACTAGCGAACTGACCTTCAACAAAGCCTGTGCAAGGTCTTTCTGCAGCTTCTCCTCATCCACTTGGAGTCGTTCCATTCGACAGATGGCCTAAATTCGCATACCACGAGGTTTTCGTTCATGTGAAAGAGCGTGAATCACCCCACTACAGCTGCTCTTGTCTAGAGATGAAGGGCGACGAGTTGGACATACTTGAATAGCAAACGACGTTCTCAATATGTTCTCCACTCCTCGTCGACTGTCCTGTTTCCACTTTAGAAAAGAATCTTTGGATTGAAACTTTTTGTTGTCTTCACCCTGCACTTCTCTTGCTTTCAGCTGCTGCTTCCACGTGGCACTGGCTTGGGCGTCAATCAGCGACTCTGCAACATACCGGCACCAGCTTTTCCTCAATGTGCGTTTGGTAGAAAACAGCAACATCGGCAGTTAAGGGAAGAGAACACGCGGGCCCACTGTTTAGGCACCTAGAAGCACGGAAAGGAGCACTGGGTTGTCATCGTTGGCAGCATCAAACACACCAGGAATGTCTACTTGCGCGATCTGGTCCAAGGCCTCCGCCGCAGCTCCTAGTGCGTGCTTCGATGCTGCTTCTTTGACTAGCTCTTCTCCAGATGATTCAACCAGCTCCCACAATTCTGTGCGGTTCATACCACACGTCTTCACGAAGAACTCATCTGCGCAACACAAAAATGTTGAGCGACAGAAACACAAGAATTATAGACACCGCGGTCTACAAATGCAAAACTGCAGCAGCGATTCAGAGCAGCGCACACTGTCTACAAACTTATGAACTTCGTGTGAAACGTTTATGCGTCGTCCCTCAAGGCAGCGAACAGCGTTGAAGACCGCATTTAGGATGTTACAGACCATCAGCTTTGGGGATAATGCGCCTTTTCACGTTCAAACATTCAACTTGAAGCAGGCAATCAACGTAGTGGACATCTTCCTCTGAGTTCTTTGAATCGGGGTCTTCCTCTGTTGCACTAGCCGTCCCCATCTCTTCATTTTGGTTTTTCTCATCCTGATTGACTTCATTAGGTGCGAACATCTTTGGCTTTTCTTTGTCAAGCTCGTGCTGTTCTGCCTGACCTCCAAAAAGCGTTTTGAAGATGTTACCTTTTGTTGCCTTGGCAATGTTCTCTAGATAAATGGGGACCAGGCTTTGGCCTTCTGCCGGCGGTTGGAGCTCTTCAGCTGTCCCAGTTCCCCCTGGAGGCTTTTCTGCGCCTTCACATTGTTGGTTGTAGATATCCAGCAGCTGCTGGGTATGGAATGGGATTGCCACCCTAATAGTTCGAGATTCACCAACCGCGATGCCCGCCACGGATTCCAGCAGCTCTGTAGGTAACCTGTACATGTTTCACCACATTGTAAGCTCCTTTCACCAGTGGTGCTGTTGTGACGCTGGTCCACACACCGCAAGAAGGCAAGTTGCCTCGTTGTACTTACCACGGTTTCACAAGATCCAGCGTTGTTTGTCCGCTAATGAATTGTGAGGGAATTTCTTCCCCAGTTGTGCCATCGCGTTCTTCAAACCATCCCGCGTCCACCTGCGACCGTTTAACGCTCCGGCGTAGGCCGTGTGAACGCCGCCTGGGATAATATCTAGATGCTCAAGTGTAGAAGTACAAATGATCAGGCAGACAAGGGGGCCCTAGTAACTCACCCGGAGGACCACTGTATCACCCTCTTGAGCTGAAGGTAGAGGCTCGGGGTAGTCAACCACTTGGGAGTGCTTGTACAGCAGGTAATCCTCCGTCATGCGAAATATCTGCCCTCGTGCATGCGGCCGTCTTGGCACGCGGAGCTGCAAATGCAGGGAGACCATCCACTGTCAAATTTTGAAACAGCGCTCGCGCTGTAGAGACGCACTCCTTCGCCGTTGCCAGACGCTCAGAAGGGAGTGGACCCTCCGGTACTTTGCTAAACCATCCCCACAATCTCTTAAGAAACAATAACACGGAACTGCCGGCCCGCTAGTGTAGACAGGTACCAGACAATTGCCGGACCTTGAGACCCTTATACGATCGCTTGAATTGAACCTTTGGATAGGCCTCTGCGCAGAGTTTGAGCGTAAGAGGTGATCCAGGAGAAAAGCGGTCAGCCACCGAGCTTAAATCCTGCACCGGAAGCCTCGCACATCCGAATGGTGGCAGCCCCTTGTCGCCTTCGTCAGACGTCAACATTCTTATGCTCAGTGCGATTGGAGGCAGAAGGGAATAGAGCACAGCATTAGCCCATGGCGAAACAAAACTGTCTGGTCGGTCCCTACCTCAGCGAAGTCAACACCGCCAAGGATGCGCGCCTTGTGCTGCACCCGTGCCTTGCGGACGATGGCCTCAGCTAAAAAGCGAAGCACGTCCTTGCGAACAGCGGCTGCACCCCCTGCCTTCTGAAGAAGAAAGGCTTGAGAGATATCCAGTGGCGAGGCGTGTAGGGAGCTTCCGAGTGAAGCCCGGAGGGACGTCAAGGTGAGCTCCCACAGCTGGGGAGGAAAGCGCGCACAGCATGGATCTCGATCCTCTCTGCTGAGCTGGATGTGCATCTGCATGCGGGCATCCTTACAGTGCCCATCCAGCAGTGACTGCAAGGAAACAATTACCGCCAAGAGTTCTGCCATCTCACCTGTCTAGTAAACTCCCCAGAAATACTCGCTTCAAGACTCAGCCGGCAGTTTTCCAGTTCCTGAATAGCGATTTGCACGTTCGCATCGGCAAGCATCCTGTCCAACCTCTCCTCCGCAGCGCTTTGCTTCTCCTCCATGGTCTTCCTTTCTTCCGAGCTCATGCCCGCCGTTCGCGTGTAGGAACCAAGACGCCGACCGCTCTGGATGTACTGGGCACGTCTCTGCACGCAAGCGCCACACAATACGTCCTTGATACGTATTCAGCTGGTAGCGAATGCGGCATTGACCCCATTGCATGCATGCAACGGCAAAGCCACAAGCGCCTTCCGGGAGCCTGCCTCCTTATTGCGCATGACAGTCAGCAAGGATGTACAAGTGCACGCTCATGGACCCGACGAATACCAAGCGCACACCCCTGCATAAGCCCTTCTCCCAATGCAGGCTCGTACAGTGTCTTTCCATCTGCCCGCTTCAAGAATAACGCATGCGCATGAGATCCTCCCCGTCACAGAGCACTCTCAGAGCAGAGCGAGGAATACACCGCTCTCGATCCACGGGCTATCAGAAGCCCCCTCCCCTGCCCTCCCCACCTGTTGCTGATTCCGCCGCTTCTCATGCCACGCTGCTCCTGGGTCGATCGATCGCAGTGTCTCGACGCTCTCCTGCTTACCCCTGATCGAGGGTGCCGCTCTCCTACCCCCAGCATCGGCGTCTTCCTGTTTGGTATGTTCGCCTTCCTTGGAGCTTCCCCTGCTCTTAGCAGCCGCCTCCACGCTCGGTTCACTGGGAGCCCACGCGTCACTAGAGGCCACGCGCATGCGTGTGGGCTGCCCAATGAATTGCGCTGCATGGCTAGCGCGGGGGAAGTGCTGACTTTGACTGTCGAACGCACTGGCACTTCCCCTTGGTTCGAGCGTGGCGTGGGAAGGTAGGGAAGACAAGAAACAGGCATGACTCGAACAGGGGGCGGGGCTAAAGAATGGGGACCGATACGCTGCTCTGCGTTGCGCCTCCCTAGAATGGAGAGGCGTGTCTCTGACTCCCCATATTTCTACGCGCGAGCCACAAACTCGCGCGGATGGCAGCAGAAGACAGCCCAAAACGCCGCATACGAGCAGCGCCCACCTCGTCACTGGGAAACACCTCCTGGACTGAGGACACTTGCAGGGGCGGAAGCCGTGAGGAATCAACGCCATGTGTACCTGCGTTTTCCCGTCGATGACGGATACCAGAAGCACGCGCGCCGCACCACTCCTGCGCCGTGCTTAGGCGTGAAAAAGGGTCTATGACGCTACTGGCCAAGCGTATCGGTTGCTCCGCAGAGGGGAGCCGGCGTGTGCGTGTGCGTGGAATGGCCTTCTCCCTCAGCGCCAGTGTTCAGGGTACTACTACTGGGGGGTCCAGAGTATCTTCGGCATCTCAGGTTCCTCAGAAGCAGCAGTGAAGCAAGCTCTATGGGATTCAGGGGGAGAAGACAAGCGCAACACTGCCTATGCGGTCTGCTCCACCGACTGGCTGGTCATACTCCTGGAGGACATACGCGCCAACCTCCCGACAGTGAGTGCCTCACAACATGGGCGGATCCTTCGAACACCACGAAGCTTGGGACTTTTACTGTTAGCCGGAGAATTAAAAAGCCAGTTTCTAAAAAGAACGGATCTATCACGTGTGCTGATCCTTCGGCGCGCGCGGTGGAGATACACCACACAGGGGGGACGCAGCGCCTCCGCAGTCCAGGAGAGGGAGGGCCCCCGGGTTACCGCAGCCTTCTGTTCAGAAACGTGCGGGTTACCGCCATTTCGTACTTTGAGAGGCTTGCGCAGCATTGAAGCTGGTTTTTTGAACTGCTTTCTCGCCTTTTTATGCTTGAGGGGCGTGCTTGCGTAGGCCGAAGCCGTTTTTCTTCTCAGGAACGCGCCTCCTGGCCTGTGCAATGTTTGACAGAAGTGCTGTGCGCACCTCTCCGTAGCCTCGTGCCTCAGACTGGACGCGGCTTGCGGTGCCGGTGGTAAGGCTCACTGTGTTTAGTGGGGAGGGGAGCCCGGGAGAGGCTTCACGGAAAGCCGCCGAGCAGCATGATTGTCTTGTGTTGGTTCTTGCGCCATAACTCCTACAATGGATTCCGGCTGGAAGAGCTCGAGGCATTGGCCTCCCTGGAGGGCGTGACCTCTGCGTCGCTCTGGAGCGGATGCCAGCGGCCAGATTCGCACTCGGAGAACCAATTCGTGTTTGTAAACGTTCCTGACGAGGCCGTGTGCCACGCCCTCATGAAGCGATCTCTCCTCATCAAGGCCTTTATTGAGGTTCGCCCGCAGCGATTCTTGCCAGAGGTCCCTTCCGGGTTGTTTCGGCCTTTCAGAGATTTCCTGAGGCCTGCCTCCGAACAAACCCCAACGCCATTCCCTCTTATGGGGAAAACTCGAGGTGTCTCCGTCGCATTTGTGCGGCCCCTGTGTACATCTTCCGCAGGTTTGGGCGGAAGGAGAGACTTACGAAGCGGTTCTCCAGGAGCTGCAAGGGCGAAGGATGCCCGACTTCCGAAAGTGGGTAAACGCGGACCGCACTTGGGCCTTCAAGGTTGGAGCCTTTGGAAAGTGCCTCAGTAGCGACGAGCAGCGCCGTAAAATGACCTTTTTTGCTTCTCTGTTCAAGGGGAATGAGAAGGTGGACTTGGAAAACCCGGCCACGACCTTAGTCGTGGCGGAGGTAGGACCTCATTGTTTGTGCTGCCTCTGCCTTTTGCGTTTTTGAGCACCCTCGCGCTTGCTCGAGCGACTTGTGCAACAGCTTTTGCCGTGTGGGTAGCGTCCTGCGTGCGCGCCATGTTGCAGGAATGGACGCATACGGAACAGCTGCAGGCCCCGCGTAGGATATTCTTTGGCCGGCAAATTTGCGGCAAAACCAAGGAACACCCCTTTTGGTGGAAATACAGACTCCCCGTTCGCCCCGTGCTGGGACCTACTTCGCTAGACTGCGAGCTGGCGTTTCTGATGTGCAACCAGGTAAGCGCATGTCGGCCTGTGCCTGCCTGCCTACCTACGTATGGGTACATGTATGTTTATGAGTGTGTAATTAAGATCGCGCGCTGCGTGCTGCCTGCTCGCATGCCCAAGGGATAGGTGGACATGTCGCACGGCAGTTGGGTATGGGCATCGTTTGCGTCATTAAAGTGCTGCACCCCGTGCATGCGTGGCATGCAGCAGTGAGAGAGAGAGCCCGCGTGCGCGATTCTCAGTCATGCGAACGCCCTTCCTGGGTGTGGCTGGTGCGCAGGGGCTGGTAGGTCCAGACCATGTCGTCTTAGATCCCTTCGTTGGCACGGGAAGTGTGCTTATTGCAGCAGCTCACTATGGGTAAGTTGGCTTTCCCAGTTCGGCCGTCTACGCGCGGCGCCTGTTAACTCTGTGGGCCAGGCTGTGGCGTTTTGGCGGGGGCGCTTTGGACAGTTGCATCGATGCAGACACGGTAGTGGACGCCAATGAATGCGTTGTTTGCGCGGCGTATGGTATGGGGGTTGCTTACCCCCAGTGCCTTCTGCGTTGGCTCAGACATTGACATCCGCGTGCTAAAAGGATACGGCGTGTCATATATGAATCCGCATTTGTCTCTGGAAAACAGTGCGTCCGGCCATGTTCATCCACTTTTGCATGACCCTCCGCCCGTTGCGTGGGGTAGATTTTCTATGCCTGCATGCATTTAATTCGAGGGTTCTCTGTAGTAGCACGTCTGCGGGCAGGCGACACCTCAGTGACAGCCTCCAAAAAATGCAGACTTCGTTCTCTGCGTGTGCGACCAGAGAAAACGGATATATTCCGCAACTTTGATGAATACGGACTTTGTCGGCCTGAGATCATCCGCTGCGACAATGCCGCATGGGTTGGCTGTCCTTCCCGATCCTCCGCTCCCCTAGCACTCGTCGGGTTTGGGTAGGGGAAACTTTGCAGAGAATTCCAAGGGTGTGTAGCGGGTCTACCGCGCGCAGAGCGCGTCTTCCAATTTGAGCGCATGCGGATATCGGCGGCGCCTTTTGCAGGTTTGGCGGCTCCCATACGAAGAGAGGGCTTTCAGCAAGCTGGACGAGCTGCCGCAACTCCCGCAGCAGGGAGACAGCGAAGACCCTGGGGCAGTGCGCCCCGCGTATTTGACAAGAAACCTTAGAGGAGGGAAGCCATGGGTGGACTGTATCATGACGGACCCTCCCTACGGTAAACCGGACGAAGCAACCTCGTGCATCTTTTATACGGAAGGGTTATACGGAAGGAAGGGAAGCCAGGGAATTTTTTCGAGACTGTCTGAGCTCGCCAAGGTGTCTCGTCAACATTTACGCTTATGCGTATGTTTTCCCTTCCTTTCGGGTGTCAGGGATTCGTGCGGGCGCCAGACAATCGGGCCACTTGAAGAAATACAAGCGAAACGAACACACACGAAGCAACGAAGAGTATGTAACTCTGAGTTTTTCGCAGCAGTTAGCAATCTTCCGCTTGGTCTAAAGACTGAGTGTGCGTGCAGAAAAGAACTTTCTGCGATACACACAAGCCACCGTTCTTCATGGGGTCGCACGCGACAACGTACCGGCAGTCCGAGGGGGTGGGGAAGGGGGCTCATCTGGTACTTGATTTTTGCAGAGAGGTTATTTTTTGTGTGGCCATTTTCAGCCGACTGACATACATCCCCCCCACTGTGGTCTACAGTTCGCGAGCACTTGTGAGCGATTTGTTAAATCTATCGTCGCGCCTTCTTGTCGACGGTGGACGTCTTGTGTTTCTGCTGCCCGTCGAACTGTCTACGTAAGATGTGACCCTGAAAAAACGCTCTGGGAAAAGCTTTTCTCAAAGCATGCACCCCAGCTAAGGGCGTGGCTGCCAGCACTCTGCCATGCGGCTTGCAGACGGCAGCGCAGCGAAAAACGGCATCTACGCCCACAGGATGGCTCCAGAAACACGCATTATCCCTCTACGCATTAGGAGCCGCAAGAGATCACCAGGGCTAGGTCTCGCCGCTGTGTGCATGCAACATTTGGCTCAGAGCGAAGGAGGACATCGGCTCGCTTAGCCACCAAGATCTTGAATTGGTGTCGACCAGTCTTCAAGAAGTTTCAGGAGGTAGGACCTCTTCAGCAGTTACATTCTCGCGGATACGCTCGACCCCGCAGAAACGCTGCATGGGCGAAAGGGTCCTGCTAAAGTGGATTTTGTGCGTGCAGGCATGGGCAGGGTGCTAGTGACCATGAGCCGAAAGGCCCGCTGCTCAGCAGCATGAGGAGAGAGCCGCACGCTTCTGCACGGTCGATGCACTTGTGGTCTGCACGCTGAATGGCATTATTGCTGCGACCTGCGTCGATTCGACACCGATTCAAAAGTTATTGCGCCGCTTTGGCTGTTGGCGAGCTCACCAGCATAACGGCTTTGGGATGCCGTACTGTTTGTGCGAGATGATCTGCCGACGGCGGCTTTTTGTTTGCGAATTTCTTGGATATCCAGCGCGTGCCCCCCGTGTTCAGGTGATACTCGAACTGCAAGCCGGTGGGAACGCGCTGATGACCCCCGAGAACGCCTGCTACCCGCAAACTATTCGCGTCATGCTTTTGCGTTGATTGGAGTGCTGGTGCTCCGCGCATGGGGGGACGTTTGTAGAGGGCCTGGTCGCACTGCAGTGCGCTCGGTTTTAGCAGTTTTAGGGAATAACGTATCCTCGCGAAAAAAGGCGAACTTGCGAGGTCTTGTACAGCTTGGGTGAAAATCCACGTAAGCCAACAGGCAACAAAAGCCCAATAGAGGCGAGGCCACTGGCTATCCCGAGGCGCGCACGCCAACGGCGCTTCATGGGCGACCTGCTGGAAAGGTCTCCAATTCCGAACAGTTACTGACTCCGGCGCACTGCCGTCGGGGAAAACAAGTCCAAGCTGCTTGGAATAGGGCTAGTGCTCATGAACAACGCATGCAGGACTTGCAACACGTACTGTGGTTGATTCAGAAATGTCAATGGCGCCAATCCTTCTCAACTGACTGTGACTGCTTGCGTCGTACAATAAAACGCGTCCACAGGCGTGCAGCGCGGGCGCCGGGTCGTCAAAACGCACCAGCAACTGTTCGTCAGCACGAACAAGCGTTTCGTGGCAGTCCGATCCGCAGCATATTTGCAACGTGAATGGTAAACCGCATTCGTGGCAGTACAGGGTTTTCAAGCCACTGCGGTTGACTCCGTGCGCGGCGGCTCTCCGGCAGAAGAGAAACGACACGATGACCAGAGAGGCCAGCCGTGTTGCCATGCCCTCGGTGTCAGTTGAACAATTCTGAACATAAATGCCCGAAAGCTGCCTAGTACTGGTTGTTCATCTAACCATAATGAGTCGATAGCATTTGCACACTACGGATCGCGCGCGATGGGTGGGTACGCGAGGTGTACGGGTGTACAGCCAAGGAAACATGAAGAGGCGAGGCATCATGAAACGCTCACGCTGCACGGGGGACTGTGCAGTACAGCAATAATTTATTGTGCCAACGGTATCTGGTTTCTTTTCTTTCCACTGTGCAAACAAGGCCCTAGAGGTTTGCTGGTGGGGGTTGTGCTGTGTCGGTAGCGTTTCACACAGATTTCAGCCCGAGTACAGCTCACCGCGGGGCTCTACATGCTACGACTGAAGCACCTGCTGCTCGCGTGTACCGTCGCTGAATATTGTCATTGCGTAAGTGGGCTGTGGACGTGCAGACACACTGCATTCAACATCACAACTTGCGGCCTAAAACTGACACCTAGATACAACAAACTGTACAACGGGCGATAGATTCTGAATCATGCCCGAGGCCTAGGAACGCCAAGGCCAAAATTGAAGGGTTGGAGTATCTAAATGTAACTCGTAGTGAGTTCCCTTTGAAATAGCGCCCATAGACGTTCGATTGAGTCGTACGGCATCGCACCGTTTCGCTTCGTCCATGCCTTTGAGTGCCTCGCGGCAAGAGATGAATGAGCGCTGCGGAGCCTACCTCTGCGCACGTTCAATCCTTTTGATCTGTACTGCTGGTCTTTGCCTCGGCATTGGAAACTACACCTTTCTGATTGCATTCCTCCAGCATGATGCTCCGTGCCACGGCAACCCTCTTTTGCAGATAGGGAGAGCCTGCAAAGTTCCCTGAAGGCGCATTGATCTGAAAGAGCCGATCGAACCGGGCCAGTATCTCCTCACGGCTTGGTGTTTTAGAACCGTTACCACAGGGGAACCCCAGAATCTTCCGGGCTTCATCGTTGCTCATCCGGGGTCTTAAAGAGAGAGGCTGCGAGCGCGCAGCGCCCCCAGCAGCTATGCCTTGCTTTGCAGCATCCTTGTATGCCTGAGAAGGCACAAAAGAGGGAGTGCACGCGCATGAGGAAGCGGTTTCAGGGCGGGGATGCCCGTCTAGAAAACGAAAAGATGCGCGAAGAGGCGCCCGATAGCAAAAGGGGATCATCCATCCGTCGAAAAGGACTCACTTGCACCACAGCTCTCCCTAAAGCCGAGCCAGCAACAAAAATGAATTGAGCAACAATCCTGCCAAGAGGGCCGATCGCCATGTTGCGCAGGAAGCAGCGGGCACTGGCACTGCAGCAGATCCTTCACTTGGTGCCGTTGCCACGCCCGGTGGTTCCTGCACAGAAGCCGTATACGCCTCTCGTGATCGAGCTGTACAGTGAATAATGCGGGCAAAAGCCGCTCACGCTGTTGGAGCCCTGAAGTATCCGCAAACCGCAAAAGAGGACGCTGGAATCCGTCGGGCTGGTGCTTGCAGCGGCCAGCTTCATCGCAAACTTCCTGGTTGCTGCTGATCGCTACAGCCAAGACCTCGCCCCCTGGATGTTTTATGAATATCAGAGGGAGAAAGGCGCGAGCCGGTTGCCCTTTGCAGCTGAAAGCTGCGCTGCCTGACAGACGCCACGGCCCCACCGTCCGCCCTAAGCAGCCCAGCTTTGTGAATACGGAAGAAAACAGTTAAATATGCTAAAACACGGTGCTTGAATGCATCCAAGGAGGAAGGCAGTGAAACCCCACAGCACAGGCTGGCTAAATGAGATGGCAGCTTCGCCTCAGGGTTCGATTCCTCTATTACATAGATCCGGGGACAAGGGGCGGCGAAGATAATTGCAGTGCGGAAAATCTTTCAAAGTGTATCGCGGTTTCGGTTAGCAAATGTGCTTTCAAAAACCGCTCTTAAAAAACGTAAATTGCCGCGCTTCACTTTGGAGGGAAGCTACCATGGTTCATGCGCTGCTTTACATGTATGCAACCGCTCAACGCGTTCTGTCTCGGGCTGCGTTGCGATCGCTCCATGGCTGCATCCCGTCCAGTCCTTTCATGTTTTACCAACGAGTCTTCTCTCCCTATTTCTGTAGCGCTGCTTTCCCTCGGTCGTTCAGTGACTGGCCAAATCCAAGGGTGCCCTCCGGAAGTTTCCCATAGTGCCGAGTGTCTTTGGTGTCTTTTCTGGAAGCCCGTTCCCCCACAAAGTCTCCAAAGTACGCCTCTGGACTACTTGCCTCCATATCCGTGCCTTGCCGCCGTTCCTCATGGAGCGAGCGCGCTCTGCTTCTGAGCGAGCAAGAGGATATTTCCATAGCGTAGCGGCGCTAGCCGCTTGATCTTCCTGCGCATGAGGGGCCACACCCTCACGGGGTGCAAGAATCTATGGATGCAGGCAGCTTCCTGTGTGCAGCGACGGCGTGTGTAGCCGTGAATATGTGTGTTTCTTTGAGTTTGGCTTCTGGGCTGCCTGAGGCTGGGGAAGCCGAGAGGGGTGATGGGGGGCACTTGAACGTGGCATCTAACGAAGGCGCTTTTCTCATCCGTTCCCGTTCTGGCGCGTGCATCGATGGCGGAGTTGACCCTACCATGGGTCATATACGCATGTATATGTCTGTATGTTGTGTGTCTTCATGTTGCGTGTGTCTGTGTGTTGCGTCTCTGTGTATGTATGTATGTATGTATGTTGTGTGTGTGTGTGTGTGTGTCTGTGTGTGTCTATACGTTGTGTGTGTCTCTGTGTATGTCTATATGTTGTGTCTGTGTGTGTCTGTATGCTGTGTCTCTGTGTATGTATGTATGTATGCTGTGTGTGTGTCTGTGTGTATGCTGTGTGTCTGTGTGTCTCTGTGTATGTCAATATGTTGTGTGTCTCTGTGTATGTCTATATGTTGTGTGTCTGTGCGCATGCAGGATGGAGCCATCATCGACACCGGCGAGCGCGCCAACGTCAGGCGCGCGTTGCGGCGAGGGGCATGCAGGGCAAAGACGCGAGAAGTCGCCCCCACTCACCAGTTTATTTGCTCACCATCCGCTTCATTACAAGTATGCGCTCACGCGCAGTCGGTGCCCGTCTCTGGATGACGGCTACCAGACGCTAGAGGACCAGCTGCGCGTGGAGCGGCAGTGTCTGCAGTGTTATTCCGAAATGCTGCCTGCCTTGGCGCCACACCCCTCCTATTTGCCGTTGCAAGACCCCCCGCCCTCCTCAAGCACGCCGAACAAAGAGCAGCAGCAGCAACAGCAGACGCGAGACGCATTGGCAGCAGACAGAGACATGGATGAAGACAGCATGCCGATTGAGGACAAGGATTTTTTGTGGTCGCGCGCATCCCGCCGCGTAGAGCTTCAGCGAAGCCGCCACATCGCCTTCCTAGGCAAGCGATTGGAAGTGCCCTTCTCGGCAAACATGATGGAATTGGCTGCTTCTCGACCTTGGCTAATCTACTGGATGGTTCATGGTCTCAGTTTGCTCGACGCGTTCCCGCGCGACACTCACGCGGACAGGTGCGGCAGTGTCTCTACCCGCCGCTCTCCTGCGCTCTGGCTGGTGTGCAAGCGTTCTTGGGGGGACGGAGATACACAGAGAAAGAGGGATTGGAAGAGATATATATACATGTGTATAGAGGTAGATAGAGAGAGAAAGAGAGATAGAGAAAGAACGAGAGAGAAAGAAAGAGAGATAGAGAAAGAGATAGAGAAAGAGAAAGAGAGAGAGAAAGAGAAAGAGAGAGAGATAGAGAAAGAACGAGAGAGAAAGAGAGAGAGATAGAGAAAGAGAGATAGAGAGAGAGAGATAGAAAGAGAAAGAGAGAGAGATAGAAAGAGAGAGAGATAGAAAGAGAAAGAGACGTGGCGGGACGGGGGCGAAGTGGCCTGTGCGCGCTTTTGCATGAGGCAGCCATAAATACACCTGGGCAGTCACGCCGTCTCGCTCGCGCGCTTGTATGCATGCCTCACTCTTCCGCTTGCAGCATCTTAGCTACGCTGGACGTCTGCTGGGATAAGGCAGGAGGAGGCGGGTGGGGAGGAGGTGCTGGTCAGCAAGCCCACTTGGCATGCACTTACGCTGCAGCTGCGACGCTCGTTGAGGCAGGCCTGGTGGAGCGCTGGCTAGAAGGCGAGGAGGGAAGCAGCAGAAGAGAAGCCGTCTACAAGATCCTCCTGAGTCTCAAGAGCGAAAACGGGGGCTTCATGCTGCACAAAGATGGGGAAGTAGACATCAGGCAAGAAACCAGGCAAACGTTGCTGCTTTTTAGGTGTCACAGCAGCGGCAGCTGCTACACTACTACTATTGCTGTTGCTACTACTACTACTACTGCCGTTGCTACTACTACCACTACTACTATTGCTGTTGCTACTACGACTACTACTGCCGTTGCTACTACTACCACTACTACTATTGCTGTTGCTACTACTACCACTACTACTACTGCCGTTGCTACTACTACCACTACTACTATTGCTGTTGCTACTACTACTACTGCTGCTACTACTACTACTACTGCTACTACTACTGCCAGGGCGTTGTGCGCGCCGCACATCCTTTCCACGCGTGGAGCACTTTCTCGACCTTCCTCCTGAAAGCCAAACATTCTGCAGAACGGCCGGACTGCTCTTCTTTCGCGTCTTTGGTTCTTCTGGAAACATGTGCATGCGCACACCTAGGAAACACATTAGCCTGCTGCAGCAGGGAAGCCTCATGACAAGAGACCGCCTCTTATGCGCTTGCCTGCTTCTTATATACATATATATATGTATGTATGTGTTTGTGTGTGTGTGTGTTTTGGGGTTGGTGGCGACGCTGTCTGCTTCTCTTGCCTCCTGGACTGTCTTGTCGCAGAGGCGCATACTGTGCTATAGCTACAGCCTCGATGCTGCACATGCTGACGGAGGAGTTGACGGATGGCCTCGCCGAATACGTGGCATCTTGCCAAGGGTATGATGGTGGAATTGCAGGCGAGCGAGGGCTTGAATCTCATGGCGGCTACACCTACTGCGGTACGCTGATGGTGACTGCGTCTAGCGGCTGCAGTATTTTCAGCTTCGCTGCTCTGTGTGCAGCCATCCTTGTCGACGCATCTTCTCTGCTGCCTCCCTTCTCTCGGCGCATAGTGTCTACTCGCTGAGACGGCAGCGCCAGCGACTGTTCCTGCTCCTGCTATTCCAACTGTTCCTCTTCTTGCTGTTCCTGCTGCTCCTACTGTTCCTACTACTGCTCCTACTGCTCCTGTTCTTGCTATTCCCACTATTCCTACTGCTCCTGCTGTTCCTACTGCTCCTGTTCCTGTTGTTCCTGTTGTTCCTGTTCCTACTGCTCCTTTTCCGACTTTTCCTGCTGCTCCTGTTCCTACTGCTCCTACTGTTCCTACTGCTCCTACTGCTGCTCCTGTTCCTACTGCTCCTGCTGTTCCTACTGTTCCCGCTCCTGCTGTTCCTACTTTTCCTGCTGTTCCTGTTCTTCCTCTTCCTGTTCCTACTGCTCCTGCTGTTCCTACTTTTCTTGCTGCTCCTGTTCCTGTTGTTCCTGTTCCTACTGCTCCTACTGCTTCTTTTCCTACTGTTCCTACTGCTTCTTTTCCTACTGTTCCTACTGCTGCTCCTACTGTTCCTGTTCCTACTGTTCCTGTTCCCACTGTTCCTATTCTTCCTCTTCCTGCTCCTACTGTTCCTGTTCCCACTGTTCCTACTGCTCCTACTGCTTCTTTTTCTACTGCTCCTACTGCTCCTACTGTTCCTACTGCTCCTACTGCTGCTCCTGTTCCTACTGCTCCTACTGTTCCTGTTCTTGCTGTTCCCGCTATTCCTACTGCTCCTGCTGTTCCTACTTTTCCTGCTGCTCCTGTTCCTGTTGTTCCTGTTCCTACTGCTCCTACTGCTTTTTTTCCTACTGTTCCTACTGCTGTTCCTACTGTTCCTACTGCTGCTCCTACTGTTCCTGTTTCTACTGTTCCCGCTCCTGCTGTTCCTGTTCTTGCTGTTCCCACTATTCCTACTGCTCCTGCTGTTCCTACTTTTCCTGCTGCTCCTGTTCCTGTTGTCCCTGTTCCTACTGCTCCTACTGCTTTTTTCCCTACTGTTCCTACTGCTGTTCCTACTGTTCCTACTGCTGCTCCTACTGTTCCTGTTCCCACTGCTCCTGCTGCTCCTACTGTTCCTGTTGTTCCTATTCTTCCTCTTCCTGTTCCTGCTGTTCCTACTGTTCCTACTGCTCCTGCTGTTCCTGTTCTTGCTGCTCCTACTGTTCCAGTTCTTGCTGTTCCCGCTTTTCCTACTGTTCCCACTTTTCCTACTGTTCCTGCTCTTCCTACTGTTCCTGCTCTTCCTACTGTTCCTGTTGCTGCTGTTCCTCTTCTTCCTCTTCCTGTTCCCACTGTTCCTACTGCTCCTACTGTTCCTGCTGTTCCTCTTCTTCCTCTTCCTGTTCCTACTGTTCCTACTGCTGCTCCTGCTGCTGGCGCGAGAAGGAGTGGCTTCCTGTGCGCCGCGCCTGCTCAAGCTCGTTGGAGTGTGTGGAGTAAGGGTCGTCCTCGGAGCATTCGCTGTGAATGAGGATGCCTCGGGAAGAGCCGTTTCTGCGGGCACATCTCTCTAGATTGCGCTGTTTCTTGCCACCCATCGTCTTGTTTTAGCTTCTGCTCCTCCCTCAGGCTTGGCGGCCCTGTGTATCACAGGCCAGGCGGGAGCTCTTGATTTGGAGAGTCTGTTGCATTGGGCAGCCTGTAAACAGCTGGGATTCGAGGGCGGCTTTCAGGGACGTACAGCGAAGCTGGTGGACTCGTGTTACTCTTTCTGGCTGGTGAGGAGGTTCACGGGCAGGACGGCATGCAGATGCTTCCTGGGTTGTGACTGTTGAGGCACTTTGCGTGGCTGTTCCGTGGGAACGAGGGGATGCTGCTGCGGGGAGGAGCGAGTGCTGCGAGGGAAGGCTGAGGCGGTAGACACAAATACACCAGAAATTGTGCAGAGCAGCGGGTGATGGCTTGCTCTCGCACGGGAGGCGTAAGTTTGCGATAATTTCCTTTGAAATGCGGCTTCTTCCGAGGACTCAGTTTCCTGTGCCTCTGTCTGCTGCGCGTCAAACATAAGGCCTGCCTTGTGTTCGAGTGGGTTCCGGTGTACTTACGCATGCGAGACTGCCCGTGCGAGCGTCGTGTGGCTCCTCTCTCCAGGGGGCTGTATTTCCGCTGGTGGCAGAGGCCTTGCGGCAGCTGCGGCGGGATTACCCAGTCACACACTGCTGGATGTCATCGCAGCATCTACAGCAGTATATTCTCTGTTGCTGTCAAGCACCGAAGGGCGGCATAGAAGACAAACCTGGCAAGTAGGGGCCCTTCCTTCCGCGCTGCCTGACTGCACACCCTGCACCGCCAACTGTTACCTCGTTTCGGGAAGACTGCATGCACGCCTCCCCTCTTCTGCAAAGGCAGAAGAGGGTTGCAGCCATGCGGCAGGACGCTTCATAATTTTGGACCCCAATCTACATACATTTGCATATGCACACATGCATGCACCCATATACATACGCATATATATACATGAATGCACATATACACAGATATACATGCATATACATATTTATTTAGCTGCATTATAACGTATCCAAGTCGTGTATTAGAGCACATACTACGCGATATTTTCAAGCCTTCATAGACGGCGTAAATACTCCCATTTGTGCGTGGTGTATGTACGCTTACGCTCATACTCATGTGTGAACGTTGCTACACGTATGCGGGGCACCCCAAGGAAATTCTTTTTACGGGAGGGTTGCATTAGTTCTTGATTTTGCAATGGACGTGTTGTGATGGTTTTCCTCCTGCGGTGCGTGCCTGTGCAGAGGGGCCGATCTCTACCACACGTGTTACGCCCTCTCAGGTATGTCCATCGCGCAACATGCGGCCGCTCAGGGGGAGTTCGGAAAGCCGCCTTTTGTGTTTGGACGGCGCGCTTCCAACCTGCTAGAAAGCACTTGCCCCTTTTACAATGTCTGTAGCAAAAACGTGGAAGCAAGTCGGGCTTACCTGCTCAAAATATCGCCGTTCGAAGCTCCGGAGAGCAAGCAACGAGGCCACGAGGGTAGAGGCCCCACCCTGCATGCTGCCTGGGTTGCAAAGTTTCCGCGATTTTCGCCAGCTGGCGACGATGGGGAGGGTAAGGAATGCCTTTTTCTGAACTGTGGCGGACTGCTTGTGCTCCCCGTGCTCTTCCTCTGTCTCTCTCTCGCTGCGTGGTGTGGCGGTTCACGCCTTAGGCCTTGCATTCTCTGCGTCTGTGCATTTGCATTCGAACGTGTGGCTTGCGGGGTGCACGTGAAGTAAGGCCCCTTTTCTTTCGCCTGCGTGGCTTTTTGCGCACTGCAGGGGCGGAGTGGGCCGATCCCGAGAGCGAAGCGGAATCGATGTGACGCACAGCCACCTGGAGTCGACAGATATTATTCGCGCGAATCTGGAAAATGGCGGCTGGAAGGGCGACGCGAGAGGAGAGGGGAGCTGGTGGTGGTGTATTGAGGATCAGGGCCCTTTGGAGGTTGCATGCGTGCTTTCCCTTGCGCATTTTGTGACAAAACATCATGAGGCGGGCGCGCTCCCCCTTGCCTCCCCAGTTACGTAGTTCCTCAACGAGACGCTCTCGGAGGCATGCAAGCCTTCGGATCATCGCCCTGCTTGCACCGGGGCAGGCTGCTTTTTCTGGGGACCTACAGTCTGCTGACAAGACGCATTTTGAATGCTGAGAGCTGCCGCATCGCTGCCTCCAGGATGGAGGCGTGCGAAAATGTGCTGGATGCTTTCCCGCCCTGGTTTCCCCCCTGAAGGGCTTCCTCTGTGAATTCCGACTCGCATCGCAGTACAGACAGCCGACCTAGCGGCTGGCTATCCCCGCATCTGCGTCTCGCGCACAAGAAGAGTGGCGGCGAGGGGGAAGAGTGCCCTAAGACGTCATCTAATCCTCACGGCTCTGCCGATGGCATTGCCCCCGTCCTTTAGTTGGATGGCTAGCCAAACCGCCGCCTTCGCGGGCGATTACACGCGTTGCAGGCAATAACGCTGTTGACGTGATAGCATGCATCGCCCGTTTTTTGGGGCTTTTATAAGTTTGGGGGTTCGCGCTGCTCGGGAGAAGGTCTGTAGCCTGTTCCACACAGAGGAAGGGCCCTGTGTGTATTGATAGATTCCAATCGGAGTAGTAGCAAAACGCCCCAAGATTTGCCTGCATGCAGGCGAACAAGCGTAGGGATACTATTTGGGGAGTGCGGTGCGGCCTTAGCCTCCTGCAGCTGCATCTGTGACGAGCTCATGCTGATGCCACCGCAGCCGCTCGGATGTCTGTACACCCTTCGGCCCGCATGCAAGTGGCCGTCGCCTCGCTCCGAGAAATCGCCTTCTTGCACTGCGCCCCTGCGCAACTGGCTTCGCCGTGCAAAAACTGCCCCTCAAATGCGAACTCGGGATTTATATGGGGATTTTAAAGGGTGGCAAAACCAACCCCACGGGTTTGCCGCGATGACGAATGATTTTTTCCAACACATACAGAGCACATTCGCCAGGTGGATGGGGTATCGGCCAGTCTTAACGAGGAGTGCGCCGTAGGGAACGACGGAGCGCCGGGAAGCCAGCCGAGGCAGGAAGGTGAGCAGTCAGTGGCGAGTGTGTTGCATTGTGGAGGAGGACTGGCAACGGACTGGGATTTGTGCGGCCCTAGTTGTCACATGCAGCCCTTCGACAGTCACTTCCTTAAGGCATAGACATCATGGGGGGCCAGAGCAGAGAGCCTCTCTGGCGGAGCAAAGTCGAGCTGAGCCAAAATGACGTCCGAAATCGCGGCTATTGCAAATCTGTGGTTGCAGACTAACAGTTCAAAGCCTCCCTCGCGAAGGAGTTCCACGTGTTGTCAAACGCGTGCTCCTTTGATTCAGCGTATTTAGGCTAGTCCGCATCCACATAGCGAAAACTGAGTGCAGTGACGCTAGCCCTTGGCAGCTCTCCGCTGTGGAGCGCCGCTTTCTGTGTCTAATGGGAGTATAAACTAGGAATAACTCTCTCTTGCCACGTCGCTGTCTCGCGCTGTCCCTCCGTCTCCTGCCCCTTCTCCCATCCTTATTGTTCAGCGGACGCCGCTCTGTTTGCAATGAACTCTTTACGGAAATTTGCTCTGCAGCTTCCCGCCTGTGTGTGCTTTCGATGCTCTCCATCGCCCTCACTACCGCAGCCACCCCTGCCTGCCTGTCTGTCTGAGTCTCGCGCTATTATCTGTTCCGTCGCACCCCCCTCCCCTTTCCGACTTCGCATTTAGAGTACCGCTACTGGCGCTTTCTGCCGCTACGCAACCGCTCGTGGTGGGCAGGGAAGCCTCCACTTCCGGAGAAATCCGCCACTGGCAAACAGCAACCAACAGCCTTCGTCTCGCGAACGATGTGGCAGCGGGGCACGGCGACCCTTTACGCCACCCACACCCTTAGAAGAAGACTGCACTGCGAAATAAAAAACACCCCTTAACACGAAGCCAGCGAGCAGCAACGACCTCGAATTTCAAAGTTCCGACCCCCACAAGCCCCTAATGGTTGCAACTGCTGCCCCTTGCAGCAGCTGCCCGACCGCACATCAAAAAGTGCAGGAGCGCTTCGCGGCTCTGCAGCAAAGGCTTTGAGTGCGTTAAAATTGCACATCCAGCTCATAGAGAACGCCTCTCCAGGATGTCAGGGCCATGTTCTTCGTATTCTTGCTTGCTAATCCACAGCTCTTGAAACGTTCCCAACGAGGCGAGGATGGAACCTCCCAGCCAGGCAGCCGAACGCCGTTCCGTGTGGTTGTTTGGGCACACAACTCTCGCCTTGAGTCCAGAGTGACTGTTGCACGGAGCAAAGGCATCACTGTGCAACTCCGCGGAGAACCGTTCCGCCAGGCCTGCGGTAAACAAGCATCCCGGAGGAGCCAACAGCACTTCCCTGACGCGGCTGAAGAAGACGCTGGAGTCTTCAACGAATCCACGCTCGAGCTCTTTCAGATCCACCACAACGTATGGACATGCCCCAACCCCCCAACCCCACCGCCACGCACACACACACGTATTCTCAACAAGCCACAAAACGCCTTCTTTCCCCCTCTCGCCATCCTCCTTTCCCAGTGCTACCCTGTCTCTTTTTTTCCGCCACAGACTGCCTGCCTGGCATCCTCCTCTTCGTGCCCTCCCCCCTCTACTCTTGACACCCCACCAAGGGCTGCACACTCTAAACACAGTACCTGTGTAAATACATTCACGCGTTTATATATTTTCAAATACATGTTGAGCCTTATTGGCAGAACCACCTGCTTATACTCAATGCGTGCGCGGCCGAAAGGGGCACGAGCGAACAGAAAAGCAAACAAGGCATGCATTGCGTCGGCAAAAACCCTGTCATAAAGCTATTGACACGATATCTCGATAATAGAACACTAAGGCGCGTCCACAGTCTTGCAAAAGCTCCCTAGTTTCCCGACAAAACACCCACAGCGGCAGTTCAACTTGTAGAGCCACAGAGCGGCACGCAGGCAAGCAGTCCACAAGGATTTACTCAACAAGAAAGACTGTCTTACCCGGCATCAGCGCGAGGCCTCCCGTAAGAATTACAGCTGAGAGAAGCTCTCTCCGGAGGTCTACGTCGCTGCTGTACACGCAGTCTGCGACAGCCTGAGAGAGAGAGAGGGAAAAACACCACACGCAGACACAAAGGACTTCCGTCTAATCTCGCCACCACCCCCTTCTCACCCGTTTGCCGAAAAAGCCTTCTGTTATGTCGCAAGGGCATATGCCCTTGCGACATACATATGTACATATATGCATGCATGCATGCATGCATGCATGAAGGCACGAGGCCTACAGACAAAACGTGACACAAAAAACACGCGGCTGCAGCAGGGGCCACAGAAGCGCGCGCCTAGGAATATATATATATATATATATATATATATATATATATATATATATATATATATACATATGCATGTATGTATACGCCTCATCTGCGTGAAACCAACACGCAGTTTTGGCATTCAAGGCCTAATGAGCGATTGGCTGGTTCCCCATACGGCGAACTGAAGCGTCATGTCGCGAGTGCTCACATTGGGCAGTCCGGTGAAGCCTTGCAGCAGCTGCGTGGGGTCTGTGCGGAGGGAGGGAGGCTGCATTTGCTGCAGCGCTTCGAGGGCAGTAGTCGGGTTGAAAAGAAGTTCGCCGATAGTTTCTTTAAGGCCGCTGCAGTCAATAGGCGTGCCGTCTGGGAGCTCAAAGGGGGGGACTGGCGTGGGAGGGGGTTCAGCGCTGCTCTTCGTCTTGGCTCCCCCTGTCGCTGGCGAGAGGGCACACGCCGATTCTGCAAAATTACGAACCACGCACTGGGCTTCCCTCAAATGCCTGCTTAGCTCCTGCGAGCTGCGCTGCAGCAGCGAGGCGCTGCAGGCGCTGCTGCTGCTGCTTGCGCACGAGAAGAGAGGCAGCAGCAGCTCTGCCTCCTGCTGAGGAGCACTGCCGTCCTGCTGCCTCCGCTGCTGCCGCAGCTCCTCGCGCTGCTGCAGCAGCACGAGTTCTATTTGCCGGTCCATGAAGTTTCCGCCGACCAGAAACGCCTTTGCGTTTCTGCGGAGTGTATAGCCATCAGAGACGGCAGCCACAGACCCCCCAGGAGCACCCAGTTCGACGACCAGCGCGCTGCTTCGTCCCATGGCGAATGCAGCAGCCGCCGCTGCGGAGGCAAAAAAGGCAGCAGGAGCTTGAAGATCCTCGAATACTGCAGCCGCGAAGGCGCGCCGCAGGGAAGGAGGAGACACTGTGGGCTCAACGACCAACAGCGGATGCTCGTGTGTCCATACACCCAGACCTCCGAAGGGCGAGCAGCCAAAGGCCTCTAAAAGGGGACTGCTGCTGCTGCTGCTGCTGCTTCCTGAGCTGCTGTGGCTGCTGCCGAGGCTTCCTGCCCTTGCCTCGTCCAAGAGTGCCCCTTGCTCTTCCGAGCAGCTCATTTTGCCGTTGCAGCTTGCTTTAGTCCCAGGCTGCACGAGCTCCCGCTTCAAACAGCAGCACTTGCAACTGAAGCACTCCTGGATCGCTTCCCCAGGAAGCTGCTGCTGCTGCTGCTGCTGCTGCTGCTGCTGCTGCTGCTGCTGCTGCTTTGGTGGTCGTACTGTGCGTCGCTGCACTTCCTCCTCAGAGACGCGGCCTTCTATGCAGACTCGAACTGCAGCAGAAAAGGCCTCCCTATCCAGCTCCCAGCCTTGCCGCTGCTTTTTCTCGGGAGACGGCTGCTGCTTGCCGTCTTCTGCGCCATTCTCTGCTGGAGCTGCTAAAGCGGAGGCTGGAATCGAAAGAATGGAAGAGACCTCCGTGTGCGGCACAGGCACCCCGAGATTCACGGGAAAAAGGATGTCATCGTGGCAGCAGCTACACTTGCAACAGCGCCTGCCCTCAGGCGCCCACACGAAAGGGCCTCTGCCGTAAAACACCGACGGGGAAACGCCGCTACTCCTCTGCCATTGCTTCTGTGGAGGGTGAAAACGCTGTTGCGGCTCCTCGCCGCGACTGCTCTTGCCGCTGGGAGCGGCGGAAGCGCCAGCGACATCTGGGGGAGCAGACACTGCAAGGTGGCTTTCACAGCAGCAGCAAGTGCCGCAAAAAGTAGCTCCTCCTTGCTTCTGCGGTTGCAAGCGCAGCTGCCTTCTGCCGACAAGCGCTGCCGCTTCAATGCGCGGATGGTCTTCCTGGGCATAGCCTACGCGGAGGCTCGAAGCGCCTACCTGAACCACCAACGCGCAAACATCTTCCCCCCCGATCGGAGTCTTCATGACGCTGTTGCTAGGGGGCCTGCCCTTGCCGCCTGCAGCGGGGGAAGGCGACGCTGACGCGCCGCTCATCGGGGGCATCGCGAAGGATGACACACGAGATTTGACGACTTCGGAGGGAAAGCAATTCGAAATCCAAAGCTCGCAGGGGCCCAGCGAACTATCGAGGCGCGCCTCGGGGGACGGCGCCGCGGAAAAAGCTGTGTTCAGAAACACCCACTCAACAGGGCGAACGCCCTTCGGGATGAAGTAGATTGGGTATGGGTGTCGTTAGTTTCCGAGTAGTCCTGACAACGGACACCTGAGGCACAGACGCGCTTGAAGACACCCGTCTCTCGGGGTGCAATTCGCTCGGCGCAGCACAGCTGTAGCAAATCCGTCAAGGTGCCGCGCGCCTCGTTCAGATCTGAGGAACTCGAGCACTCGAGAGTTCAGTTCGATCCGTCCAAGACGGAATGTTGGCATGAGGCAAAAAGAGTCATGTGTAGAAAGAAATACATGAATTATGCAGCAAATTCCCCTTGGACACATGCCATACTATCGACCATGCAATCTCAGCCCCAGACGATACGGTGTACGCATGCAGACACGTCGTCATAGTATTCGATCAAAAAATCACTCTTCACATTCAACGCTGCTCGATTTGTGCGTTTTCTACTTTATTATGTGTTAGCCAGCTGCATACAGCTCTCCTAGGGGGTTGCAGAATTGCCGTACTGGGCTGTTCTAATCCTTCTGGAAGTAGCACGCCTGTAAACATAGCAGACAGACTTCTTCTGCTCATATATAATGAATGGCCTGCGTATAGTCCCACCGTAAATTAGATACCACTTTATGGCGCTTTGTGAGTGTCATGCTCTTGAAGTTCTTACTCACTTTGGCCTTTCTGTGCTTCCCCATGAAGTGGACCAGGCTATGCTGGACTTCGACACTCTAGAACCAGTTACAATAGATTGAGAATTTATTTAAAAATGGCTAGTCGGTTTGTCTATCCACATATCTATTTTTCCGAGCACCCTTAGCTCAATGCAAGACGCAGTGTGTGCATGGCCATTGTATGCTACGTGCAACTAGCTGTGAGTACTCCGAGTACTTGAAGGGGGAAGCTACGCGCACCCTAGCTGTCCCTTTTCCCCCATGTCAGAACTCTGAGGGGTTTGGGGAGGGTAAGGAGAAAGCGCTTCTGGGATACACTTATTAACTTGAGTTTGTGCTGAGGCTGGAGTCAAGTCTCCTTAAGAAGACCCGATGTAGAGTTACAGTATGGGGCCAGCTGCTAATTTGCTTTCAGTTTGGTGAAAGTGCTGCTATACTTTACGTTTTGGGGCAAAATTAATCTTTCCAGCCATTCCACCGAGCCGCCATTCACTTGCAACCCACGTGAGCTCGTCTCCGCGTTTTGTATTAAGCATTGTTTCGAATGCTCCGTTTAGTGCAGCCTTCAGGCGCCTTTCACAGAAGCAGCGGGAAATTTTGAGGACGCGCTCGATCCTTTGCTTGATGGGCATTGCAGCATGTTTATGTACGCACCGAATCGCTGCAGTGTGTAGCTGTTGCTTCCAAGAGCCCAGTCTAACTCCGGCCCCAGACCAGCAGGTTGTCACTGCATTACATTGTACGCCTAATATGGAGATGCCTGGTAGTGAGTTACTCTGTATCTACGCTTTAGGGTGAAGTACGACATACCGAAAAACCCTAAAGTGTCGTCATTTCGCTCCAAAACCCCGAGGCGCTTAGAAAGTCGAGCCAAGCACGCGAAAACCTGGTGGCATTTTGCAGCTTGTGATAAGGCAGCAGTAAGCCTGTGAGCAAGGTACACAACGTGGAGAAGGACGGATGATCTAACACGGACAAGAAGAAGCATTGAACGACTGGTGAAGTTTCGCGTTTGTTGAAGGCAATATCCTGCTGAAAGATTCGTTGAAGGAGGACAAAAATGCGGGTTTTAGAGCACCACGAGGCCTTTAGGGAGAGCCACGCCTCTGGGAATGGCTTCACGGCACTCTTATCCATCAGCCGTCCCTAGTAGCTTGCATCTGCAGTGTGTTGCCGTAAAGAACGGCGAGTCAAGATGTGTTCTAGTTCAACTGGGTCTCCTTACCATTTCTTGCACCATGCGAAATACCTATGTGCCTTCTGTTGGGTATACGAAGGGTGGAGGAGGCGTGATTTAAGGGAAGTGCCACATTCCACCGCTCTGTCCACTTTCTTAGGGCCTTTGGACTGCACCACTTTGATTAACACCGGCATTAATTCAACAACTCTGTTTGAGGAATTCTTGGTTTTCCAGTGCACCGTTAAATCTTATAGCTCAGAGTAGGTGCGCTTTGTTGATGCAGGTGATTTAATGGCAGAAATGCACACATACACCGGCAGCAGCCTTCTACCGTGGGGCGTTCGATAGACCACCTGATAGAAAGTTGTTATTGTGTCGATATAGGCATTTGCTTATACCTAAATTTTGAAGCAAGGAGCCCCATATATCAATCAAATAATTGGGAAAGTGCTCTTCAGAGCAAGATCAGTTCCCCCATGGAATACCTGCTTTGTTGCTCGACCACGTTACCATGGAGGGTGACTGGGTTCCGACTGGCAGCTACGAGTGACTCAGCAAAAGTGGCAGTAGGCGATGGCAAAACGGGAGCAGCATCCATTCTTCGGCATCGCTCATGGTGCTGAAATAGAATTAAACGAAAAGGAGTGCCTTTTTCTGACGCCTAGTCAGTTTCTTACTGGACAAGCTTCAGCAATAAGGCCTCAGCCCTTTTTGACGTCGAAGGGTTTGTGAAAGACAGCGTTCCTTTTCGTTAACGACTGAAATAGTTTGAAGCTTCAGGACTATTTAGAAGACGGACAATTATTTCATTTTCGCTTTGCTGGGTGAATACGAGAAAACAGAAGAAGGCAGGCAAATTTTCGCTACTCCGTTGCAGCAAGCCCCAGGGATTGCCAGGCAAGCCTACGTTCGTCCCAAATATAGTCTTAGGGTACTGCGAACAAGCTCAAGGGACTACCCTGCTGGAGTCACACTACTCACTACAGTTCCCAAGCGGAGCATAGTGTATGCTGTTACTGCGTGAAGCGTGCTTAGCCAGCGGAAACTGTGCTGAAGTACTTGGGAAGGGGCTTGCTTTGTCTCTTCTCGGCGCATTCCCTTCGCCGATCAGGTGTCTCCCTCCTTAGAGAATGGCACTTGAAGACACAAGAGATCGCGGACTGCAACAACATACTGCAAGGCAGGATGCCGTGAGACTGGAGCGGTTCCTAAAGGAAAGCAAATGCGCCGCCGAATGGGAGAAAAACTGGGGTTTCTTACTTGAAATGTACCCCTATAATGACACACGTAAATATCAACTAATGATCAACAATGTGGAAGTAGTATATGTGCCCTGACTACAGATACACTAAGGAGCTCCTGGGAAGCTCATAGTTACAGCTTTGGCCATTATCGGTCCTAACCACTTCTCATGAAAGACTCAACAGGCGCTCTGCAATCTATTAAGCTGTAAAGAAGCCTACAGCTCCCCAGAGACTATCTAAGCTTTGAATGAACAAGTCGATGCTCAGTGACAATCGCTGACACTCCAAAGGTCGCGCACGACATCTACATGCGAGCCCTAGAGCCAAATCCCCTTGCTTTTTTCTTACAGAATCTGCGAACGATAAGCCTTCGACAGCCCACAAGAAGCCACACAATTTTCTTCTTCACCAGTGCTGCCTCCAGGCAAGCCCCCACTAGTAACGGGGCCTATCCCACTGGGCTGTCTGCCTAGCGCATCCAAATGAAAAGCGGTCACCATGACGTCAGTTTTATTGATCGTGCTTTGCAGAATGCAATGAAAAGTGAATTGAAATTCCAAGAAGAGAAGTACCCGGGAGGAATTCATGAGTGGCTTGCAAGGCTTTCGGCAAAGTGCCCAAATGAGAAGTACAGAGCCCCCCTCACCTCTTCACAAGAAATAGGATGGAAGTAAACGCGCCCTATACCCTATAAAATAAGCATGCCTTGTGGCAAAGTGGCAAACTGAGGCATTCGAATATCCCACTTAGTCTGCTTTCCACACGCATATATGTGTGCGAGCCCAGTCTTAGACCCCCGAGCAGAGCAGTAACAGGTAGAACTCTTGTGACGTGCTTTGCAGTTCGACAAGCCTTGATTCCTGTAACTAGCGGCGGCGGTACATCCAGACATCGCTGCAAAGAGAGCTGAGGGGCCAAAGGCCTCCAGAGGCCTCACTAGCGTGGGAACTTGGTTGGAGTGTTACCAACCCACAGCGCAAATTAACCAGTGCCTCTAGGCGGTAGTCTGTAGACCGAATATCCCTTCCCAGTACGCTATGAAAAAGGGGGCATCTGCTCACTTTTCAAAGCAACCAATAAATTTGGGGTGCATAATGTACATACTTTCTACGACCTGTTGTTAGGGGTTTCCCCAGCAGCAAACCCAACTATGGCAGACCGCAGGTTTTCTATGACCCCCTAAGTCCTAGAAGCAGGGTCAGTGCAAAATATCGGAAGCTAAATAATGTCGAGCATTGTGTAAACTTATGTCACACTTGGCCTTAAGACACTGTGACGCCTATCCTCCTACCACCTCCTTGCAAACGCTGTGTGTATGTAGGGCCACGTTTAGCAGCAGCTGCTGCTGCTAAACTTTTGCTCATGCGTAACTCCTTGCTCAGGAAGAGCTGGTGCTTCTGCTGCAGCACAGGTAGCAAAGCTAGCCGTGCGACTGTACGATGCCGTCCGGAACCGTGTGCTGGTGGGCAAGCATCGAGTGGTGGTGAAGGTGTTGCTGCTGCTGATCTCCCACCGCAAGAGTGTCAGAAACTGGCACTGGGTGCAGAGGCTCTTCCTGCGGCTGCTGCGGCAGGTCCAGGAGCACTTCTGCTGCCTCTGTGCTGGAGATTTCTCGGACTCTCGAAGCCCGTTGAACCTGCTGCACAAGCACGAATTTGCTTCCACAAGCCAGAAGCTCTTGCCTGCGCACACCACACGGGCGCACCGAAAGGCCCCAGTGTCCTCAATGTTCAAGCGCAGAGCCCCCAGATTCACACTCAGCTCTTGATTCCATGAGCCAGGAAGCCACAACAGGCTTCCAGCGAGGTGTATGTACACCCGAGAAAAGCTGCACGACTTGGCTCGGGAGGGCGGATCAGGGCTCTATACCTGAAGGTGGTCAGAATAATTTGACAGCCAAGCGTTTCGGTAGAGTTCTTGAGTGCAGCTGCCAGCAGTCGGCGGTGTGTCTCATCGAGAGCGCTGTCTGCTTCATCCACCAAGAGCAGCCCTCCCCAGCCTCCGCCTTGCCTGCTTGCGGCACGTTGCTGCGCCAGAAGAAGCGCTAAAGCAACCAGCGCTTTCTGCCCGCCTGCGAAAATCATGCCAATCGGTGACTTGCGGCTATTGACTCTGCCACGACTTTCAAAATGCGCATGCCACGCTGAAGCAGTTGGCACGGAGCACGAGCGCTCGAGCAAGCGCAGAAGAAACGGCAAACCACGGGAGCCGCATTCGTTGCGCAAACAAGCCACTAGTTTCGACTTTCATAGCAGATATGCAGCCCTCCAACGCCAGAGGAGGCAGCAGCAAGCCACAAGGGCAGCATCTGCCAAAGCAGCACACGCAGTCGCAGCAGCCTCCCGTCTGACCAGAAAGGCGGTGCATGGAGAGCTTGTCTGTGGCAACCCCAGAAGCCGCAAAATTAACGCGAACGTCGATTCCCGCCAGCTCGGGAGCCTCGTCACATGAAATGGAGACATCTTCCACTAGCTCCTGCAGCAAAAGGGTAATCGACAGCAGCCTTCGCACAAGTCTAGCGGAGGAAGCAGGCCCTGCAGCTCCTCCAGCAACGAAAGGAGCATGTGGCAGCTCTGCGGGAAGCAGGAAGCGCTGCATGCGTGAAAAAAAGCCGCAACAACAGCAAGATATCCCTGCGCTCCGAGAGCCTAGATGCAACTTCAAAAACACGAAGCCTGAAAGCTCTAGGCTCACGAGTTTTGCGTGGCCTCCGGGAACGAGCTGCGAGAAGAGGGTTGTGAACTCGGCATCTACGCGCCGTATGAGCTGTTGAATCAACTGCTGGCGTCGCCGCTTGAGCTGGAGCAGCTGCTGCTGCACAAACTGGAAAGTCTCCTCTTGCAGCGCTTCGCGCCGTTTCAAGGACTCAAAGTCATCTGCAGCAGCACCGCACAGAGCCTCACCATCGGCAATCCTGGCAGCAGATGCCAGCAACAGCAGAAACGACGAAAGATAGACTCGCAAATCCAGGGGCCAAAAACGGCGGGGGAACAGCAGCGAACCTCTGATCGTAGCGAGCTCCGCAACAGCTTTCCTGTTGACTTGAGAATAATCCGCCAGACGCTGCAAACACAAAAACACTTTTTATGCTTTCTTCCCCTTACGCTTTGTACACATACATGCATGTATATCTATATATATATATATATATATATATATATATATATATATGCTTGTGGGTGTATGTTTAGATATACATACATGTATATATATATGCATATATATATATGTATATATGTATATGCATATATATACATATGTATGTATGCATGTGAAAGTGTGGGTGTGGAGTGTCTTTCGCGACTCTTTGCGGAGCCTGTGGAAGTCTCTGTATGTGCCCATGCTTCATCCACTGCGGTTACTTTCCCCTTGCTTCCATGTCTCTCTGCCCGTCAGTCAGTCGAGAGAGCCAGGTCCTTACTCGTTTGAGTTCATGGAGCCTTTTGGTGAGCGCCTCACGACATGCGCTTTCCACAGGGGAAACTCCGGCAGTAGATACTCGTGAGCCAGAAGCGGCAGCTGCAGCGGCGGCTGCCACGAGAGTTGCTGCGTTTTCCTGAAGTCGCCTACGAATTAGAAAAGCATCCACCACGAATTTCAATGCAATTGACACCGCAGAACGCACGACTGAGTTCGAGACAAGGCAAGAGAGCACGAGAGGCAGAGAGACAGCCACAGACAAACACATAGAGACAAACACAGACAAACACATACATAAACAAACACAGACAAACACATACATAAACAAACACAGACACAGACACAGAGAAACACATACACAGACATAGACAAACACATACACATACAAACACAGAGAAACACATACACAGACACAGACAAACACATACACGTACAGAGATAGAAAGAGAAAAACGCGATTTCCACCCATAGAGACGCCTCCACAAGGCAGCTACACTTAGAACAAGCCGCCACACCTGCGGAGGCCAAGGCTCCTGAAGGCGTCTGTGGAACGGGGTAGACATAAGGAGACAAAAATAGAGAAAACACCACAAATCGCCTTTCTGAGGCAAGAGTGGGCAGCCTACTTGGCATCATCTACTCCTTTCTGCGCTTGCTTTAGCATGCCTGTCTCAGCGACCAGTTGCTGCAGCGCTGACTGGAGAGAGGCCTCCGCAGCCTCCTGTTGTTTCCTCACCGACTCCATCTCCGTCTTTTTTCACGCAAACGCAGCCCACAATTCGCAAGCCGCATGTTTCCAGACTATGAGCCCTTGAGCAAGGCAACCTCTACGGAAAAACCTTCTAGCGACTTACTTCAAGAACTCGCATGCGGCTCTCCAGCTCGGCGGATTCATCTTCTTGCTGCGCAGGAGCATAAACATTCGCAGAAAGCAGCAGGCAGCGCAGGGGTGTGCGAGCCAGTAGTGGCGTCAAGAGCATCAATGCCACACGCATTCGACGTGGCGAAAGAAGACACCAAAACAGGTGCAACCCTCCCCCACAAAAAAACACCCTACTTGTTGTCTCCTCTTCGCGGCAGCACTGGCTTCGGCATCAGCACGCTCAGCAAAGCCTCCAGACGTCGCGCTTTTGCCCTCTGCTTGCGCTTCTCGTTCCATCTGCGAGCCGCATGTAACGCAGTCCTCCATCCCTACGCCTTATGTGTATGCCTATATATATATATATATATATATATATATATATATATATATATATATATATATATATATATATATATATAAGGCCCCACATCTCCCTAAGAACGCGCTGTACGAGATATATATATATACATACATATGTATGTATCTATATATATACATATATATCGTACAGCACGTTCTTGCTTCAACTGACAACAAGGGGGACGCACACGATCAATGGCTCTAATCAGCGAGACTTCCACGTCTTCTTCGGCTTTGCTCAACGCTCCAGTAGTCTCTTCCACACGCTGCAGCAGCTGCAGCAGCAGCTGCTGCTGCTGCTGCACAAGCGTCGGCAGCTGCTGCAGCTGCTGCGTCTCTGCGGCGCTCAAAGGGGCTGCGCGCGCTTGCAGAGTCTCCTGCCGCAAACTGCAGCATAAACACAGTTGCATGTACCCACCCAGACCGACGTCGGATCGGATTTAACAACAAAGCACACAGAAAAATCGACGCGGCGAGACGCCACTGAGGCTCTCTCAAGTTGCAGCTTTGGATGAAGTGGTCTTCTTCTGCTCATGTACCTCTGCATGACTTGCTTGCGCATAGCAGTTCGCGATGCTGCAGCGGCTTCCTCTTCCTTGAGAGCAGATAAAAGAGACGCGGCTGCGCGGAGTGCCCTGAGAGGCCAAACATCACACAAGGAAAGAGCAGATTCAGACGGAGAGAGCCGTCATTGTAAGCCGAGCCGAGGGTTGCACAATCGGAGGAATATCGTCAAAGCATGCCCTAGGAGTCAGCACAAGGTTCCGCAGTCGTCTGCGCCTGTGTCTACCGACGGCAGGCAGCATCAAGAATTCTATGTGTGGTGCAAGCGTAGGAGTATTTGCAGCCGTTCGCAAACGGCACAAATGCGCGCGGCATGTATTCTTACATTTTCGCCTTTTGCTGCGTTGCCAGGGAAGCCTCGGCTCGAAGGTGAGCCTCCAGCTTCGCTTCTACGAGCAGTTGTTCGTCCTCAAGCAGGCATTTTTGCCGCTATTTGCAAAAGAGCAAGAACAAACACACACAGGACGCACGGCTGCTGGCGATGGCTGATGCGCGTGTTGCTGGTGTCTATGCCGTTGTTGCCGCTGCAGCAGCGGCGACTGTGTCGATGGCAGCCAGAGCTGTCCATGAGGCAATAAGAGCAGAGGGGCATACCGCTTGAAGCCTCTTGAGAGCTTGCTGCTGCTCTTGGATTTCCTCTTCGAGTCGGTAGTCAGCGGCTTCGCACTCCCTCAGCCTGGGGGATCGCAACAGCCAAAAGCACAGCATGCGTGGAAACACATAACACATGCATGCACACAAACGAGCAAACATACACACAGATATATATATACAGATGCTATCCCACACACAGCAGAAAGCCTGCACCCATACAGAGCGCGCTGTCTAAAGGTCCAATTTCAGTAGTCTCGCTTGCTTCCAGTGCATAGGTTCTCTCCCCATAAACACGGAGCTTCCTGCATTCACGCTACATGAGAGAAAGCGGAGGACTGCTGATCGCGTCTTGCTCTTTCGGCAAGGCGGCGCGTAGGCAGGAGGATTGAGCTTCGAGGCTGTCTACGCTTCTAGAAATTCAGCAAAGACATACTTATGAAATGCCGCGAGTTTTACGCCCCTCGCTGAACAGCCGCCACGCAAAGCTCCAGAAGCAAACGAAACATCTCCATCCAGCGTAACACACTCAAACCCTAAGTCGAAGCACCACAGCACATGGCCAAGGCAACAGGCCTTGTTGAAGCCGTCCTCTTTCTCTCTTGAATCTCTCATGTCGGCGTGCTGCGCTGTCTGTACGTGACTCCCTTGCGGCTTTGCGCATGCCACCACTCTACCATCCAGGGTTCTCTCTCTCGCAAGTGTACTGGCAGCCTCGCCACAAAAACATTCAGCCGCTATATATACATACACACACGTATATCCATATGGATGTATGGACGTATGCATGTATGTATGTCCATGTATGCATGCAACTATGTACGTATGTGCATGTATGTATGCAACTATGTATGTACATGTATGCAACTATGTATGTATGTATGTGCATGCATGCAACTATGTATGTTTGTATGTAACTATGTATGTATGTGCATGCAACTATGCATGTATGTATGTATATATGTATGTATGTGCATGTATGCAACTATGTATGTATGTATGTATATATGTATGTGCATGCATGCAACTATGTATGTATGTATGTGCATGCAACTATGTATGCATGTGTGTAGGTGGGGGGAACGTGTGTAACGTATAACGTACCCTGGTCGTTCCACTGTTTGACCTCTGGGGTGTCTAGGGAGGGCACAAGAAGCGCCCGTCCAAAAATTGACTGTATGAACACCTCCAAGGCAGCGGCATGGATTCCAGCGGCTTCTGGAAGGACGTGTATGCACTGAGAGTAGTCGTATTACACAGTGCATACATGAGATGCTACACATGAAATTCCCCTGTAAGCTCGTTGCAAAAGCGCACCAAACAGTTGTCTTCGGGGAGACAGCCCGCATGTGCAGGAGGCGGAAAGACAGAGAAGGCGCCTCTGCACAGGCTCGTGTAACAAAGCGGGCAGCAAAAGCAGCAAACGCAGCAAGAGCATTAAGAGCATCAAACGCAGCAAGAGCATCAAGAGCAGCAAAAGCAGCAAGAGCATCAAGAGCAGCAAACCTCTGTAAGCGGCATGGCAACGCCCTCCTCGAGCAGCTTGTGTGCTTGCTGCTTCAGCCGCTGCAGCCGTGAATCCGTTCTCTGCCTGGCTTGCTGCAGCTCGTGAACCTCCTTCAAGGGGACAAGCGAAACACAGCTTTTCCATGTTGGCAAACCGCTTTTCTGCTGCTGTTGATGTCGCTTTAGCCGGGTTACCACCTCCAAAGCTCGTGTCGCATCTTCCAAGACGAAGTAAAAGAGAGCAAATCCTCCAATGGATTCTACAGCCCGATGATACTCGGGAGCTACCTGCAGAGCAGCACCTCGTTCGAAACATGTCGAGCAAAAGCGGATCATGCAGCTCTCGCCGCGTCAGTTTCAAGCATGCAAAGCGAAAGTTTGCGACGTAAAGATGATTTATACACCCCCCCAGACGCTTCCTTTCCCCCCTTCTCCACGTCCTCAGTCTCACGGAAATAAAGTCGGCAAACAACCCCGCAATGCCATTCGCCTTATTCCAACCCTCTGCCTCTGCCATCTCGGAGAGAAATCGCAGACTTGATGCCAAATCGCCTCGCAGCGAGCGCCAAGCGGCATCTTGAACGAAACAAAATAGAATCCAAAAACAGACACACAGACACACACACACACACAACAAGATCCCCCTTTATGAGTGGCGTGGGTGGTAGTGGCAGTATAAGGAGGGGGGGAGGGCAAATGTAAGTGGTAGCAAGGGAGGGCCGGTGCTGTTGCTGCTGCTGCTGCACACTCGCAGTAGGGTGCAGCAGTGCATAAAATGTGTTTGCAGACTAGCTGCCAACCTTTTGCAGTCTGAAGATTTGCCGCTGCAGCAACGCGCTGCCGCAGCAGACCTGAGAGATGCGCCTGCTGCTGCCGCAGCTGCTCTACAACATCTTCAATCGGCTGCAGCATGCACAAGGTCAAATTGGAGCGCAAGACACAGAACTATAGGCATACTGCCACCAACCAACGCTACCAGTGCTGTATGTACAGCCGCAGCTTTGTATGAAGCAGCGGCAGGCGGATGAACCTTAGCCTCTGAGTTATGATGCAAATGACAGACGTGTGGACGGACTCCTCGGAGATTCGCAAGCTCATTGGAGACTTCCTTCACACGATCCATCGCAGCACTCGCTTCTGCTTCTGCCTCTGCCGCTGCCGCTTCTGATGCCAACATTTCACGTTTCAGCTCCTCTGCCTTAGGCCACGTATACATACATACAAACGCATGCATACACATACACGTACGTACACAGATGCATACAGACGTAGATAAATACATATAAATACATACACAGATGCATACATACATAGATACACACATATAAATACATACGAGTACATACGCAGATGCATACACACGTACATACACATACATACATACACCGATGCATACATACATACAAACACATACACACACACATACATACACATACACGTACATGCATATATACATATACATACACATATACACATACACACACATACATATGTACATATACATACATACACATACACGTACATACATATACACATATACCTACCTACCTACCTACATACATACATACAGAGACACATGCCCACTAGGGGCCCCCTTGCGCACGATACCCTCATCCCCAAGAGGCTATTTCGTGACGTTTGCTAAATTCCTCCAGGTGTGCCAACTGCTGTTTCCCAGGTAGGGCATTTTTTAATGTGCTGCACGTGGAAAGCCAGGAGCAACAATCTGAAGGCTGCATACAGAGGTTTTTGCAACCATGCGATCTTGCGTGCTGCTAACAATGCGAGTCGCTCCATGGTTGGGGGCAAACATACCCGCTTTCGAGTATGTTTTGACGCATCCGCTTCAGCGCGTTGCTGCTCCTCTGTTTCTCTGAGTTGCTGCTTGATAGCCGACATCCTTGCGGCTGCGGAGACTCCCGAGCGAGCAGCTCGTTGCTGCAGCTGGTGGAGCTGCTGTTGCAACTGCAGCACAGCCAGACACAGACAGCGACACCCCCACCTAGAGGCAGTCCATGTGGCGTCAGAAAAGGTGCGAAAGGCCACTTCTGCCGCTACTACGTCGCAGCCTTTAAGACGGCGCTTCAAGCCCCCGCCAGCACAGAAAGGCGGGCAGAAAGACAGCCAAAAAGCGCGGAGGGCAGTTTTCGCTGCTGCAAGAAGAAGCCTCTGACGTGCAAGAGAGAACAGCTAGTAGACACGAGGAGACAGACAAGCGACGCGCGTCGACGCCATGCATGCATGCATGCATGCGCGCATGCAGACAAACAAATAAACAGTCAAAGGTCTAAGCACGCTCGGAGGCGTCGTTTCTCGTTGTATGGGAGGCTGATCGAAGCACGCTCGTGCAGGCCATAGAGGGTAGGCAATTACGTACTTGCATATGTTCTTGTTGCGCGTTGCGGTAAGCGGAAACGGCTGCGGCATGCTGAGGGCGCAGTTTCTCTTGAATTTCCTTTTCTGCAGCAAAAAAAGCCCCAAAACGCATGCCAGACAGGTGGGCCCTGCGTGCTAAGGACGGCGCTGCCGCACTGAGGGGAACTTTTGGGGGGTTGCAAGGAGTCAAGCAAGTCTGTTCAGCAGCAGCGACAAGATCAGCAGCCTGTGCATGTGCTGCGTTGATCCGGTGTGCCGGCATTATACCAAGTCGGTGCACTTCGCGCTGCTTCTCCTCCAGAGCATGTCTTGTCTTTGCAGCCCTTGCCTCCTGAGCCGCGGCTTGTTCTGCAACAACTTCTGATTCCAGACGAAAGCGCGTCTCTTCGCCTTGTAGCTGCGGCAAGGCAGCAGCCAACTCCGGGGGGAAGAAGGCATGCAGATTTCTTTTTGCGTTGCTGCATGCATCCCCCCGCTACCCCTTCCCTCCCCCCTTGAGTTTCACATAGGCCGATTAGGCCTTGCCTGGGCGCCTCTGCCACGTGCCTCTCCCCCTCCTTGTCGTTACACTGTCCCCTCACTCACTTCTACTGCGGCATTATCGGCTTCGATGCGCTTCGCCGCATGCGCTGAATGCTGTGCAGACACTGCAGCACACCCCCAAAGCAAACCGCAGACGGCTATCTCTCGCGAATGGCGTAATCGCAATAACGGGGGAGGCGGGGAAAGCAGCGAAGAGAGGAAAGCCACGGTGTGGTAGCCACACAGCAAGTGCTAAGAAGGCACGCAAGTGTGTGTATATGAATGTGTGTACATGTATGTGTATATGTGTGTATATGAATGTGTGTACATGTATGTGTATATGTGCGTTAATGTATGTGTGTACATGTATGTGTATATGTGCGTTAATGTATGTGTGTATGTATATATGTATGTATGTGTGTGTGTATGTACGTGTATGTGTAATGTGTTTATGTATGTGTGTATATGTGTATGCGTGTATGTGGTGTGTATATGTGTGTTTATGCATGTTTGTGTAATGTGTGTATACGTATGTGTGTATATGGGTATATGTGTATGTATGTGTGCATGTATACATGTATGTATGTATGTATGTCTGTATGTGTGTGTCTCCAGCAGAAGCTTACAGTTGGCGAGTTGGGCAGCTGCTTCGTCCCTCGCTGCCTCAGCCTCAGCAGCTGCAGCAGCGAGACTCCGGACTGTGGCGCGATGTCTCTGCGGCAAAGACACGCCCACGCAGCACGTATCCCTCTTTCTTTGCAGCAGTTCAGCAGCAGAGGACTCTGCCAAAGGGCAACAGGACGGGAAAGCAACACCTGCAGCAACTCCAGCAGCAGCAACAACACCAGCAGCAGCAACAACACCAGCAGCAGCAACAACACCAGCAGCAGCAGCAGCTGCTGCAGCAGCACTAGACGAGCAATTGAGTGGAGGCGCCGCGTGCACAAGGCACACAGCAACACCTGCAGCAGCAGCAGCACATGACTTCCTCCCCACGCGTAAGGCGACCTCGCAGCAGCGACTGCCGTTGAGGGGACCTTTGCTTACAGCCTGCTGCTCCTCAGCCTTCCTGAGAGACTCCGCCGCGTCATTCCAGTCAGCCTCTGCGCATGGCACACCAGATATCCTTTTGACACCCGCGCTGCAAGTGCTGCTGCAGCTGCTGTCTGAGAATGACTGAGCAGGACGCCTCCACCTCTGGCGTACGCGCGTGTGGTTCTCGCATGATGTGTCTGCCACAGGGAAGGGGAGGGGAGGGGAGGGAGGCGAGACGAGGCTTTTACCATGAAGAGCAGCTTCAATTGCGGCCTTTTGCCGCTCGAGATCCAGACATGCCCGCAGCTCCTCTCGATCGGACTGACATTTCCAGCAGATGCGCAGCACAGCAACGGCAAAGCAGATGCTGTTCAGTGTCGCCTTGACGGCTTTCTTGCGCTTTTACGGGTGGCAGTGCCTCGCCCCCTAGGGCCAAGTTGATGATTGCAGCAGGGAGAAAAATAAAGCCCCAAGATAGCCTCAAGTGCATGTGGTGCGCAGAGTATGAAGCGCACGTCTGCACGGGTCGGGGTGAGCTGTCCATACACCCCAGGCTGCCTGTGCGAGAGCGACCTCGTAGCAGAGGCGATAAGGCAAGTTTCGGAATGCGCAAATTAGAAAAGGGAAGACGCGCTCTTACGTCCATGGCCTCAAGTTGGGTTTGAAGATCCTTAAGGCCTTTTTGCACTGCCTGTCGTTCTGTCGCTGAGCACGCATGCATGCAGCACGCCAAGCTGCTCGCTCGCAGTGTTGCTGCTGCGCCTGCCGGTGAATGCGTTTCTTCTAAAGCGTCCCCCGAACGAGCGGCAGCGGCAGCGGCAAGGAGGGCAGCAGCACCACCACTCAGCGGGGAACAAGAGAGAGCAGTAGTCGCAGCTGCAAGAAACGCAGCAGCAGTTTATACGAACCTGCTTGCTGCAACACCTGCTCCGTTTCGTTCGCCTTAGCCTCGAGAAAGGCCCCTGGTCCTGCGGAGAGAAGCAGTCGCAGCCTTCCTGCTGCAGAGAGCAACGCCACTTCTTGAATTCTTCCCTGACGAATGAGGAAGCTGCTGGTGCTGCCGCTGCGGCGAGACGAGCGCAGACTGCCCCTGCAAAGGCAATACACCCCGTCGCAGGAGGCCGATGCGGCAGCGGGAGGGGAGAGGGGGGAAGGATGCAGGGGTAGCAGCCTTGGCGCGCTCGTTCCCATGAAGGCTCGCAGGCAATGCCTCGCTGTACTTCAGCAGCAACCCCCTTTCGCAAACACACTCACACCCACACAAACCTACATCCACGATCTGCGGGAACAGCAGTGACGTGAAACTCACCCTGAGAGGCCAGCACACTCAATGAGCTGCTCCAACTCGCCCTTGCTGCGACACACAACCCCCAGCGTCCGCTCTCGCAAGTCTTGAAACGTTTGCAGCAAAGGGGAGAGCCAGTCGAGAGCGCACATACATACACTAGTATGTGCTTACACACACACATAAATACACAGATATAAATACGTACATACACTTGTACAAACATGCACTAGTATGTGCCTTCATACACATACACATACATACATATATGTACATATACATACGTATATACATATAGATATATACATACATACATATGGACACAGACTCACATACATGCATACACACATACATGCACACATACATACACTTCAGGCAGACAGAGGCCAGCCACCACACAAGGGCATGGTGGATATAATTTCGCGCTGTTACCTGACAGGCTTTCCCTGTACAGCGACATCATCGGAGTTTAGAGAAAAGGACCTTCGGATGACGACTTGGTCAGAATCCAACTGAGTCACAGACGCAAAGCCCCTCAATCCTTGCGCCTTGTGAACATTTGCTGCAGCCGCTTGTCTAGTGCGGGTGTTGCAGCGGCTGCTGATGCTCCTGCTTTGTAAACAAACCCCAGCGGCTGCAGCTGCTCGCACGCACCATGCAGAGACGTCTGTCGGCATTGTTGAGGATCAGTTCTACGAAGCCACTGGATACTCGGCCTTGCAATCCTTCCTGAGAATGTTGATACGCACTCTCCAAACTACATGTCTCGGCTCTTGCCCACTGTCGAAGAAAGGCCACACCTGACAGCCACGTCTGAGATCCTTGCACGCCAGCCGATACTCCCAAGAGCGAAGCCTTACGTGGAGGAGCAGGCGGCGCTCCGCAGCGGAGTTCCCAATGTCTCCGAGCGCAAAAGAAATTCCCAACAAGATATTCGACTTTCCGCTTCCATTATGTCCGACTGTAGAAAAAAGCACACTGACAACCCGCGTGCGCCCTGAAGATCGTCAACTCCGAATTACAGAATCTTCGTACAGTACAGACACGATTCGCAATGGACATACACATGTGAATTTGAGACTTTAGGGATTCCTGATCGGATGGTGGCACTCGATGTAAAGGGCAAGGGGGAGAGAAACGCGCAAGGCGAAACTCCGTGCTTGGCGGGCAGGCAAAGCAACGTCTGTCGAGGTGGCCTCGTGTAGGCCGTCTACGGTTTAGAGGGAAAGCGCACTCAAGCATGTACATCCCTCTGAGAAGACAATGGTGGTCGCGTCGTTGTAGGTCTTGAAACCTTGCAGCGTAATGGCCTTTATGTGCATCCTGTCTGGTGTCAGGGGCTAGAACTCACGAAATGCTCGGCACATGCTCTTAGTGGCGCTGAAGGAAACAGGTGGATGAGAAGTGAAACTCGCAGCAAAAGGGCGAAGAGATAGTGGCAAAACTGAAAGAGAGCAAGTAACGCACAACGTTCTCCTTGGGGGCCCTGTGGCTGTGCTGCGAGTCTTCCACCCGCTGTTATGGAAAACGCTCTGTTTAAAGCTCCTCTTTGAACAAATTTCGTGATCAAAACGTCGAAGAAACAAAAAAAGCTCTGTTGGGCCCCTTTGTTACCTGAAGGGCTTGAGGGGGACTGGCCGAGGTGGGGTTGTTGCTTGCGGAGCGATGGTGTGCCGGTAGTGGAGGCGGGAAGACGATTTAGTGGGGAAAGAGGGCATACAAGGTGCAAATATATACATGCAGCATTAGCGCAAGGCATACTTAAATTGTACGCGATTTCTTTGGAAAGTAAACCTCTTTCCAGCTTTGGCACAAGTCATAGAAGCAAAACCATTATGCGCAGACTTGCAGCGGCCTCGGGTAGAAAGCGCACCAAATCGGTACGAAGGTTGCTAATAATCGAGTGGCTATGCCTGTAGCTAGCCACACAGAGCCGCTCGTCTGTGGAAGACTGAGTTTTGATGCGCAGTCTGACGAGAATCGTAGCGGCCTACACTACAATTTTGCAGTTTCTATTGCACTTGTTCTGCTAATCAAGAATTTGTATTATGAATAGAGTGCTTTGACTGCTCACAAATAGCATTGGTTGCAGTGTAGTGCTTGCTCCATACAATAATTATCAGTGTTGTGTGCCGCCAAGCTCGTTACTACCTGGACATGTGAGTGCTCGGGGTCCTTAAATGTACAACAGTGCGCACCCTAGCTACTTCTTTTCAGGTTGCCACCCTGCGTGGTTTGCGTGTGGAGATGTAGGAGCTTTGGTTCAAGGACGTTGAATAATCTGCTGTCTTGCGTTGTGAATTGAACTTGGGTAACTAAGCGTCTCTTTACGTAGACCTTAGCTAGAACGTTAGCAAAACTATGACCTGTTAGGCTGAGTCGTAAACAAACAGCGACAAAGAAGCAGAGCAAGTACCAAATTATCAAGAGCGACACTTGCCACTTGGACTACTTGGATCATACTCCTGTTAGCGGGTAAACGTCTAATCAGCTGTGAATCAATAAACAATTGAGTGGTTGGTTTTTCGGTTGTCATAGCTTAGTTATTTCGGGTTACTGTTATTTCGATACAGGGAGGTGCACATTTACCTGCGTGCGCGCTAGATGCAATTTGCAACTAACCATTAATGCCTCGAGTGCCTGGAGAATACAACTACATGATGCCTAGCTGTTCGTCTCTGCTCAACTCCCGAACTCTTAGCGGCACGAGCAGGTGGAGGTAAGATCCTACTTGGTAAATAATCGATACTTTTATACGAGATCTGTGTTTTTCTTTACTCACGCCTCGCCTCCAGAGTCGATAAAAGCTGGTTAGTCACAGAACTCCAGCTAACCCTGTGGTTAGCCTCAAACCATGTTTCATGCCATCGAAGCCCCCACATCGTCACAGAATATTGAACTGCACGTTGGATGGTTTGTCAATACAGCGTGAGGTTCCGGAATCGACCAGCGCCTTTGGCCCACACCCGGTGTTGATGCCAAAAAATGGCGAACGGTGCCGCATGCGCGCAAACATGAAGCCCCCAAACAAAATTGCTGTGACGCAGAATTTCCCATGTCTCGGTGGT